GAGATCAGCAAGGCAAAGATGCAGCCAACTCATCCAATCAGGCTAGGTCTTGCACTCACTTCTCCGTCTTCTACTACGAGATCCTCACTCGCCAGGACAAGGCATGCCAGTTGGCCAAACAGGTACCACGAACAACGGTGAACGTTCGTGGCGTTGGCGGCGCAAAAAAAAGAAATGAAAAAAAGTCTTCCCACCCACATATTTACACACATGTACATGGCTAGGAAAATTTTTTAGCACTTACTCTTCCTAGCTTATTGATTTATATTTGTTACTGCAGCACGCGCACAAGCTCGTTATCGAGAAAGAGAGAGAATATTATACCACGCGCAAATAATTGACAGTTGCAGGAAGGATTTTGATTTAGAAAATTTATATTTTTCATAGGCAAAGTGGACGTGGTAGATTTTGCTTGTTTAATTCGTTGAAAATTGCCTAGCTCCAATGTAGAGAATTTTGAGCAAGGAATTGTTCGTTTGTTTTATTTTATCGCGGCAAGGGATCGCGTGCAGCTAGACTTATTCTTATTGTTACCTCACGGACAATAGCTGGTTTAGCGATTCAGAGCTAAGACTCGAATAAAATTTCAGCGAGTTCTACAAGCCTAGGCATCGATAAGTCGGAGAGCTGTTAAATAAATGAGTGCCTTCGGAGATAAGGTTTTTATAGTCCATTGGGGTAAGAAAAACGTATGGTTACAGCAGTGGTGGAGGACTCTCAAAAGGCGTACCAGGAGGCATTCGACATCGCTAAGGCAAAGATGCAGCCGACCCATCCGATAAGGCTTGGTTTGGCTCTCAACTTTTCCGTGTTCTATTACGAGATCATCAACTCGCCGGCTAGGGCCTGCCACCTGGCGAAGCAGGTCAGGCGCTCCGCGCGCGTCCAAGTTTTTTTTTTTCTCTCTCGTTTGTTTGGCCTTCGACGATTGTGCTGTGCGCCCTATATAAAATAACTAACGTGAGACAGATATTCCATGTGTCGCCTTTATTGCCCTCGTAACTTTTTTTAACAGCATTTTCACCCTTGTCTATGTGTGTACCTATGTGTGGTTGCTTTTGTATTGTTTGTTTTTCTTTGCTGCTGACGACGCCACTAACAGCGTTTTTTTTAATTACATTTTTTATATTGCTGCTGGATATTGTTAAACGACAAAAACATTGTAGTACTAATCGAAGTTTTCGCTCAGGTTACATTATTTGCGCTTCGGACATTTGAAGGTAATGAAAGTCACTTTTAAGACCCGACTTAGTTATTTATGATTGATTTAGTATTCGTAAAAGTGCATTTTTTTAATAATAAAAAGTCTCATTTTACGAGTGGGTTACCACGAAATTTGTAACTACCTTAATTTTCTCGTTGTAGCCTTCAAACATCCAAAGTCGTTTCTCCAAAAATCTAATAAAAATTGTCACCTTGAAATTATATATTTGCCAGCAGACTACGACGTTGAATTAAAGTCATTTTTACTTACGTAATATTTTTGGTTTTTTGTAATCTAGGCGTTCGACGACGCGATTCGCCGAGCTCGACACACTCAACGAGGATAGTTACAAGGACTCGACGTTGATAATGCAGCTGCTGCGCGACAACCTGACCCTGTGGACCAGCGACACGCAGGGCGACGGAGACGAGCCACAAGAGGGCGGCGACAACTAACCCTCATAAATTCTCATTTTACGCGCGCGCGAGAGCCCATTAATTGAGAGGAGAAGCAAAACAAGAAGAAAAAACCATGAAAAATGATATAAATCCTCGGACCTCCTCGATTCCCTTCCCTCCCCTGGCTTTCACACTACCTACCACCAACAACTTTTAACCTTGGTTCCTCTATATTTCATTTCTCACCTTATCAAACAAATTCAAAGAGAATATGAAAAACCAAATGGTGTTTTTTCCGTACGTACCATATTTACCACACCGCACATACATATCGAGATAAAGGCTGTATTTCCATGCTCACACTAAAAGTTCGCCCAGCTAATCAAATTCGTATGATTTTAATGTGTTGGTGCGTGTGTGTAAACGTGTTAAATGCAGTTTCCGACTCTGCATATTCCCCCCGTTTCTCCTAGTCCCTTCATTGTGAATAAAGATAAATTGGTGAAAAAAAAATCCATCCGCACTCTCTTTCTCTTTCTCATTGTAACACGCAACAAATTCACAAACAAGTAATACACGCAATCACGTAAAAAAACTCGAAGCCTTCCTCTTTTCCGGCATTTTCTCCCGGTTAAAACACCTCAATTTCTTCCATCTCTCTCCTCCCCTGTTCTTTCTCATTCACAACTTTCTACAACACGATGGGAATGAACATGTTCTCTCTCTCTCTCTCTCTCTCTCTCTCTCTCTCTCTCTCTCTCCTCTCTTCTCTCTCTCTCTCTCTCTCTCTCTCTCTCTCTCTCTCTCTCTCACTCACTCACTCTCTCTTTCTCTCTCTCACTCTCTCTTTCTTTTGTTTCTGCTCCATCTCGCTTCGTCTCTTCTTTCCGTGCGCCGAGAAAGCAGAGGCCGAGCGACAATCATCGGCTATTCGAAAGAGAAGGACGTTAAAGAAGAATAAGGGATTGAGAGAAAGGCTGATTTACACACTCATAAGAATCGTTTTACACAAACACACATCTAAAAATAGTTTCCTTGTAATATTATTGAAAACGCTGTCATAATGACAATCGATTTCATTTCTCACATGATGTACGTGAAAGAGAGAAAGCAAAGAAGCAAGCGGGCAGAGGGATGACGCGTGTGCAGGTGAAGGAAGAAGCAACGAGAGAATAGATTTATATATTAGCGCTGATAAACAAAAACAAACAAAATAGCAATGATAAATTCAACATGTGTCATGTGAATTATTAAGAGAAAAGATAAAGCGTACCACAATTATTTTCTCGAGCTATTCAACAAAATTATTGTCATTTCATGATTATAGGCGTATTTTATATATTGTAAAACGTGCGGCTCGATATTCTCGCATTCGAATAGAACAAAGCAGGTCACTTATTCATCGTTCTTCTACCATTTTTTCTTTTCTTTTTCGGATATTTTCCCCTCCTTTCCTTGTGTTACTTGTCCGTTATTATTATTAATATTATTATAATTATACTATTTTTAATTATTATATTTTTCCTACGTCTTCTCCATTGATAAAAAAACTGCTAAATTTGTAATTAAATTTGTCAAAGACAAGCCTTACAGATTAAAACCAAAACCAAGATTTGTATACTTCGTTTTTCCTTTGTAACATTTAAGTGTATTGAAAGAAAAGCAAATCGGCGCAATAGACGATCACGTTAGTTTACAAAATCCGTTAAGGCAAAAAAATTAAGTACATTGTATAACGGTAACATTTTTACTAAGTATGAATCGCGTTCTACTAAAGTATACAGCGCTTCAACATAAAAATAAATAAATAAATAATCATTAAACAGCAGAAGTATACCATGGAATTAAGGATTATAAAATGTATATCTCGAGCCTCTTTGCATTGCCCCGGTAGCGAAAAAAAAACTCTTGGAATGTAATTTTTACTTTGTCGTTATTATTCTCGCGGTCGTTATTACTTTTGTAATTGTACTTTAGTAACAAAGTAAAAAAAACTATGGAAGATTAAAATTCCACAAAAAACCAAATTAAGTGTCATCTTAATTACAACAAAAATATTGATATACGTGAGAGAGAGAAAGAAAGAAGAAAGAGGGTTGAGAGAGGAATATGGTTATAAAGTGAGGTAAACTCGAATTTCGAGTATATCTCTCGTCTATTTAAGTTTCTTCCAAACGAATATATGCACGCATTTTTATTCTAAAAATAGATGCCTTTTTTTGAGAACAAGGAAAAGAGAGGAAATGAAAAACTTACTATTTTGTGCCGCTTCGAGGGTCTTCAAATTTCCTGTGAGGAAACTAAAATACAAAGAGAGAGAAAGAGAAGTTGCTTATGGTGACAGAATAAGGGATTTCGGAATTGAATCCGTGTTGTTAAAAAATCGTGGGGCGTGCAAAAAGTATAAATTACAATTGCAACAAAAAAACAACCTTCCGTCGTTCGCTGTAGTCGTACATTTCTACTCGTTTATATGTACGTAAAATGCGAGCACCTTTTCTATGTCAAAAAATAAACAAAGTAAATCAAGTGTGTACATGTCTGTCCAAAGTATTGCGAATGCGTGCGTACGCGACAAACTTCTTCAAAGAAAATAAAAAAGTGGAAGAGGAAGTAAAAAGAGAGAGAGAGAGATAAAAACAAATAAATGTGTTAAGTGGGTCGCGTATTTTCGAATGAACGTTTTACTGTCGTTGTAATATCGATATGTCTCTGTGTACGGTGTCTTTGTCTCCCACCATTACCATGCAGAATTAGAAAAAGAAAAACAAACTAAAAAAAAGTAAGTTAAGAGAGCAAATGGAAATCAATTGAATCGATGTATTAATCGATGTTGCGATTTTCAATGGATTTGGAATAAGTCATTTATGTTTTTGTATTGTAGGTGCCTATTTTGCATTGTCAAGTGCCACGGAAAATTAAAAATGCCTGTAAAACTTGACCTTCTTTACCGGAGGCTTTAACAAATAAGAATTTTAATGCAAATCAAGTATAAATCGAGTGTTCTCTCATCTCTTCTTACTAATTGTTTGTAAGTGCGCGCGATACAAGGGGAACCAAAGAAAAAAAATCAAACTAACAAAAACAGCTTAAATAGTCGAGTCATCTCTTTCTCTCTCACTTCTTGCAATTTTCGAATACAAACACTTGTCTTCTCTCCTTTTTTTATTATTTCTATACATTGTTGTCATATTCGCATTTTTTCTTTTGGATTTTGTTTTGGATAACTTTACGGTTTTGTATTGTCTTCTTTTCACAAATATACAATTATTTATAAACCGAAAGGAGGCACATTTAGTTTTTCATTCGTTTATTTTTTACAAACTCGCAATCGACTAGAATAGAAAACGCCTGTTTTACTTTTTTCTTGAAGGAGTAGTGGTTTTTTAAAACAGCGAAAAATCAACAAAACTAAGAACTGAAAATATATATCATGTTAGAAATGTGAGTAGATAAGGCAAACTTAAACGCATGTAATTAGTTCAAATCGAGTTCGAAATTAACGTGGTCAAGCTGAACACGCGAATTTCGAACGTTCACGTGCCGATTTCGACTTGTTTTTTTTTTCCAGTCAACAGATATCCTATGTTTTACTTTTTCTCTCATCATTGTTATCATCACCACAAACCAGCATAAAACCATTCGACGAAGAGGAAGACATGATCAATTCGTAAATAAAATACATCCAGCAATCAAGCGAGATTAAGCTAATAGAGCAAATCCACATAGCTCTATTGAAAGGACAGACATGACAAATGGATGAAAACTTAATTACTGAACATATACTATTTGAGGTTATGTGAATAAATAAATAAAAATATACAAAACACGACTGGATCAGCTACCACTTAATCCGCGTCTTGAAAAAAAAATGACAAAAAACATTACGTTGTTCTGTACTTGTAACCATCGTCAAAACCATCGTAATTGTAAATTATTATTATTATTATTATTATTATTATTATTATTATTATTATTATAAACGTTTACACGAAACAATAAATTCTGATAAAATGTCTGAAAAAACACGTGCGTAAGTATTACGCTGGATTTTTAATCTTTTCAAAATTTATGACAACCCAAGCATTAAGAATGGTTTAAAAAATGTTGCTGCAACCTATGTATTGCAATGTTTCCAACATTTTCGGTGACCAACAAAAATGTTACAGAAATGTTACATGAATGTTGATCTCAAACAAGGCATTTTTTGCTAAACATTGAGATAAGCTTATAAAAAGATTAAGTCATTGTTTCATGAACTTTTTATAAAAATGTAGAAATGTTGTACAAAGGCCGCCTCACAAAATGAAAACTAATAATTAAAATTATAGAAATCTTGGAAACAAATGTAGACACGTTATAGTGACATTTCTGCAACATTTTTATTGGTGGTTGCCAGAAATGTTGGAAACGTTGTAAAAAATGCCAAAAAATTGCAAAACGCATATTGCAGTAACGTTTTTTAAACGATTCTTACTGCTTGAAAATGTACATGAAAATTTCGCGCATTATTTCGCAAGATTTATTTATTGGACAATCATCGTCAAAATGCTCCGAAATGATTGTGGTTTCAGGTTTTCCATTACCTCGTACTTTTGTGCATCAATAAATTATTACGAGTTGACGGAATATTTTTTTTCTTTTGCGTTGCATTAGAATCAGAGCATAAATTAAGAAACCTCTAACTTTAATGTTCTTTATACCGTATATAAAGTTTCTCCGCTCCTTTTATAAGTTCAAGATACGTATCGTTTTTCTGTATCATGCTGATGAAAATTGAAGGTAAGTATAAATTTCAACAATGCAGCGTGCAATTTCAATAGTAATTTATGAAATTCAAGCTTCAACTCGCCAGGGTTACGTTGTTTGTATCGATTTCAGACAGATTTTAGACGGGCAACGACAGAAACGCCCCTTATGGCGTCATATAGCGAAAGTGCCTGACGACATTTTAAAGTCGGTACTCTTAAATTAAATTTCCGCTCTAATTATATTCAGAATGTTTCTCACTTAAACTTCTCAACTCTAAACTACGTGTAAATGCAATTCCTCAAACGTAAACTCCTGATAATTGTAACCGGCATTTAATCCAACGGTTCCTTTAGTTCCGAAAATACATCAGCAGTTACGTAAAAGTTGTTAACTGTTAATTTCCGCGCCGAATTTTTTCCGCAGCGTCGTAAAAAAAAAAAGAGAAATTGCACACTAACTTAAAAAACGCACACATGTAGACATTCTAAAAACATATATATGACCATGATGTCGACAAATAAGCGCGCATGCGCGCGAGAGTGGTAGGAATAAATCGTCTGCTAGCGCCGCGTTCGTGCTGGCTGGCAGCTAGAGATAGTGGTGTGACGAACGGGTCCCGGTAAAGGTCACCTTCAGAGTGTAAAGCACATTAGTGATCGCAGTAGGCAGACACTTTGGTTGGTTGCAGTCCTCGACATAGAAGCTGCTGCTCTTGTCATCAACGGTGAGTGTCATCGTTTTGTTAACGCTCGCCGACAATTTTAACGTTATTTGCTTTCGTTCGATCGACATTTCAGTATGATCAAAAAATAGTGGTAGTAGTTATTTGCACTTCCGCGTCTTATTTCTTTTCTCGTTTCGACCCACTTCGTGTCGTCCACGGGCGCCGCACGAAACCTTGACATTGAATATAAGCAGTGTTCTGTGCGACTGCTTGCGTTAGTGAGTGTAGCACGATGCAATAACGTCGATGTTATGTTCGCAGGTGCTTTATCCGGCGCTCTCTCTCTGGTATTTTAATTTTTTGTTAATTTTGAGAAGCAATTGATTATCTATCATCAATCATGGATGAGGAGCCAGTAGCACATAGGTTTATTAAACCTGGCAGCCACAGGGGTAAAGGTTTGGCTGTTTTTACCAGTGGTGGTGACTCTCAAGGTTAGTATTTATCCTTGGCAATAGTTATATTTGACTGACATTCGTTTATCACTTAAGTTGCAGCAGATTAAATTTGAATTGTTTATGTTATGCAGTTATTTCAGTTCTACTAAAAATATAAATGCATAACAATGATGTAATGACAACTAAAACCTATTTGAATAGTTTTCAAGATTGTGCATATATTTGATGATACAAAGAAATGTATTATTTTTAAGCAGTAATAATTTATTTGACTATTAGCGATAAAGTGTCATTGATTACAGGAAGTTAAATAAATTTTGACATTATCTGATCTCATGTAATGCTTGTACAGGTATGAATGCTGCTGTACGTGCTGTGGTTCGTATGGGTATCTACCTTGGCTGCAAAGTCTTCTTCATCAGGGAAGGCTATCAGGGAATGGTCGATGGTGGAGACAACATTGTTGAAGCCAATTGGTCGTCTGTATCTTGCATCATTCATCGTGTAAGTATTTTGATTGCAAAGTCATTGTACAGTACAGAGAAATAATCAACAGATATCAAGATATCCAGTGATGCATGATGTGTTTTCTCATGCCTTCATAATTTTTTTTGGAATGCATTCAAGAAAAACACAAGCAAAGGCCAAGCGGCTGCCATATTTTCATTTCAATCGTTGGATCAAAAGAAAAACAAATAAAAAAATAATTGTTTAGGGTGGCACGGTCATCGGCTCGGCTCGCAGTCAAGACTTTAGAGAACGCGAAGGCAGGAAGAAGGCAGCCAAGAATCTAGTTGTCCGTGGTATATCCAATTTGTGCGTAATCGGCGGTGACGGGTCGTTAACTGGTGCCAATCTCTTCAAAGAAGAATGGTCCGATCTGCTCAAGGAATTACAAAAAGAAGGTAATCGCCATCGATGAATTTGATAAACGCGCACAGTTGAGACTTTGAACTGCGTAATGTAATCAGGCAATCGACGATATTTCCAGTCAACGTGCTCGTAGTTGTAGATCTGACACACTTTTGAACAATTTAAAAATCGTTAACGTGTAATAGATAACTCTATTACACGCAATTCGTTCCGCGTGTGACGTCATGACTTTCAGCCGCTAGTAGCTGCGATATTTCGATTATGGCCAGTCGGAATAACGATGATGAGGTGGATGAGCCGTGGATATTATACGATTTGTCTCTATGAAAAACTTACGAGTACTGTACTTTTGTAAAACATAATACTCAATTTTTTGAATTTGATTTACAGCCAAAGTAGAATAATTGAGGATCATGATGTTCAATTACAATTGATAATTACAAATTAAGATCATTTAAGTACGCAATTTCCATTCAAAGAAAATAAAAAAGTATTCATTAATTGAAATTGTTCAAAAAAATTAACAACAAATCGATATTCCATTTATTTCTTTAAATTGTTTAAGCATTGAATATTTGTAGTTAAGTATATACCAATAAAATGTAATGGAGATTTTTCAAAAATCCACAAAATGTTGAGTAGTACTAATTTGTTCAAGACACAAGAACGTGATGAAAATACTAACTAAAGGCACAATGAAAGCTTGTAAAGGTTTCAATAACCATCAATCATAGCTTTTTGAATGTATTTATTCGTTTAAGTTCCATAAAAGTATGAAAGGATTTTTTAATAAACTTAACAGAAAAAAGTTCAATAACTTTTTAAAGTAACCAACGAATAATTATTGGACAAAAGACAGCGTAGTTTGAATCAATATTTGCAAAACTCAATTCAACCCGGATAATTAATAGCTACATTTTGCAATTCACCTAATTACTAACCTCAAAAAATGCAACTCTATAGGTCAAATCTCACCGGAACAAGCGGAAAAGTATGCTCATCTGCATATCGTTGGTATGGTTGGTTCAATCGACAATGACTTCTGTGGTACGGACATGACCATCGGTACCGACACCGCTTTGCATCGGATAATTGAAAGCATTGACGCTATCGCTAGCACTGCCTACTCACATCAGCGCACCTTCATTATGGAAGTTATGGGCCGTCATTGCGGGTACGCATTACATGATTATGTAAAGAGGTGACTGAAATGAATGCGCGCGTGAGAGAGAGAGAGAGAGAGAGAGAGAGAGAGAGAGAGAGATAGAGAGAGATGACATTGAATGTTTGTACAATGCGCACTCGTATGACAATATTAATTGTGTTTGAGCAAAAAGAAAGAAAGAATTTATTCTCAAGACTTGAAACTCTCATGTCTCTCTCTTTCTCTAGTGAAATAACGACGATGTCTTAAAACAGTCCTTTATTATTATTATATATATTCATAAGTGATCAGGTGTATACAGAGAGACGTTGCCTTTGAAGAAACGATTAATTGAGATTATGAAATATATGAATTAGGTACTTGGCAATTGTGGGTGCCTTAGCTTCGGAAGCGGACTACGTGTTTTTCCCGGAATGTCCACCGCCGATCGACTGGCCTGTGAAACTTTGCAAAAAGTTGGAGCAGGCATGTCACAACATATTTTTTATTTGGATTTTATTTTTCTTTGCCAGAGAGCTCGTTTATGTATCTTTACTTTTTTGAATTAATTTGATCCTGAACAAAAGAAATTGATACTTCCGTATAATTATATATTCCCCTTACTTTGTTTTTCGTGCTGTCGGTGTGTAAGTGTACACTAACTATTAGGTTTGAATTTGGTTTATTCTCCAAGTTGTTTACTGATTTTTGAAAAAAAAATTGATAAAAAAAATGGTTTTGCGCCTTTCTCATCCCGATTTACCAATTATAAATATATCAATGTTGCGCTATATACATAGATCTTAGGCACAGAATTTTGCTCTCTATCTACCTCTTAAATTCACCTTCATCAAGCAATTTATCCCGTCGTTCATTTATTTCTCTTTCCTTTTAACTTTAACAATTAATGTATAATATTTGCTAGTGGCGCTAGTGTTGTTTCATTTACGGAAGCAGTGTTGAACTCCACGAGTACGCGATACTTAGTTTTTGCACTTATGGTTGCACATCATCAAGGCATATGGAGACAGACGATAGACTTCTCATTTTGTTGGTTTGTTTTGAGTAGTGATCATTGTCACGTTACAGCTATCTGGCTCTGGTGGCGGCAATGTGTTGCGAAGCCGACTATGTCTTCATCCCCGAGTGGCCGCCTGAGCAGGAATGGCCTAACAAACTCTGCAAAAAGTTGATTCAGGTTCGCTAATCTGACCAATTGCTTTTTTTTTTACTTTTTTTATCCATTCTCTATCTCTCTCTCTCTCTCTTTCTCTCTCTCTCTCTTTCTCTCTCTTTCTCTGTCTCTCTCTATCTACCTATCTTTATTAGCCACGATCCCTTCATTAATTTTACTCCTGTCCTCCGCATCTTCATAAATCTTCCCACACACGCGTTTCCCTCTTTAAATCGTCAAGCTGCTGCTGAAACTGTGTAATCTGTGCTTTGGTTGTTTCTATGGACTTCTCTGACTCTTATCTCTCTTTTATATTTCGTTATTTATCTCACTAACATGTATTTCAATGTATTTTATTACTGTAATCTTCTACCATGTGCTTTTGAAATTTATTCACTTATTATTATCAAGGAAAGTATTATAACTTAGGCGATATAAGCACAGGCTATAATAAAATGAACTGATGTTTGCAATTATTCGTGTAGTTCTAAATGAATTTGCTCAAAGTACCGATAAGTATAACACTTGCCTTGTTCATAATAATTATTAACATGCTTGATTAAATTAATCAAAAAAATTCCAGAATCTATCTCTATCACGTAAAGTAAGTTTCCGCGCTTTTCCACTCCTCTCTGTATTTTAAAGCTTTCAAGTGAACAAATAAACAAAAATCTGATCCTCGGTGCTCATTAAACGTAAAACTTTCGAATCGTAGGAGCGTCTCACTGGCCAACGTCTAAACATTATCATCGTGGCAGAAGGTGCCGTCGATAGAAATGGCGATCCCATCACCGCTGAAAAAGTTCGTCAGGTCGTCGTCGAGAAGCTTCAGCAGGACACGAGGATCACTGTGTTGGGTCACGTTCAGCGTGGTGGTAACCCATCTGCCTTCGATCGTGTTCTTGTGAGTATAAACAGAACTTCATAACTTACAGAAGAAAGAATGAAATTATTGTTATATTCGATATTGATACGTTTGAATATCGAGTAATGAATTTTTGTGAATTGTGGTCAGTGATACTAAACACCTACGTTGCTTTAGTCACATTGATAATTCAAGCAAAAAATATCTGCTAAGCTTTAAATTTGAGAAACTTTACGGAGAAGCCGTTTTAATAGATATACTCGTTACTGCGATAGTAGTTTTCAAGTGTCAAATCGCTAGTAAAATTCAAAATTAATATTAAATTATAGCTGGTGGTAAGCTATAATGAATGTAGGTATATATATGAACGAAATAAGTCAACTGATTACTCGGTGAATATTTTAGGGCTGTCGTATGGGTGCTGAAGCTGTGATGGCACTCGTAGAAGCAACACCCGCTACTGAAGCTTGTGTTGTAACTCTGGATGGTAATCAAGCTGTGAGATTACCGCTCATGGAGTGTGTCAAACGTACTAAAGCTGTCGCCCAAGCGATGGCAGAGAAAAACTGGGATCTTGCTGTACAGCTTCGTGGAAAGTACGTCAGTTTTTCCAATTTCTAAACATGATATTTCTCCTCTACTGCAAATCATGGGAATATTTTGTATTTACAGAGGTTTTGTCCGAAATTTGGAGACCTACAAGATGTTGACCCGTTTGAAGGCTCCCGTTGACATCGATCAGAGCAAGGTTTGTTTGAAATAGTAGATCATTAGTGTATTTAAGTTACAGGTTAAAATTAGAATAGAGTTATTCTAAGATGAAATACTGACAGACATTTTAAAGTCCACTTCTCATTAGATTCTTCCTTTTGTTCTTTCAAGTAACCTGTAAATTAATACTTGGTATAATTATCAATTTTGATTTTCGGGAGACTAAAGAAAACCTTTATGAATTGTTACTACAGGCGGGCGGTCATCCACAGTTGACCAAGGTAAATGAAATCAAAGTGTTTGAAATGACGATATAGACCATCTATAATGTATCGTAACAAATTACGTTAACCCTCCTGAAAACATTTTAGCAACGTGCATACCCTTCTCTAACTAATATTCGTTTTTCTGTTATCCTCTTTTGATAGCAATACACAATGTGTGGACAAGTAAGTGACAAAAAAATAGTATCGTTTTCCTAATAGCTAGAACTAATTAATTGTCAGTGTCATCATTTGAGTTTGTGTGTGTCTGTCAAAAAAAAATCGCATAACCCAATCATAACATAAATATTTTTTTTCAATCGATTATTACGTATGGTGTGAAACATTACAGCAGTCACCGAGTACCACGCAGCCGATCCATACATCATTTTTTTTCAAGTGTCACTAATCAATTACTTTTTCATATGATACAGGATGGTTTTAATAACCCTCCAATCCAATCATGTTTATTCACATTTTTTGAAATTTGGGTGTAAATATCATCATTGTGTCATTGAAAAATCTATGTTGATTTGATATTTCCTCATAAATATCGTTTTTTCATTATTTTATTATTGTCAAAGTATATAGTTTATTTATGTATCAAATCTTTTTTTCATCTTTGAGATTGGTTACATGTTATTAAAATAATTCTGTGATCATAGCTGAATTTAAAATAAACAAAGTTCTCTTACGACTAGGATCTGCACGCTACCTCTTGTTAGCACGTCGAATATGCAAACTCTGGCAAAAATAAACACAATTCATTGATTGAAATATTATGTTTACAGGATCATTATACACTTGCGGTTATGCACGTTGGTTCGCCGTCATGCGGTATGAACGCTGCAGTACGTTCCTTCGTCAGGAACTGTATTTACCGGGGAGACAAGGTAACATTAAACGATTCATTTTTAGAAAAAAAAATGAAAATTTGGAAATTAATTTATAACCTTATCGTAGGTATATGGTGTGCTAGACGGTGTGCTAGGTCTTGCATCAGGCAAATTGAAGCTCATGGATTGGCCTTCTGTGACTGGTTGGGTAGCTCAAGGTGGTGCTTATTTGGGTACTAAGCGTGCTCCGCCAAAGGATGAACAACTGCCTGCAATTGCGCAAAAACTTAAGGAGTTTGGTATTCAGGCTCTTCTTATCATTGGTGGTTTCGAAGTAAGGTTTTTAAAATACAATGCAATAAGATCATGCATGAGACGGTAATGTTTCTTTCCTTTTTTCAGGGATTCCAAACAGGTCTTAGCTTCTACAATGCTAGAGATAAGTTCCCCGAATTTCGTATTCCCATTGCGATGATTCCTGCCACGATCAGTAACAACGTTCCAGGAACTGAATTCTCTTTAGGTTGTGATACTGCTCTCAATGAAATTACGGAGGTACATTCCTTTTCATACTTACAAAACGTAGTTTGAATTTTATTTTAAATTATATTTTAATTTTCACTATCAATAATAGATTTGCGACCGTATCAGACAGTCAGCTCAAGGAACGAAACGTCGTGTCTTCATTATCGAGACGATGGGTGGTTACTGTGGTTACCTTGCTACATTGGCAGGTTTAGCAGGTGGTGCCGATGCAGCTTATATTTTCGAGGAAAAATTCAACATCAAAGATCTCAATCAGGATATTATTGCTATGGCGGCCAAGATGTCTGAAGGCGTTCAACGTGGTCTCATTCTACGCAATGAGAGTTCTAATCAGAACTACAATGCCGAGTTCATGCACAGACTGTTCAGCGAGGAAGGCAAAGGATTATTCAGTTGCAGGATGAATATTATCGGCCATATGCAACAGGGCGGTTCGCCTACACCTTTCGATCGTAACTTAGGTGTGTTTCAATTCCTCATTTTACAATATTACATTTTCTATGCAAATTTGAGTTAAATTATCTAAATTTAAATCCAACTCAGGTACAAAAATGGGTGCAAAAGCAGTAGAATGGTTCACAAATCAGCTGAAGAAAGATGCTCTGCCCGATGGGACATCAGTATCTACCACTCCCGAGAGTGCTGTCATGCTGGGTATCGTCAGGCGTCAATACAGATACACCCCCTTCATCAAACTCATCGATGTCACTGACTTCGAGTAAGTTTCTCTTCAGCTTATCACATCCACTTATTTCTACGCTAGTTATAAAATTTGAAAATGATTTATGACCGAAAAGTATAATTTAATATACATTACTAAAAATTTTTTGCTTCAAAAGGCATAGAATACCAACATATCAATGGTGGATGAAGCTACGCCCACTCCTAAAGGTGTTAGCGAAACACGAATCGACTTACGAGGAGGAAGGCTTGTACATCACGGTAGAAGAAATGGACAAAGACAACGATGCGCCTCTCGTCTAAGTTTTAAATGACTTCCTAGCCAGTATTCCGTTAAAACTTTCTATGTACTATCTATTTGTCGTTTACGTTGCTCGTTCGTTTTCTTCATTTTCCTTTTCAGAGGAAAAAATTAAAGTTTAACAATTTATTGTTAGTAAAGAGCTGTTCACTTCGTGAAATATAAATTATAATCTCTGGAATAAAATGTTCATCGCGTTGCACTGCTTTACAGTGAGAAACATTAATTTTTAGACAAGCGCGCTATGTTGTTACATTTAATACGTATAATTACGTAAATGTATATTTTCACAAGCGTGACCTTAGCAAAAATGATATATACTATATATTTTTATTAACCAAACTAGTTCAATTGCACGATCAAAGTGCCGTGGATCCTTTCCATGAGTATTATTATACAGAACAAAAACGAAAAATTAAACAGTCGTTTAAGAAATACATTTATTTTTAGATGAACAAAAACTAAACTACTCAAACTGTGTTCTCCGTTTTATTTTCCATTGCCATTTAACAAAAATTTAACCTATCATCGTTTGGTTAGTGTAATAGTTACTATAGTATCACGTTTCAGAAGCGATGAAAAGATAATATACTGGTCTACCTCAACAAGTCGGTTAATTGAAAATAATTGCAAAGCCATCGCAGGCGTATGGCTGAGCCTAACTGTTGTTCTTTGTTGTGACAAAATTAAAATATTAAAAAACGGGATCTGTATGATCACTGTATCAATTTTAATGTTTTTTAGCGTTTGCGCCGGCCAGATTTTCAATGATGAATTTCATAAGAGTGGCAATGGGATATACGTCGATGTACATTGTTTAGAAATCAAAGCGTTTTACAGTATGCATGCTCGTGCGCGCGTGCGCACGTGTATGTGTGTGTGTGTGTGTGTATGTGGGTGGGTTTGTGTGTATGACCATCTGCAAATTTTCTCTGTAATGGTCAGTCAATGAAAATCAATTATCTTCTTTGCATAACAAAGTTTTGCACAGCTAATGAGATAAAGATATATAAATATATTTTTTGCAAACCTCACCAAAAACCTACCAAATGGATATACATCAGACAACGCTCACCTCAAATAAAGTTTTAAGTAATTGTTAATGTAACTAATTTTAAGCGGCGAATATCGGCGCGAGCCGCTGATAATACATGGATATTTACACTGACATGTTCTTAAACATGTACGTGCAAGTACTCTAGCGCCACGGCAAATGTAAACGGATGTAGAGCATTTAGCAAAATTGAATAAAAATGTAAAAGACCACTCGCACACAATATATTTTTAAATTAAGTTTCCCCACGCGATGTAAAGCAACTGATGTGAAAAGGGGCTTGGCTTGCGTTATAATCATGTATTAGAAGTTATTTTAAATTGATAAAGCATGTTAGTTGTGTGTCGTGCTAATAAATTATGACTTATGTGAAATGTTGGCTCATCAAAATCTACTTCTCGTTTGCGTTAAATGCGTCGAAAATCAACTCACCAGTAAATGTCCGATACAAACAGAAACAAAAGAAGCAAAGTGTGCAAACTGCAATTGCAATCACGTAGCAAATCATAAAGGATGCAGTGTGAGAAAACCACCAAAGCTATTTCCATCATTAAGATCAAAACAGTTACCACGAAAAATTCAAATTAACGAAAACGTTAAGCCACACTTTATGTATACGCATGCCGTAAACAGTAATGTTTTCAAAACATAAGAGAAATCTAAACAAACATAGATTCAAGCATCACCGATAAATAACAGTCAATTGGAAACTATGATGATGCATCTGATAAACAGAATGGATACAATGCTTAATTTGACTAGAACACACATAAATTAAATTAAATAAACGCAGAAATTAAAAGAATTGTTTGGAACGCATTAGATCAAAGAAATCTTGAACTAAAAACCTTAAAAACAAACAATAATACTGAAACAATATTAATATCTAAAACCCACTTCATACAACAATTTTTTTTAAATACCATAATATTCTATATATAACATAAATATTATCCTGACAATAAAGCCCACAATAAAACGTCAATTGATATTAAAAATACCAAACATTATGTAAACGAATCTTATACACACGACTATCTACAAACTACTAATGTTTAATACTATAATTAATGCTAAAAACAGTCGAAGATAAAAAAAAGGTCCATTTATGTTCTCTGCCATATACCGTTCATTCAGACTCTATCGCTAAAGAACAATACAAAAAATACTTTAATAGTTTGGTGTATCGATTTCTTGCAGAACGTAAAAAACTATAACGCGAAACATCCATGGTGAGAATCAAGGTCAATAACTCCAAATGCAAAAGAAACCAATCTATTTTCAGTAATACGAACAGAAAAATCAACGAAAACGAATGTCAATATTTATAAGTGAACCTACCTGATCAATAGGTCCTCCGATTATCTGACTTCATTGACTTTGCAGTTGTCAAAAGATTATGCTCCAAAAGACTAATAGCCAAATCATGTCTAGAGTTAACTTTGAATCATTCTCCAATAATTATTCACTATTTCTCAGAAATAATATCTAATACAAATAGTAGATCTCTCTTTTACAGAAAAATAAACTGAAATACATACAGACTATACAAACGAAAATTTAACGTGTAAAATATCGCTGAAAGCTAATCTAGGTATAGATACTGCAATAGAAAATTTCAATAAAAGTATATCAAAAAATAAATAAAGCGATTAATAGTCAAATCCTTAAATATTCAACCAAATCAATACGTAATATTTTTATTTAAAGAACGATAGTTTTTTAACAGAAAATAACTCTGTAATTGTTATACGTATAAAAAATCTGATGTTTATAAATGATTATAAATTGTAAATAACTGTTAGCAAATATTACTAACTAATGATTTCTATTTATTATAATTTTATGCATAAATTATTTCCGACAGAATACGTAAAAAGGATATGAAAAAATAATAATTAAAAGATTAAATAAAATATTAATAGAAGAAAATATAATATAGCTGAAGACCGATTTTAATTTCATAATAAGCATGCGTTCATAGAGCAAATTAATAGATTAAGCAATAAAATTAGAAAAACCTTTAAAAAAATTAATATTCAATACACTGTGTAATATACACTGTAGTATTACTTGAGATAGCTGAAGTCTATAAAAACAAGAAAACCTTTACTTTCTTTTATAATTTCATACCTAAGCTGTAGGATTTTGAATGTAAAATTAAATAATGAAATCACAAAATTATATTCAATGGAAGCCGGTACCCCACAAGATAGTGTTCTCGGTCCTTTGTTATATTTAATTCACACCTGTGATTTCCCAAACATGGAATGTATAAGTATCGTTATATTTATGCAGATGATACATTAAGCTCACATCCTAATGCAAGACAATCCTCTACAAATATTCAGATAGTACCTGGAAATAGCTCAACTAGGGTTTGAAAAATGAAGGATAACGATCAACAAAGTAAAAGCAATATACCTAACTTTTACCTTAAAAAAAGGAACTTGCCCTTCAGTTCGCATAAAAACCAACCAATATCGCAAGAAGACAAAGTCAAATATCTACGCTCTCAACTGATGCGTCGAATACCGAACTGTGACTAAAGGTGACAGCTCCTATTAATGGATGCAATATTCCAAGTAATTGAAACATTTTTTATTTCAATCAGTAGTTCAACTCGTCTTTAGTCAGACATACAAAATACCAGATAATTTTAGCAATAATTTTACGCATGTAAAAAAAAGTATTTTTCAACAAACTTGCTACGTAACGATTTGCAATTGAAACTCATCTAGACAGACTCGGATAGCATAGCAGCGGTATAGCAATTAGCAAACTCTGAATCGTCGTCTAACGACTGGATGAAAATTTTCAAATGAAAACTTCAATTGGCATAAACGTGAATTATTTATAGATCATAGGGCAAAGAAGAAATAAAGAGAAATAGAAGAGAGGGAGAGGAGAGAGAGAGAGAGAGAGAGAGAGAGAGAGAGAGAGAGAGAGAGAGAGAGAGAGTAAGAAAGAATAGGAATGGGTAGATTCAAGACGCAAATCGCGCGTGCAGCAGTGAACTACTCCCAGAGGTTCGTCAAAGCTAAGTAACGCGTGCTGTCGCAATTGTCCCAGCTGTACTCCAAATAATGCCGCTTAATTATTCGAGAAAAAATAGCAAGAAGAATGCTTTATTTATCTGAATAATGGAAAAACGGATGTTAGTTATCAAAAATGCACAAAATGGTCCTTGAAGGTGATGTCCCGCTGAAAGTGTTTGTTCCCTCAGAGATAGATATCTTTATTAATATAAACCTTATGTGATATATTAGTTTGGACATTTTTGCCCACAAGGTCTGACTGGATATGGCGCAGTTCTACTTGCAATTAACGCAGCGAGAGTTGCAGTTGGTCCACTTTTGATTCGACGGCGATGTAACTTGGTTTATAGTTTGCCATGCAGTTGGAATTGATATAACAAAACGTCAAACGTAATTACAGAGCGAAATCCAGAGAATAAGTTTGATGGCTAGCTTTCCAGTTAGTTTTCAAAAGAATCGTATCGCAATTGCCACATAGTCTTGATTGATTCGTAAATTTGCCTTGGAGTGGCTAACCGATAACGAAACCAGTGTGTCTCGAAAGTATTAAGCAGATGATTTTCCCGGTCTCGGGTTTTCTACCGAGGAACGAGGAAGTACTTGATTACGAAAAACAAAAATATAGAAGTCATCGACCGCATACCTAAAATCAGCAGGACGTGAAGAAGGAAGGCGAAAAAAGGCGAAAAAAGGCGAAAAAGAGGCGAAAAAGAGGCGGCCACATCGAATCAACAGTTAGCACTGAAAATTGATATATCGATCTGGTCGTCAACATCGGGCGGCGCACACGCGAGCCGGGCTGGGCGTGTGCCTCGGCCGCGGCGGCGACGGCGTGCACGCGCTCCGGCTGAGCGCGCATGCGTGCGCTGGCAGCATCGGGCACTCGGGCAGACGGGCAGAGCGCTCGGTGCAGCCCAGCGGACCGCGGAGAGAGAAGAGGAGAGCAGTTTGGCCCTTGGTGCTGTGGCGCACGGTCGCGCCGCGCGCCCTGCCTCGCAGGCCCCGCAGCGCCTAGCGCGCGCACGCGTGTGTGCGCACGAGTGCCGTATTCGGGGCCGAGCGCGAGGACCGCGAGCCCCGAGAAGGAACAGCCCCGGAGTGACGAGCGAGTGGCGGCGCGACGGCCGGAGCGGCGAATGACGAGGCCAGCAGGGCGTGTGCGTCTTCGGCGGTGCTTCTCCCGTAAGCTGCTACGAGCTGCTCCGAGTGTGTGCGTCTTGCTGGACGCCGCCAGCAGCCTCTTCGGAGGCCTCCTCGCTTCGTTGCGACGCTCGCTGGCTTGCGTTTCGGAGCGCACGTTGCCCCTCGCCGAAGGCTCTGCGCCTTCAACTCGTGCGCGAAAAGCGTGCGCCCCTCGCGGTGGGTGGCGTCTCAATGAAATCACGACGCTAGGCTCGGCCAATAATTCACTGGCGCGCGCGTCTGAATAACAGAAGCCCGACCCTTGCGACTGATACATCATTGCGTATGTGTCGGAGGACTTTTGTGTCGCTACTGGAAAGACTTGTTATCGCGCCGAAAAGTCTTGTTACAACGGACGATTACATGAGAAATCGAGTGGTCGGTACGAGAACAAACTTATCTAATTAGTGTGCGGGGTTACGCCCGAGCGAAGCGAGGCTGGAGAGGTGCGTCAGATGACAATCTCTTTCCCGGACATTAACAAGTTAGCTGCGGTATTTTCATTTCCAAAACAACTCCTCGAAAGTGCCAATCTAAGCGCCCGGCAAAGACCTACTTGCCACAACAACTTACTTTGCTAACATAACTTACCAGATGGACGAACGGAAAATTGCCAGTTTTTGGCGATATTAAGCTTTTTCATGCTACGTACATCCGTGAAATGAGAATTTTACGAGTTTCTTAAATTCAATCTTTTGAATGACAAAAGAGCGTTAATTTCAGCGTATGGAGCGTTTGTATGACGGTTGGCTGTTGACCGATTAGATTTGGAGCCAAATTAATTAACGGAAAAACCAATTTCTGTTTTACAATGAGAGTACACTTGGCATTGTTCGCTTTTTTAATAATCACGTGTGTCAATCGCATAATTACAAAAACCAGCGCCACGTTACAATACGAAGCTCATATCTTGCAGCTTGCAACTTGCAACTTGATACAATTCTAAGTTCCGTTAGAGAAAAAATACCAATCGCTTTCTCTCTCTCTCTCTCTCCCTGTAGCAATCGATAACAAGCGCATATAACCTGAGGAGAAGAGCCGTTCGAAAACAGAAAAGTCGGAAATGCAACCTAGGATTTTCGCGATCAAAACCCCGCCCTTTTTATGAGTCGTACCTTGAGATCGCGACTCTTTTCAATATACACACGTCGTGATGGCGGCGTCTCGGAACGTAAAAAAGTTCGACTCCGGATATGAGAGCGAGAGAGGAAAAAAAGAAAGAGGCAAGATATCCTGCTTTATTGGCGCTGCCCTCAGCCGTAAACTGTCTCCCCCCCCCCCCCCATGCGCAAGCGCAAGACAATAACGAACGCCCGATTGCGCTAATATATCTTTCTTTTCGCGATGGGTCGTGGACACTACTCGGTAAGAGGATGGGCGTCGGGGTACTGTTGCTCGTCGACAACTCGCAAACTCGCAAGTGATATTTCTCCTTGGTATTGGTCGATTTACATTTTGGATAATGAATTGCGCATAACGGCATTGGTTTGCAACAACTGAAAAGTGTTGGAAGCCAACAGAAAGAGAGCTGAGAAAGCAATGACAATGGCATAAGGTTGACCGGTTGGTGCTGTGCGCATGCAATAATAAAAGGGAGAAAAATCAGGAGCGCGTACTCATCGGGACAGGCAGGCGGACGGCAAGCGAAGAGCAGCGTGAAAACGCGCAAACGAGAAATCATCCGTCGTAAAAGTTCAATCTCAGGAATTTTACTACGAAGTTTTGGGGAACGCGCGGCGCGCAAAGTTTTTTTAACGCTCGAGAGTAAACGGAAGAGAGCAGTAGAAACGGGATGCAGCTTTTATTTGATTGAGGCGATACGTTTTGTTGTTGGTGCCCCGGCTGGCGAGAGATTTTCCATTCGCCATTTCCAGGCATTAATATTCCGCGAGCGCACTCCCAAGACAAAATATTTTCACGCATCATAGACTGATCGCCGAAATATCGCTCAATTTGTTATTTTTTCGGTCGAGTCACTAGAGCTTTCTTCTCTCCGTTTATTCCATCGAGTCGTTTTACCGGCTATCAAAAGACACGCAACAGACAGATAACCGAGCGAGGTCCGTTCTTTTTGCTTGATGAACCAGCGAGTGGACGCACGTTTGTCGTCGCACGGCGCGCATCGCTTGGCTTCTGCAAAGCGTGGCTCAACAGGCGAAAGAAGCTTTTCTCGTCTCTGCTCAGGGCCATCAAACCCCATTGTCGCGAGGAAGGCGAGGAGGAGCCGCTGCGCGCAAAGCCAAGCCGTGACGATGCGGATGCGCGCGCGAACGTATCTGCGAAGAACAGCACTTGAATTAAACAGTCTCACTGGGCGACTGCCTATTTTCGTCGGGCCAGTGCCTCGCGAGGTGAACGCTCCTCGATTTTGAGAGCCTCGCGTGTCCCGCAGCCATCGCTCGATCGTTTGATCGCGCGCCGCCAAGTTTCTTCCATATCATTGGCACTTTAAATTTACGATGACAGTTTCTTTTATTTTCTTTTCTATTTTCTTGATCATATTTTTCGACTCTATTGAATATAGTACGACAACTGTTGCCTATTGTACGAGGCATTCATTCAGATTTTTGATTGATCACATCGCGGTTAAATATTCTTTTATAACGTTTTTGTCGTGATTTAGAAAAACATCTTAGAAGCCTTGCTCCGAATTTATACTCATATAAGTGTGTTTCTCATAAATGTCATAATGTAAAAAAACAGTTAATTAGTGTCAATGAAACTGATGGTGATAATAATTTTTCACCTTAACTATTCGCCAATGGAGGGTTTTTGAGTTGTTGCATCGTGAATAGATGACATTTATAATAGTAAAATAGATAAAAGAGATGTATTCAATTTCAAACTAAGCGAATGCTTTAAATATATAACTCATTAATTGTTTTAGTTGTACAATTAAACGTAATTATATTGTTGTTAAATACAAATAGTTTATTTGCTGCAAAATTAGTGACGAAAATCAAACAATTGTATAAATAATATTTTTGGTTTGTTTATACTTTTTCACATTTAGAAAAAAATGATGACAATTGTAAACAAAAATACATTTCCTGGTTCTATGCAGATAAGTCATTTTAAACATCAATAACACTCACTTTTAAGAAAAAATATTGGCCACACTAGTCTTCGGCTATGTTTATAGGACTGAACGTATTTCTCAGTTACTTTCAGAAATTTTTTGACTTGAAATATTTTGGTATAGCTTTGCTTGTCGATTCAAATATTAAAGATTAAAATACATAAAACTCTTTTATCTTTTAAAGTGTTATTTTCTGGACGAAAAATTGTTTCCAGGTTAATGACTTAAGATACGTTTTTCAGTCATTTACGTAATGACTGAATGCTGAATGCTGAATGAAATTCTGAATGCTGAAGATATCAGATCTCCTAGAGCAAATTTACGGACAAAATTCGAATTCAGCCGAAAATCTATAGATATTTGAGCTTTTTATGTGATACAGAAACCTATTTAAACATGAAATGTAAAAAGAATCTATATTTTGTGGTTTTTTCGCTGAAAAACGTATTTTTCAATGATTGCTTCTGCGATTGCTGAAAATCTAATCACAGATAGAGCGGTGGATTTCTAAGGGTAGATTCGAATTGAACAACTCAAAATATATAGCGATATAGGTATAAATCTGGTCTCTTATTCGTTGTTTGTGTGCCGATGAAGTCGTGAAACGTACAACATGACAACGAAACTTGAAAGGTGAATAAAGTTGCAAAGTTGATGGAGTGTTTGATTTGCTGGGTATCACACGTGTTGGGCATCACGCGAGAATGTGCTTCTTCAAATTTTCAACTGGCTTTTCTTACGTGATATCGACGACAAAAAGAGTGGTCGCACCGTGTGAACGCGCGTACTACCGGCTATGAGGCCCTGATCAGCCTGATTGGGCAAGCAGCAAGTATTTTTTAATTAAATTAGTTTCCAATGCCTGGCATTGAACTTTGAACCAATTGGCTCTGCTTACTCCAAGCTTCGCTCGCAAATCGAGAAGAGCAAGCCGCGAGTGCAGTTTTTGAGTACTAGGATGACGACACCGAGCGAAATTCGACAACGGACATCGTAGGTTTTTTTCTTGATATACCATCGGTTCCGAATACAGGTACTGTTGCAATTGATATCGAGGCGCACGAAAGCACGTCGTTGGAGCTTCTCGCTCGGTCGAGTCGTTGCACTTGTTGAATATCGCGATAATGGTAATGTGGATTTCAGTAGATTTAACAAACAAGTAAGAATCAGCCTTTCATTACGAAGCCCGAAAGCGTAGTGGAAATGTTTCACAGGGCTTTCACTTTCTCGCATTGCACGGGCTTACGTATTGTCAATTCGTATGTGCAAGTATAGCATTGAGTTACCAGCCACGCGAAGCTTCCGTTTTATATTCGTCCGATGGATCGTCGACAGTTAACCCATATTATGAAAGTCGAACGGAGCATTGACTGGGAAAGTGTGCAACCGTATTGCCAGCTGCGCCCCGGCTAAAACTAGCGCACGTACTCGCGTACTTGTACGATCGCAGCATCCGTTTGCAATCTGGCACGGCCGGTGCGCGAGGAATCAAAGGGGCGGCCGGCTTGAAAAGAGAGGGAGGTCGCGTCTAGACGTCTGACCAAATACGCACCGTCGCCACTTGCACGCGCGACTCTCGCAAGGTTAAGGTTGGCTCGTGCCCGAGCGTTTACCGTTTATCGGGCGCCTTTACACTCGATTATCGGATTGGCTTGGCCGGCTGCCGATTGACGCCTGCAGCTCCAGCGCTCGCAAATGGAATCTCGGCAAAGCGCAATTAACGCGAGCGCGGCCACGTTAACTCGCGAAAACACTTTCACGGGTAGTTTCTTATTCCCGGCCGAAAAGCTAATTTGCCCTCGAGCCTTGCTCTCTCCCGCTTCCGTCTCGTAGCAATTGGCTGCTTTATCGCGCACTCTTGCGATGGGCTCTTTCGACGCCTTCTATTCTTCGCTTAAATTCTCCTTTTCTACTCAATAGGCTTCCTGCCTCCGCTTGAGCCTAGTTCCGCGAGACAACGCACGGCCAATCTGTCGCGTCGGATCGAACTTGACTAAGCTCGTTCTATACTCGCCTTCTCAACGTTCTTTGGGTGCATTTTATCGATTAATTGGATGACGCGACGTAATTGCAGGAAAAGCACGAGCACGGGGCTATTAGGTTTAAGAAGTCGGCGAAACAATCTCTGCAAGCCCTCCTCCGCGAGGCGCAGAAAGGCTGCACTAACCAATGAAATACGCGATTATTCTGTTTACAGCGATGAAAAGAACGCGGTAAGGCCAGCTGGCGATAGAGCGAGAGCGAAAGCCACTTGACACGGCGATTCATCCGCTGAATAGACCAAATTATAGCACTACGGGCGCACACAGGCGCGCAGTTTCTTCTTTGCCGGAGCGAGAGAGAGAGAGGGAGGGGGGGGGGCGAGAGAGCCAGAGAGCGAAGGTGCTCGAGAGATTGACGATGCTCCCAGGGCCTTTGTCTGCGGAATTCGAGGCGTCGCTTAGCTGGCGCGGTTGTCCTCTCGCGGTCTTGCCTCTAGAGCAGCCCGGGCTTTCGGTGATTTATCGGTTGGTCGGTTGGTTAGTAACAGAATCCGAAGAACCGAATAAAACATGGAATGGGCCGCTGAGGAGGCATTACACCCAACGAACTGTTGCTACCGTTGCTGAACGAGAGCGCTCATCGCGACTGTCATCGAGCCCCGCGGCTCGCCGGAGAGCATCGATCTAAAAGCGTCGCGCCGCTCCCATTCCTAATCGACTATTTTGGGGCGCTCGGCACTCGACGAGACTAGTTATGGGAGGGCCCGAGCGCCAAGTACGCCCCAGCGAAAGCGACGGCTTGGCGCCCGTCGAATTCCTTTTACAGCCGGCATTTGTGCTCGATGCTCGGCCGCCCAGAAGCGCACAAGCGCATCAGCACATTAGCGCACTGCAGGTCTGTGCGCATTAATCCGTCGACAGTCAGTCGCAGCGCTATTCCAACGAGGTACGAACGGCTTCTCAGGCTTCTCCGGCTTCTCCATAGATTCCATCGATTCGTTAGTGATACTTTCATTATGAACGTGCGCAACGAGACATGTCTCGCCTTGCTTATGCTTTATTTATTTATTCGCTAATCGGCGTCGTTGTTGTTCCACGATGGAACAGGTTCGGCAGGCATTGATCGCTTCCACTCGAACGATTCGAGCGCTCCACGCCAATACGCAATTCACAGCCGAAACAGAAGCCCCTTGCGCTTTTCTTACCTATCCGTTTGCTCGCGAAGGCGTAGCTAGCCGAATGAGAACGAGACACGACCATCATCCGCTTATCAGCCGAATGAACTGCACCTCCGAGCGATATATATGATGCGAGTCGCGGAGAAAGGCGCGCACAGCCGAGTGCGGCGCCTGGAGCAAGCGAATGCCTTTGGAAAAATCCATGTTTGCTTTTTCCTTTTCATCTGGATTTCCGGGCGTTTTCGCCCGCCCGCGACAAGCGAATGACAAGCCCGCTGAACTTTGTTGCAGAGCGTTAGCAAAGGCACGAGCAGTCCGTGCGGAGGCATGGGCGCAGCAGCGGCAGGAGCAGCGGCAGCAGTGGCAGCAACGCGCGGCGTCTCCTCCGCGAGATGAGCGAGCTACAGGCCACCCTCGAGTTCTCCCTCGAGCTTTGCAAGTTTTACAATGTCGACCTCTTCCAACGCGGGTACGTATGCGAAACTCGCTTGGCCCCGCGGCTCAATCATCAATGCGCTCTTTTCTCCCGCCGAAGCTTCTACCAGATCCGGACTTCCCTGCGAGTCTCGCCCAAACTGCCTATCAAGGTCGAAGTCAACCAGATTTCCAATCGTAAGTACTCTCGTGCGCTCTCTCTCTTCCCCCCCCCCCCTCCCGCCACTTCTCCTGCCCCTTCCTCTGCCCCTTCCCCACCTCGTAGACGCGGGATATCGCATCTGTTTTCTTTTTTCTTTTCAAACGCCAGCTCAATACGTTTTGTCTTGTTCGTCGTAGGCTTGGTCACGAAGAGCAGGGACAAAAAGAAAGGTATGACGGCGCCGACTCGGTTAACGCCTCCCCCCATTTTAACTATTCATTCACTCCGGTCTGCCCATTTTTTCTCTCCGCGTGCACGGTGTTTTTGTCCTCTATAGTATTTGGATGCCTATGATTCACATGTTACACATGTTTGTTTTTCGACTATTTTCTGTTTCTGAGTGTTTGTCGATCAATACCAGCGAAAGGAAATTATGCAAATTATTCACTCACCTGCTAACATTGCCATTCGCATTTTCAAACGCACCATTTTCTCATTCTCAAGATTAATTATAGTCAGCAAATTCGCTACTGTAGTAATATTTCCCCGAAACACGTGATTGCGCACTAAATTGTAGGTACGGTTTTCCATCCACTCGAAGTGCACAATAAAATTGTAACATCTATTGAATGATGTATTGTTTACGATAATATCAATATGTGTAATGCGGCTTTAGCTTTGTAACTCCATTTTGATAAGACTCAGCCAATTGTTTGCCAAAGGATAATTCGCCAGACGGCTCGCAGCAGTGAAACTGGTATATACGCGCACCGTGCAATTGTGCGATTGACGCAAACGCAAACCATAGTAAGTTGAAAGCATCGGGCGAAATCCGCTTATGATATCCTTAGAATAGTTGTCAGTGTCGCAACAAGATTTAACGAGTCGCGTGCGATCGGAAATCCTACGGGCAAACTATTGGCTGAACGAAGCATCCAGTCGGCGATAATTTTGCTCTGCAATCCAATTACACAGAGTCGCTGGAGGCGCCGGGCACGAGCAAGCGTTTCCAAATACTCTATCGGAACGAGGAGGTGACGCTGGGCACCTCGGTGCTCTTTCGGGCACACGTCCTCGTCCACAGCCACAAAATCGAGGAAGCCCTCGCGCGGACCAACTTCCACCTCGGCGTCGATCTGTGGTTCGGCGAGCCCGGACAGTCGACCAGCATGACCTGCGTCTCATCCAGGTATTTCACAGCTGTTGCGAAAGCTTCGCGAGCGTCGTCGTTGACCACGAAAGTTGGTTCGCGCGTCTTGCCGTCCTGCAAGAAGAACGTGTGATTGCAGGGCGCTGCAGTTGAATTTCACGCCGACCAAGGGACTTCACTATCACCTGCCGGTACTCTTTGATTACTTCCACCTGGCGGCCGTGTCCATCACCGTACACTGCTGCCTGGTGGCGCTCCATCAGCCCAACATCAAGTCTGTATCAGTCTTCCTTTTGCGCGAATGCTCGGTCGAGCATTTCAGTCCATCGATCCATCGAGCGCACTGCTCTAACTCTTGTTTTGCTCTCACGCTCGGCAGGAAGAGCATCCTCCATTACGTACAGAGCTGGTAAGTCGACTATCGATGCGGCGCGCGAAAATCCATCGATCGCCAGATCGTTGTCGGGTTTCCGCGCGGCAATCGATGCGCTGCTTCGTTGTCGACCCGCACATGCTTGTCGTATGTCGCTCATCGTGGCTTTCTCCCGACGACCTTGTCGCTCGTTGTTTGCAGCGCGCCGAGGGGAGGCAAGTCTTGGTCGCAGGCTAAGCAGACAGCCAACGGCGCCGACAGCAATCCGTTCTCCAAATATCCCGTGAGTTGCGCTCTCTGCTCGCACGGCTACCGCTCGGTTCGTTCGCGCTCTGCTCCCGTTCCGAGACGCAATGTCGATCGGACAGAGAGAGAGAGCAGCTCCGTTCTTGTGGCCGTTCCTCCGAGCTTCCGAACAGGAGCCACGCCGGCACCCGTCGCGCTCGTCGGCGAGCGGACGTCGGTCTGCTGTCGGGTCGGCCACGCGAATCGATGGCTTCCAGGAAACGACGCCGCGGACGCAAAGCGCCAAGCTGGTGCAGCAGGAGGTGGCGAGGTTGCTGCTGGAGGCGCGCGAGAATCTCCTCGGCGAGCTGGCCGAAATGGCGAGACTGCTGCCCGCCTGGCAGCAGCGCACGCTCGAGCTCGCCCAGAGCACGCACCAGGAGCTCACCAAGGTAGGTAGGCCCCGTCCCCGCCGCGGACGAGCGAGCGCAGCTGACCGGGCGTCGCCCGACTGCTCGCAGATGATGGACGTCGAGGAGGCGGACGTGGCGCAGCTGTGCGCGCGGAACATCCTGCTCTGGGAGCACTTCCTGGAGGCGTTCTCCGGCAGGGACGCGGTCCACCGGCACTTGGCGCGAGTGCACCACCAGCTGAGGGTTCGTGCCGGGCCGCGAGCCGCCGCCGGCTCGCGGCTCCCAGACCCGCCCCGCCCTCGCGCCCCGCTAGCCGCCGCTCGCCCCCTCTCGCTCGCTCTCTCTCTCTCTCCTCTCCCGCAGGTGCGTCGTTTCGCCGAGGGCTTCTTCGTGCAGGAGAACCCGCGGACGTCGGCGGCGGGCTGCTACGACGCCAACTACCAGACGTACCAGGCCGTGAGCGAGGCGGCCAGACGCTCGCGATACCTGGCCGCGCTGCCCAACCTGCCGGTCCACTGTCCCGAGCTCGACGGCGACCTGCACAGCCTGCCGCTGATCTTCGAGGACCGCTACGCCGACGCGCAGCCGCGGCAGTGCAGCAGCGGTGCGTGCGCTCTCTCGAGCGCGAGGGGGGCGACGCGGCGGCTGGCGGCATCTGCATCGGGGCTGCGTGTTGCAGTGCCGGGCCTGGACGACTGCAGCTGCGGCACGGGCGCGGGCCCGTGGGACTGCCGGGGCGGCTGGTCGCCGAGCTCGGAGGGCGCGAGCCTGCCGGCGCGCCACAGCAAGTCGCTGGACCAGCTGGGCCCCGAGCTCGCGGCCGCGCGCCGCCCGGCGTCGGCGAGCGCCGCGCCGTCGCCCACCAACCGCGGCCTGCCGCGGAGCGCCTCCAGCCAGCTGATCGGCGGCGGCGGCGGTGGCGGCGGCGCCAGGAGCCAGCGCGCGGCCGGCAGGCTGGCCGCGCCGAGCCCCCCGAGCCCCCCGAGCCCCCCGGCGCCGCTGGCCACGCTGCCGCGGGCCAAGTCCACGCAGACGCTGCCGCGCCAGGGCCTGCGCTCGCAGCCGGCGACGGGCGAGGCCCGCGGCGAGGGCGCGCGCTCGCGGTCCATCACCTCGCTGCTCGCGGCCATGTTCCCGGAGATTCCGCGCGGCGGGCAGTTGCCTGGCTACCGGCCCTCGGCCGCCGGACCCGCCGTGAAGCTGCCCGGCTGCGTGGGCAGCCTTGACCTCGCGCAGATAGCCGACAACACGTCTCTGTACGCCGAGACCGCCTTCTTCACCGATGGTGATTTGCCGGCCGGGCGCCCGAGCTTGCCGTCGTCCGGACGCTCGGCCGGCAATGACCGATGGGTTTTCCGGCGCAGTGACGGCCAGCCCTGCGGACGCGCGCTCGCCGCTGCAGCGGCCACCTCTGGACGCCGAGCCGAGGGCCAACGCCGAGGTCCTGTACACGGCCAATCCGGACCGAGCCGGCTGCCGCGGGCAGCGCAAGCAGTCGGTCGGCAGGTCAGTCTCTCTCTTGAGTTTTCATCTCCGCGGAAGCGGCCGGCTAGTCGATTCGAGTGCACGCTCGTCGCGTCTCTCGAATCCCATCGACGTTCGATTGCAGTGCTGCTGCAAGTTGGTTCGACGATAAACGGCCGCGTTGCGTTCCGCAATTGAATTACGCGTCCAACTGCAGACTCGGGGCGAGTAACAATGGGGCGCTAGAGCAGCCGCGGAAGTACAACACCGTGGGCAGATCGAGCGCCGCTCAGCGAGCTCGCCAGCAGCCGATGAACAACGGCACGAGTCAGGCGCACGAGTCGCCGACTTACGGCACTCTGCAGGCGAGAAGGACCAACGGCAGCGCGCACTCGCTGCCAAAGAGGCCCAAGAGTTCCGACCGCGCTTTCGACCACGTGAGTATCAAAGCGAGCTTCTTGGCAAAGTGACGCTACTCGGATTATTCCGCAAACGACAGCACGACGATCCGTGGAAGCGGAACCACCAAATCTGCAAGGACAGCAACGGCGGCGCGAACAAACGACGAGCCGACGAGCGTCGGAAAGAGCCGCTTTACGACGCCAACCACGCCAACCACGCCAACCACGCCAATCAGAACGGCGCGAGCAAGGACTCGAGGCCGAGCGTTCAGTGCCGACGACAGAGAGCCCCCAAGCCGAGCAACCAGAACTGCAGAGCGCGCTCGGCTCCCAGCATCAGGATAGAGAAGTGCGACGACGAGCAGGCGAAGAACGGCGAAACCGTCGGCAAGAAGCTGGGTCACCCGCCGCCGCCCGTCGCCTACCAAGACCCACGCTCGCCCAGCCCGACCAAGCAGCCGAGCGCGAGCGCGCGCGTCCTCGAGCTGGAGAACCACGAGGGCAGCGTCGAGAACGACGACCACAGCGGCAGCGGTGGCAGCGGAGGCAGGCTGAGCTCGAAGTTGGAGTCGCTCGGTCCGGCGATACTGTCGCCGATCTCCTTGCCGTCGGTCAACTCGTTCAACGGTGAGTCGCGGAGGAGGGCGATCGAGCCGGCGGCCGAGGCGGCGAGCTCACGAGCGCGTGCTTGTGCGTGCGCAGTGGTGGTGACCGGGGACGCGGACCCGACGCCGAGCGGCAAGCGTCTGCGCTGCGCGAGCGTGCCCGTCGCGCAGAACAAGCTCGTCGTGCCCCGCTCGGCAGTCTCGATGCCGTGCATGCCGATCGGAGACGCCGCGTCGCAGCGGCCCGCCGCGAGCAGCGCGCCCGAGCAAGTCGTGGCAAGGCTGTCGCCGCCGACGTCGAGACCGTCGAGTCCGACTCTGAGCACGAGCTCGAGCAACCTCACGTCCGAGTGTAGCGGCTGGGTGAGTAGCGGCGACACGTCCAGTTCGGAGCTGAGCCAGGCCAAGCTGTCGAGCGGACAGCTGCGCCAGAAGCTGGCCAAGCTCGCGCCGAGGAAGCACGGCGGCGCCAAGGTTGGCCTCCCGGAGACTCGGGTCGGCGAAGCGGCGAGTGCTCGATCGCGCCACTTGTTTCAGGACCACGGCAGTCCCCGCGACGGGACCGAGCGCTCGGCGCCCGCGGCACCGGCAGCCGCGAGGCACGGCTACGAGGAGGTGCGGCTGCCACCGCCAAAGATGTTCCGGGACGAGCCGCCGCCTCCCGAGGAGTTCCGCGACCCACCGTCGCTCGGCCCTGCACCGTCGGCGACCACGATAGACAATCCGCTGTACCACGTGTACGAGTCGGCGAAGCAGCAGCAGCAGCAACAGCACTACCACCACCACCACCACCACCACCACCACCATCGCCACGAGCAGCAGCAGCAGCAGCAGCAGCAGCAGCAGCAGCAGCAGCAGCAGCATCACCACCAGCAACATCGACGGTCGCGCAGTCCCCAGCAGACCAAGACTGCGCCGTGCAGTCCGCAGAGCAACAAGCAGAGGATCAGCGACAGTCTGGCCTACGGCATGGGCAGTCGCGGCGACATCTGCGCCGACTGCTACCAGGAGGGCAAGCAGCTGCTGCAGTCGACGCAGGACGACTTGACGACTTTCAGCAAGTGCAAGGACGAGTTCATGCGGCAGATGTGCTTCACCGGCAGGACGTACAGCGACTGCCTGTCGCTGGCCTCCACTCTGCCTTACTTCCACGCGGGCGACGAGTACAGGCTGTTCTCGGCCGAGGGCGTCCACCTGATCGTCTGCGTGCACGGTTTGGACGGCAACGCGGCCGACCTGCGCCTCGTCAAGACCTACCTGGAGCTGGGCTTGCCCGGCATGCATCTGGACTTCTTGATGTCGGAGAAGAACAAGGGCGACACCTTCTCCGACTTCGACACGATGACCGACAGACTGGTCGGCGAGATCCTGCACCACATCGACAGCTCCGGGATCGAGCCGGGCAGAGTGAGCTTCGTCGGACACTCGCTCGGCAACATCATCATCAGGAGCGCGCTGACGAGGCCGCAGCTGAGGCCGCTGCTGCCCAGGCTGCACACCTTCTTGAGCCTCAGCGGGCCGCACTTGGGGACGCTCTACAACACCAGCGGGCTCGTGAACGCCGGTGAGCTCGATCGACGCTCGACGGAGTTGACGGCTCGCGAGATCACGCCAGCCAGCGTTGCTGTTCGCAGGCATGTGGTTCATGCAGAAGTGGAAGAAGAGCGGCTCCCTGCTGCAGCTGGCGATGAAGGACGCGACCGACGTGCGCCGCTCGTTCATGTTCCGACTCAGCCAGAAGAGCAACCTGCACAGGTTCAAGCACGTGCTGCTCTGCGGGAGCGCGCAGGATCGCTACGTGCCGCTGCACTCGGCGCGGATCGAGCTCTGCAAAGCTGCCGTTCGCGATCCCACCGACCAAGGTTCGTACCTCCGAGAGCGCTCGCCTCCGCGTTGCCAAGTCGACGAGCGTGACTTTTCGTGAACGCGAGTAATCGCGTTCGTTGCAATCTACCCGGTCGAGTATACTTCGACGTTCAAATAAAGTAACGGATCGACTGATTTGCTGTTCGCAGAGACCTTCAAAAGCCGTACAACTCGTTTCGTCAAATCGGATTAAACTGTTCGTTTATTTCTGTGAATCGTTATAGTCTAGACGGCGGAAAGGACGACGGGAAGGTCGACGGCGGCCGTGCCCTCGATCGATAGAATGCCCGTTGCAGACCAAATATTTCTTAGCTGTTACTGTTGACAGGCGCGGCGTACAGGGAGATGGTGCAAAACATCCTCTACCCAATAATATCATCGGCAAACGTAAGTTTCATCCGCTACGACGTACATCATGCGTTGCCACCAACGGCAAACGCTTTGATCGGCCGCGCCGCCCACATCGCCGTCCTCGACTCGGAGCTCTTCATCGAGAAGTTTCTACTGGTCACGGGCCTCAAGTACTTCAGATAAGAGCGTCGTCCTTCTTCTGGTTTTACCATCTTTCTGTCTTCCGTTCTCCTCGTTTGCTCGTCGCGGACAGATTTTTCACCGCGATGCTTCTCCGACAACTTTATAACAAAAAGTTGTCCGTTTATATATATATATATATAAACCGACGTTCTTTGTAACTTCTTGACGAATCACACTTCGGCATCGTTCGTTCGACGATAATCTATCGCACGATTTTTTACTTGAAACTTTCGCTTAATATTCGCTGTACATGAATTGTGTAAATACACGCAAACTCGGTGTTTCAGTTGTGCACAAACAAAAGATTCGTCTTTCGCATTCCCTTCGGTATAATGTATCTTGGAAAAATACTGTTCGTGTCTACCGAAGCATGAGGCAGAATATTATGTTCCTATATTAATGTCTAAGCATCTTTTTCGTGTGCTGTAAATTTTTTATTAGATATGTATATGACGAATCGACTTGTTACATTGTACGATTATCCTAAAACGATTAACCGGATAATTTGTCGTTTGGCAATTGTGGATGCGCCTTTCCATTTTGGCGATGGGGGTCTTTCGACGAGAAACGGTGTTTGGCCTCGTCGTCGAATGTTGAGACGAGAAGGCGAAGAAGACGAAGAAGAAGAAAGCATCTTTCATTGCTTTGAAAATTTTATCCGAGCGAGAATACTGAGCGCTGTCGAGTAGAGCGTCGGTAAATGGAGACAAAATATAAAAAAATTTTAATAAGCAAATTCACGTATACGAATTGTAAATTATTCTTGACAAGTTTGATATCAATTGTAGTTTTCAAAGTGAAGAAAGTTGCCTATAAATCCCAGCTGAGAATTAAAAAGAAATGATATTAATGCTCAGCGCAGATTTTTAAGAAAAAGAATGCTCGATAATCTGTGCGCGTGATGAAGCATTTTAAAGAGATCGCGAAGGATGGAAAAATATGTGAATAACGAGAGAGAAAGAGATTGTCTGATGTATGCGTGTAGAGATCATCAACGACGAAGATTATAAAGAAAAAAGTATCTTGTTGTTAGGAAAGTTTACGAAACGCATGTCAATTGTTCTCCCCTTCAGATGTGTATAAATTTATAGGCTGCGTGTTGTTCACGTAAAGGAGATTCGCTATTGCGCGACACCGTTCGAACTCTCGCTCGTTACGTATGTTTTTTGATAATTTACTTGTTCGACATTGGCTGCGCTAGTGGTGTAATCAACAAAGACAAGCATGTAAGCTCTACGACGAGATAAATCCCTCCAATATCGCTGCGTGGATAACAAAAAGTTATCAGGTACACCGTGAGGATACACACACAACATTTTCGAGCTCGTATATTTATAGACGATATTATTAGAGAAGTATTGATGCGTTTTATACACGTTATTTCTACGAATTCATTCATTGTCTGAAAATCACGTTTGATGAGATTTGTTTTTCACGATGGTGTACACGCAAACAACAGCTTCGCGGACTGCGCTTACAAATGTATAAATAATTTCATATGATTTTCGCTCGGCTATGAAACCGTGAAAACAAGACAAAATGTATGCTCGTTATTTTCGTACTTGAAGGCGCGCAATCGACGAAGGCATCGCAAACAAAATCCTGTTATTGTTTTTGTTTTTGAAGCAGCCACTATATATTACGCTCACAGCGTGATATCAAAAGGAAAAGCTTGACTATCGACTGACGTATAAGAATATACGCACACTCCAGGTGTATATGTACATCTGTTGAAATCAAAGAATACCAATCGTTTGAAAAACCATTTGTATAAGCTCGATCTAGTGAAATAACGAACGGACTTGATCGCCATTCATCGGACAAGCAGAGGAGATGCAGAGCCCAATATTCTCCGGTTTTCAAGGTTACAAGCAACTCGACGCGCATCATTGACAAGGCTCAAGGATTTGTGTTTACACCTCGCTGTGTCGCATCACGAATACCATTCAAATTGTACTTGTCATCAAACGACCAATGCTGTCCTTGTCGTTCGCAATTAGGTTCGTTGGAAACACAATTCTTCGTTACTTTCGTCAACAAGATCTAGCGCGACGAGTGTGGCGTAAATAGCTTGTAGCTTAAGACAATGGCGATTTCGCACATCTTTGGATGTCGACTTGTCTGTCGATCGACCAACCCGATTAGGGATTCTGTGCCAGACAGTTGTAGCTCAATCTGGACAAGGAATTGTCACCTAAGTGTCAACATCATTGGGAGGGAGGGAGGTAGGTAGGAAGAGATGAGTCTTCGTAGTGAGCGAAAGTTTAGCGTATCAACATCAATGATCGGCAGAGAACAAGCGGAAGAGCCAAAAAACTCTTCATGTTACGCAACGTACGAACATTTTATGGCGTACACAGTGCGTGTAGCCATGTACCTGTGCAACATGTACTTATACATCTCAAGTCTTCAATGAATACATTGTTTTACAAATGCGAACGTGTAATAAATTAATAAAATTGTGATTATTATTATCATCGAGTTTTTGCCTCTCGGTTACCTACATGTTACATATACATGTCATCAAATACTAAGCATTGTCGATAGAATAGCGTCTCAAAATGAGGAGCGACCGATGCGACTACCAGATAATCCGTTAACTTCTATTCAGTTGCCAGTATCGGAGAATAAGGTGAATGACCCGGCAGTGCCACACAGCGCCATGCAATCCCATCAATCACTTATTTTAGAAATATATTTTCATTCACCGTACAAAGACAAAATAACATTGAACAATTGATAGAATACACGGTAAACCCATGTGTTTAAATTTAAACGTTTAATATGACGTCACCCATAAGAAATACATTATCCTCAATTTTAAACACTTCTAAACGTTTAAATTCAGCGACAATGTATTTCTTATGGGTGACGTCACAATTACACGCTTAAAACGTTTAAATTTAAGCACATAGGATTTTAAGGTTTTGCCGTGTATACATTTTCGGTCTTATCGTTTTCCGTCCAGTAGAAAAAGTGCCGAGCTTACCGAATGCTCAAGCTTACTTAATAAATAATAAATGTCGGAAATGCTGACAAATAGTCAATTCGTAGTATTGCATTTATTGTAAATATATGTATGAGGACACCGCGTTTAGAGAAAGAATTTGTGTTTTGAAGTAAAGTATATCTAAATCTAACGAGTTTAAGGCAATCGATCTGCCGGCATTGTCAAAAAGAATTCGTTAGGGCTTAAAAATCGTGAAATACAAACTGTCGAATGAAAATTATTGTACAGCAATGGCAAGTGACATCGAGCCGAGACGATCGATTGTCACGAGTGTTCGGTTCTATCGATCTCTCTCGACAGAAAAAGCCAGGTCGAAAAAATAAATAATCGCGCGAAAAGGCAAGCTAGAAAGAGAAGGCGGGGTTAAAATAGCCGACAGCGCGGATTCGAGAGGCGAAGCCAACGACAAAAATCAAAAATCAATGGTTAAAATGTAAAACAACTGGTGGCGCCGTGAGTCTCGGTCGTCTCGGATCCATCTCTCGTGAAAGTCTCAACAAGCGGCGGCTCGGCAGCGGTCATCTGGCGATGACCGCCGTCGCGCTGACTCTCCGGGGCTTCTGCCTGTACTGCTTGACGAGTCTCGGCGCCGGGGTCTGCTTGTGATAACTGTAGTCTCGCGCGTTGTCCAGGCCGGCGATCACGCAGACGCCGAGGGCGCTTCGGCAGACGTTCATCGACGAGGCCACGTACCACTGGTTGCTCTCGGCGTCGTAGCACTCGACGCACGAGATCGGCAGCCAACCTGCGCGCAGCCAGCGAATCAGCACGTATGCGCGGTCCACGGCCCGAGCGAGCGTACCATCGTATCCGCCGATGACGAAAATCAGCTCGTCGAGAACGACGCTGGCGAAGTTGCTGCGAGGCACGTACATGTCCGGCACCGGCTGCCAGGCGTCGGGCTGCCCCGGCTCGTACTTCTCGACTGCGATACTCGACAAAGCCGGGCCGTGTCATCGTCGTGACAGAGGTCGAGCGATCGAGCGGCCGAGCGGTCGCGCGTCGACGTTCTCACCTGAGCTCAAGCGTAGCCGGCCGTCGAAGCCTCCGACGACGTAGAGGCATCCTCTGAAGGCCACCAGCGACACGCCGGCTCTGGGCACGCGCATCGGCGCCAGGTAGGTCCACTGGTCGGTCGCGGGGTCGTAGACCTCGGCCGACCTCAAGATGAACAGACCGTCGTAGCCGCCGGCCACGTAGACCTTGCCGTCGAGCGTCGCGCAGCTGGCGTCCGATCGCGGCCAGTTCATCGGTGCAATCATCTCCCACTGGTTAGCCGCCGGCTCGTAGCGCTCGCACGACGACAGCCGCGTCAGTCCGCCCTTGCCTCCCAGCGCGTAGATTTTGCCACCTGCAAGCCGACGTCGTCGGATCGAAGGCGCGCGAAAGCCGGGCGAAGCCCGTACCCGTGGCGCAGACGCTCACGTAACACCTGGCTTGGTACATGCAAGCCTTCTCCGTCCACTGCTTCGTCGAGGGGTCGAAGCAGCGCACGCTATTCAGGCACTTTCTGTCGAGCGAGAAGGAGGCGTGAAGCGTCAGCGACCGGACGAGCCGGCGGAGTCGCGCACATGGCTCGCTCCTTCCTCGCCTCGTAGCCGCCGACGACGTAGATCAGACCGTTCAAGGCGCACATCCCGTGGTACGCCCTGGGCCGGGCGTCCACGTGGGAGCACAGGAACCAGCGATTGGCCCTGCCGTCGTAGGTCTCGACGAAGTTGACGGGCGAGCCCGAAGTCCAGCCGCCCACGGCGAAGAGGATCTCGTGCGGCACGCGCGGCCGCGTCATCCGGTCGACCGAGCCGCTCTTCCAGTGGCGGGCCTTGAGGTACGCCGAGACCGGCGCCAGCACGTCCCTGCAGCCCTGCGCGGACGAGGCCGAGTGGATGATCGGGTGATCGGCCGAGCGCCTCCGCGCCTCCGCGCCTCCGCGCCGCCGCGCCTACTGGGTTGCGCTCGACGCTCCAGCCGTGCACGCGCTCCCGGAAGAAGCGCGAGCTCATCAGCCCGTAGCGCGGACAGCCGAGCAGCCGCGGCAGCTGCGCCGCGCGCTCGCTCGGGCGCCACTCGGTCCACGCCCGCACGGCCTCGAACACCAGCTCCTCCGTGCGCGCGTTCAGCTCGTCGTCGCGCAGGATCGCCTCCAGCTCGTCGCACTCTGCAGCGCCGCCAACTGAGCATCGCGCGGTCGGCGACCCGGCCGGTCGGCCGCTTACCTAGCTCCACCAACTCGGCGCTCTCCTCCAGAATCTCGCGGAAGTGGCGGCGCACGTACTTGCGGCCCCTCTCCTCGAGGTCGCGGCAGAAGTAGTGCCTGGCGAACTTGCAGATACCTGGCGAGGAGCGAGCCGTCAGACGCGCGCCCGAGCCTGCGCCCGGCGAGCGACGACGAACCCAGGCAGTTGTCGGGCCTCAGCTGGTCGAGCAGGAACCGACAGCACAGCTGCACGACCCCGAGCACCTCCAGGCGGTCGGCGAGCGGCAGCAGCTGCTGCACGTTGTCGGCCGTGACGCGGCAGCTGCCGGTGTAGACGTAGTCGAGCACGAGGCCGAGAGCGTGGCCGGGGGCGTCGAGCCTCGAGCGCGACGTGCTCGGACTGAGCTCGTTGGTGAAGAGCGCGCGGAAGTAGGGGCTGGCGGCCGAGAGGACGACTCGGTGCACGGGGAACTCGCGCTGGTCGCAGCTCACCAGCTGGCCGTCGCAGAGCTGCCCCCGGGACCTGGTCGCAGCGGAGAGCGGGAGTGAGGCGCGGAAGAGAGGCGCGAGTGGGGCAGAAGCGCGGCGGGCCGCGGCGAGACCGAGCCAACCTCAGCTCCGACCAGACCAGATGAAACGCAGCCGGCGCGCCGGCGCTCGGCCCGCACACGCATCGCGGCCGTCGCGAGCTCCCCTCGGCCTCGGCCCGCTCCTTCCTCGCGCGCTGCGCCGACTTCGGCTCCGGCTCCTCCATCCTGCTCCGACGACCAGGCGCGCGAGGCTGCGCTGTCGCGGCACAATTTTCGAGCTGCTGCGCTGATGATAATTCGACCCCAACTGCCGCGGCGACGGCGACGGCATTCGGCCCACTCACCTTTGCCGGGAGAGTCGCGCGGCTCTCGTTGGCGCTGCACCTATTCATAGTATCGCCTGCCGCGATCCTCGACGCGTCACCTTGCTGTTTGCGATTTCGAGGTTCTGTGTATCCATGTGAATTTGGCCGACTTGGTTGGCGCACTTTGACTGTACGATGCTCACCTTTCGAGAGAAATGTAAACAAAACATTAACTACGCGATGTTTGTCAGGATTTGGCTTTACTTTAACATATTTTTTTTAACATTGAGGAAATGGCACAAAGGCTGCCTAACAAAATGAAAAATAATAATTAGAATTCCAAAGACGTTTTGGTAACATTATTCTGTGTGTTGCAGTAGCACTTTTCAAACACATTTTTATTGTTCAGGCTATTCTATTTATATTAGCCATATAAAAGTTTACATAATACGTTACAAATATTATCAGAGACTTAGTTTATCGTGAATATTAACAATCAATAAAATATTTTTATTTGAAAAAAGTGTGGCAGTTTGACAATTGTATTTAAACATCACAGCCCACTTACAATTGTTCAATTAGATAAATAAACATGAAATTCGCACAGAATCCTTTATTCTAATATTTTTTGAAGATTTTATAAAACACGCTAGAAATACAAGTTGGGCATTCGATTTATTGTCATTATTAATACACAACAGTTAAGTTAACCTACGAATAATGAATTGGGAAAAAAACATGAATTGTATACATGCAATTGCTTATTCGAAAGTTAATAGAATAGTATTAACCGCACACTAACGTTTATTGCCAATGTTATTAGTTAGGCACTAACTTTATTGTCAATTTGTCAGCCGCAGAAAGCAATAATTTGCACGAAATTGTAGCTTTTTGGGTTGAAGGAAAACAGTAGCAGAAGCATTACGATTATAAAATGGTATGAAAATTTATTAAAATTGTACAAAAAGATTATCTAAATGGAAGGGTTCCGATTCTTGAAGGCTGTAAACGCTACAGACAGTCTTTAATTGATCACAGTTAAAATAGTCAACAATTTCACTCAGAATTTCGTGATAATTTTTAATACGATATCTAAAAAGCTTATTCATCACAATGACCGCTTGTTCATTTAGCTGCGCTAGATGAATTGCCTTGCCAACTCGCTTTCGTAAACATATTGAATAATAAGGCTCCAAAGTGAGATTTTTCAACTGCTTTCTAAACCTTGGAGCAAATTCTTTATTACGCGCATATCTCGTGATTTTTGATTGGCTCTCAGTCAGAAGTTTATACATCGTAACGGTTTCGTGCACGCTCGTGTTCTTCAACATTCGGATCTGCTGCTCGCATCTTTCGAACTGCGCCTTGAAAGTATCCCGAGAATAAATCTTGCTACGAATGGCGTCGGTAATAGCTTCGCCGAGGCTTTCTCTCATTGCCAGATGCGCGATCACGGGCTCGAGCAGATTTTCATGGCACTGCTGCGCGGCTACGTCGAAAACGGTCCGGCCATCCTGGAAACTGTACTGGGCATCGGCGCCGTGCTGCAACATCAGGCAGACGATTGGCAAGTGCTCTTTTCTCTGGCCGAAGGTGTAGCTGAACGCAGAGGTCAAGGGCGTCTGTCCATCTTCGCTCACGACGTTTGGATCGGCACCGGATTCCAACAGAAATTGCACTTTTTTGAGGGGGCCAAAGGTGGCTGCGAACGAGAGTACCGGCATCTTGATTGGGTTGGCCGTCGCGTTCAACTCGAGGCCACTGCCGCGCACTGCCTCTAGAGCGTCAGGGTCGTTGTTGGAAACCAAAGCGAGCAGCGAGCAATGCGGGTCCCATTCGAAGTCGTATTGCATTAGGGTGTTGATTGCCCAGAGCTTGCCGTTCTGCAATATGAACTGCGACGGCGTCATGCACTTTTCCGGCGTTGGCGCGAGCAAAGCGCCGTGCTCTATCAACGTCCTCAAGATCTTGATCTTTTGATCGGTGTCCTTGGAGAGTTGGTTGTACAGGTAAATGGGCGACAGTCCGTCCTCGTTCTGAGCGCCCACGTCCGCACCGTACTCCAAGAGTACCTTCACGTTTTGGAAATCGCCCAGTTTCACGGCCTCGTGCAACGCCGTCTCGTTAGTCTCGAGCTCGCGCTCGTCGACCGACCGGCCGTACTCCAGCATCAGTCTTGTTACATTGGCATCTCCGAGATAGATTGCCTTAACGAGTGAGCAATTAATCTCGGTCAGTCTTGAGATGAGCAGCTGCTCGTTGTGCCAACAATCTCTCCTTACCCTCTCCAAGATTATCTTGACGAGCTCGCGATACTTGTTCAGCAATTCGGACTCGCTCACGTCCAGCAGTATGTTTTTCCGAAATTTATACTTCGCTCTGTGCGGCAGAATGCTTCTGCCCCTCGCGTCGCGAAAGTACACGCTGGCGTTGTATCTGATCAGCAGCCTCGCCGTGTCGACGCTGTCGCTCTGCACTGCCAACATCAGCGGGCTGTTGCCGTAATGATCCCTGGCGTCCACCTCGTAGTTACTGTCTATGAGGTGCTGCGTCATCGAGACGTTGTTCGACTTGGCCGCGTAGTGCAGCAGCGTTTTTCCCGATGAATCGCTCGCGTCGGGATGCTCGTTTCGGAAAAATGACTCGAGCACCCTGATACTTCCGTTCTGTACGTAATCCAATAGAGCTTCGTTGAATCGAGGCTCACCGTCTATCATGGAAAACTGCAACAAAATTATACATGCTCGCTCGTATACTGCAACAACAAATCATTACAAATTCCACCGTCTTTCAAATAAGCTCATCTAACTAAACGAGAATTGCTGTTAATGCTTACAATTCTGATGTGCTCAAGTGATCGCTTCCGGCAATATGACGATAATAAATACATAAATACGATTGTACTATTGTCTCGGCGCGGTTAACCAGGGGCTGGCATTTTTTCACCAGCTGAAACAAGAACTTCAAGCCCCTAGATGCAATGCTTTCAGCGCTGATGCCGTTACTAACTAACCAACGAAATCCCGTTGCCCGAGCTTACGTTATGATCAAAGCCATCAATCGAGCAAGCACTACATACATTTAAATAAAAAGAAAAAAAAAAGAAAAAAAACATCGCCCAACTTTTCGTGTAATTATTTAAAAAGTGCGTAAATCATTCAAGATAATGTAGAAAATGCATGCACACATATTCAAATACCATCACTTAGCGATGCGACAATATTTTCCAAGCCGAATTATCAACAGTTTAGACACTCAAGCCTTGACAACGAAAACGCGACCAATTTCACCCACACATCTTATATGTGTATATCGACACCAAGGGAGAAGGCTTCACTAGCAGCATTCATAGGTCACTATTTATAGCAACATTCGAGCCATGTTCACAAAAATGACTTATATAATAAATCTTGTATAATATGCAACGATGGCTAGGCGACTGTAAAATCACTTTCTGCATAGGTACCGCAGTATCATCGCAATATTGTAACTGAGAAAGCACTCGTCATCATCACCACCATCACTGATATATATGATGAAAAAAGCAGAACATCATTCATTGTCGTCAAGTCGTCAAATCATTATCAACACCTCGTTATGCAGTCGCGAGCTGTACACGCCGAGCCATAAGTTAATTATAAGGAATCCGCTGCAAACTATAAGAACAACTTGTCGTTACCATTGCATATACACGTATAAAAGTTACTCACCACCATGTTAGGCTAGGCGTAATTGCAACTGCACTAAACTCATATGTCAATAGGCTGCACAGTACGCTGTCGTTACGACGCTTGAAGTCATTGCAATACAGCTGTTTTCGCAGCTAAACCGTGCATACTCGTTGTTTATCGTCTCGAGTACTGTCGAGTGGTTAGGAAACGACCAAGCACCAAGGTGCACACACCACAAACAATTAAATAGACAACAATTGTGAGTGTATAGCTTCGAGCATATATCTACTAGAGGCAGCCCGCAGGGCTGCCGAACTGACATCGGGTATAGAAAGAGATAGCGCGATTACCCGGGTAGGCTATCTCTCTCGTACCGCACGCAGATTGGCTGAGTGCGCTCCCCGCCATTATCCGTAGATATGGATATAGTTTTATATGTTGCGCGCTTCCAGGCTTAGGGTGCTCTTACATGCGAGCGGACAAACGTTCGAGCGGACAAGCGAACACCCAAAACTCATAAAATTTTGTCCGCCGGTCGAAAATTTTTTGTCCGCCGGCGGACGAACAAAGGGTTCTCCGTTGAAGGCTCCAGTATATTGGTATCTCGATAATTATCAATTGTTTTTTTTTTCAATAATGCCATTTGAAGCCATTCTCACGGCGTGCGGAAAGTAGCCTTCCACACGCGTTTATCGAGTTCTTTTTAGTACTTTTAGCTCTGCGGTTTGATAACTAATGATTTTAGCAGAAAAAGCTTCAGATAAAAGTTGTTCCTTATTATATTATCTACAAAAAAGTCAGTGAAGGCACTATTCTAAAATTATTATTTGACCAAAAAAATCACGAAAACCTGAAATGGTTTACAAAATTTCATGTTTTTTCTAAATTTGCAAGTAAACTAATGTATTTACAATAATGGCTACACTGACTTTTTTGTAGATAATATAATAAGGAACAACTTTTATCTGAAGCTTTTTCTGCTAAAATCATTAGTTATCAAATCGCAGAGCTAAAAGTACTAAAAAGAACTCGATAAACGCGTGTGGAAGGCTACTTTCCGCACGCCGTGAGAATGGCTTTAAATGGCATTATTGAAAAAAAAAACAATTGATAATTATCGAGATACCAATATACTGGAGCCTTCAACGGAGAACCCTTTGTTCGTCCGCCGGCGGACAGTTTTCCGTGCGCCAGCGGAGAAAGTTCTGTCCGCCAGCGGACAAAAAATTTTCGACCGGCGGACAAAATTTTATGAGTTTTGGGTGTCCGCTTGTCCGCTCGAACGTTTGTCCGCTCGCATGTAAGAGCACCCTTACGGTGTAAATGTCCGAGCGTTTATGTGTGTATAATATGTGGATTTTTGTATCGTAATTTATAGTTATTTGTACTTGTTATTTTTTATTCTCATTTAATATTTATGCGAATTTCAAAAAAAGTATTTTACTGAAAATTATGAAGTATAACAAGATGAACGTCGTTATAGATAAAATTTTTCCTATTATAATATATTTACTACGAATAAATATGTAAAAAACATTATTTTTTTCAATATTTATTGAAATCATTACTTAGGCAACCAGAACAACAACAATATATCGGTACATTAGTGATGATAACTTTCATTATTCTTATATTTATAAAAATATTATACCAGTTCGGTAACTTATAAAGTCGACTTCACGCTTTGAAAACGGATAACAATTACTTATTTAGTGAAATAATTTCAGTCTTAATCGTGATAACGTAATATCAGTTTAGTTCATTTCCTCCGAATGCGTTTCTTCAACAGATTCAAATTTTTTTGATCTTTGATGAGGCATTTTGCAATAGCATACGCGAGAAAAAAACAGAAAGTATGAAAAACTAAACTGGTATATAAAGCCATACATGCTTTGTATACAATCTGGAACTGGAAGTGCGCAACATATAAAACTACATTTATATATATAACTAATGGCGGGGAGCGCACTCAGCCAATCAGCGTGCGGTGCGAGAGAGATAGCCTATCAGGGTAATCGCGCTATCTCTTTCTATACCCGATGATGGTTCGGCAGCCCTGCGAGCTACCTCTAGTAGTACGTGCTCGATGGTCGAAGGCATGACCACGCCAGCGAGAAGTCCCGCGGACGGCCGACGATGTCTCTGCATTCGCGCGTGCGGTCTTGTGCAGAATGCCAGTAGCAGACCCTACAGAGAACCGCAGGTAGACGACGTAAATGAATCGGTCAATGACCCTTATTTCCACGTTCAAATAACTAATTGTTAACCTTTTCTTCTTTTTACGTTAGTGAAAGAAAATTGATAAGCGAGGCGTTGTTTTCCAGCTTGTGTTTCTTGTTCTACTCTGTATGCAGTATATAAAGATTATATTTTTGCGGCATATATAAATAGGGGCCGCACCAATATAGTTGAGACGACATTAACTCCTTCTTATTATCAATGTTGTTAGGCAAACGTAAAAATTGTACAAAATTATAGTGCCGGTAAATCAGCAATGCCACATTTTGTATTGTTATTACCATCGTAAAAAAAGGTTAGACTACCAATCGAGTTTAAGATCAAATGACTTATAACTTTTATTTTAATATAGGCTTTATTACATTCATAAAAATAATCTTACAAAATTTACTATAAAAATAGTAAAACTAGTGCATGACATAAAACTCAAAATATTTATCAAAAATTGTGAAAATTAAGCATTTAGAATTAATAAATTGTGTTGTTATTTTCAGTAAATACTCTTTATGCCTCAGCACATCCTGAGTATTCAGTATATTTATATTTAGTAACATCAATATCACTAGTTGCCTTGAATCCCATTGGTTTTGTTTTTCTGGAAGTGGCTAAGCACAGTGAAGGAGTAGACAATCGTACTGAAAGAAGTGATTGGGACATGCTTAAAGCAATTGCCAAAGGGATTGCTTTAAATCCTATACTAGTTATGACTGTTCTCGAAATCATTAGAAATCTCATATTCAGTCATAAGTTGCCAACTTTGCTCGAAGAAGTTCTAGAAGTCTTTGGAAATACATTCTCAGCAAGTGCTCTCTTTTAGCTTGAACTCATGATGGTTGGCAAAATTCACAAGCTCAAGGGTGTAGCATTAGTAATACCAGGAATTCTCATTTCTGTTAAACTTCTAGTCCTTTCATTAGTTATTAGAGAATCTGTGATACTACTGAATACTGGAGAAAATTCCACAGACACATTTGATTTGATTCCTACTGCTCCAGCTTTATTTATTTTCACACTGCATTATAATAATGATATTGATCTGATTGTTTCGCCTATGGTTGTGTGTACTATCCTGTCTGCCCCTTTGATGTTTATATCAGCAAAATTAATAAGTGCTATTAAAGGAGAAGTATCACCTGCTGATGAAGGTAAGCGAACTTAAAAATTTCAAACATATTGTTAGTGAATATCTTATTTCACGCTCATTATGTGAATGCTTTGTAGTTGAAAAGGTTGGTGGAAAAGCTCTACCATGTATAGTTGATGTAAGAAATGAAACTCAAGTTGCTAATGTTGTTAAAAATGCAGTGGATAAATTTGGAGGAATTGATATTCTAGTCAATAATGCCAGTGCAATTTCTCTGACTGATACTTTGAATACTGAAATGAAGAGATATGACCTCATGAATCAAACCAATGCAAGAGGAACTTTTCTAATGTAGGTTGAAGAGTCTTGTTTCTTATATCTTTTATAAAAAATGTAATTTTATAGGTCAAATCTTTGTCTACCTCATCTGTTGAAAAGTAAAAATCCACACATAATCAATTTAAGTCCACCTCTAAGTATGCATCCAATCTGCTTCAAGAATCATATTGCCTATACAATAGCAAAATATGGTATGTCTATGTGCGTTCTTGGTATGGCAAAGGAATTCAAAGATTAAGGAGTTACTGTTAATGCTCTGTGGCCTAAGACTGGTAATAATTATTATATTTAAAACTTAATTTTTTGTTATAATTAGTTTAGTTAAAACTCATTTATTTTGTTTTTTTCAGCTATTCACACTGCAGCCATGGAAATATTGGCAGATTCAGAATCAGCGAGAATTAGTCGGAAACCAGAAATTGTAGCTAATGCTGTTTATGCTATTATGTGCAAGGACAGTAAAGATGTGACTGGCAATTTCTTTGTGGATGAAGATCTATTGAAGAATGAAGGTGTTAGTGATTTTGTTCAGTATGCTTGTGATCCATGTACGTAATCCCATTCTACAATATCTAATAAATTGCTAATTTTGTGGAATTATATTGTTTTTAATAACAAATTTTATTTTTATAGCAAATGCTGATAACCTTATGCTGGATTTCTTCCTAGATATCGATAAAATAGACCCAAGAATGGTTGAAAAAGAAGTGCAACGGAATCAGAAATTAAGTCAAGCAAGTAGAGGAAGTGGTGGAAAAATTGAAATGATATTAGGTGGGGAAGAAGGCGAAAATATAGAAGAGGACGGCTCAGATGGATTCAATAGTGATTATTCAGTTGAAGATGGGCAATAATCGTATTATAAATGTAAACATACTTTTGTCAGTTTATAAAATTAATGGACCATCTGGGTATGTTTTTTATATTATTTATTTTTATTTTGAAGAATGAGTGAAATTAAATGATATATATTCTATATTTTTTAGTTTATTTGCTGGTATAGTTCCTAGAGTGACCTGGATATCAATAGGTGGATTTATTTTCTTTTGGTATATACAAAAAGTCCAAAGCTATTTTGGATTTCTAACTGGAAAATGATTTTATAAATTGTTTGTACCTTCGTTCAATGTTCATTAGATTAATTGTTTTGGATAATTACAATTAATATTTTTAATTACAATTTCGTTAGAAAAATATGTTGAATATTTTAAAAGATTATATAAAATAGTTTATTATTTTAATATAAAGTTTTACGTATAAAATATAATAAAATTTTATAGATAAATATTCTGCATTGTTGCTGTACCCTAATTTAACCATTTTTACAAAACTTTGCTTATAAAAAGAATCAACATTCTTTGTAACTTTTCAGACTACAATTTGGATTTCAAACTGTCCATCAGTTTTTCTAATTCCATGGCCTTTTGAATATTTCCGGTCACTTTCAATTTTCCCATCATAAATGCAGTTGTTGCTGGTTATTGGAATGGTTCTATAGAGAAAACCAAAAGTGCTCAAATCAAATGTGTCGGTGGAATTTTCTCCATATAGATAAGATACAACTTCATGAAAATGAAATTTTTTGTAACCTCATCGGATTCTCATCACTGCGAGGAGTGGCGTCGCGTTGCGGGCAAGTTACCGATCCCCTCCTCGTTCTTGACTTTGGGCTCGACTGCTTCTGGCGGGGCGCTCTTTCACGATGACGATCGGGACTTCTGCAGCTCAACCGATGTCGTCGTTGCCATTTGCGTGGCCACGGTTGGCCGCACGACCATTATCGGCTTGACGGCTTGAGCTGGTAACGAGTTGTCCTCTGCGCGCCGGAGAGTGGTCCTTCCGATGTCTACTTGGTGCAAGCGCCTATTTATCTCCTCCACGGTCTCCAACGAGAAAGGGCCGCACCAGTTTAGTTGTGATGCCATCAATTCCTCCTTACCATCAATGTCGTTCTGTAATAGAAGATAAAATAATAAAAATCTAGTTAAAGAGGATGCCGAAGGCATGCGTTGCTCACCTTGTCTTCCTTGTCGTCTTCTTATTTGTTATAAAAATTAAAATTAAAAATTAAGGATCGCTAGGGATTTGCATCGGCTCTTTCTAATCTGATCTCGTAATCGTAGCGTGATTTTTCCGATGGGACTAGTCGGAAGGCTGCTGCACTAATGAAATCGTTAGGCATCCGCAGTATGACTTTCAACAGCAACCACAGTCTCTCACAACTATCTGGCGGTAGATCTTGTAAGCGAAATCGTCTCCATCATGGGAGTAAAAAACGGGCAAATCGTCGTATTTGCGGGGTGCGCACAGGACGCGGGGAGCCAGACCCGGTTCGATAAAGTGCACGAGAGTCTGCACGAGGGCATGGTTAGTGGCGTTCATGTGCGCGGCTAACGGGAAACGGCACTCCCCATGGCAGTAGTTTGCGTCGAAGCCGTCCGGCTCGACGATGTGCTTGTTGAAGTCCAACTCGCTGAAACGCACGTGAAGCCAATACATCGAGCAGCTTGTTTTCCGATGACGCTGGTTTTCGTACACTCCCGAGTACGGATTCTCCAGGTAGTTCCTCGTCGTCGTGCTGCGTTGTTTCCTTATGCTCCCCTCTGAAACATGAACAATTCGCGGCACTCGCTTGGTCGCTTGCTCAACAAATACCAGCGCCAACCCAGACATTATAGAAACGCCGACTGTACCTGTCATGTGAGTTGAGTCATGGTATAGCTTCACGAAGTAGCCAACGAGAAACGCTTTATTCTGTGGCTCGTCCAGTACCAACACTTGGCTGTCGTCATCGTCGTGCTCCAGATTGACAGTTGAAAGATGTACCTCGAAACTGCAATTGGCGCAACTCAACCAGCGTCTCAAAACTCGGCCTGTATCAAACTTGATCCAGCCGTCTTTGGTCACGTTTATCGAGTCGACGAAACCTTCCAAATCGAACAGTGAAATTCGCCAAGTGCTACCGACAGTTGGCTTCACGTAGACTTGCAGTTCTGACCGGAATGCGTTGCTGGACTCTGGCCTCTTGGACAAGTCAAACCATAACTTATTTTTTGCCTGACTCCCGTTCCTCGAAAGAGCCGAGTAGGATAAAATCACATCGCTATCTTTGATTGTTTTGAGGTCTGCGTCAGTGAATTTGAACGATGATGCATCTGGGGAGAGGAATGATTGTTAATGATACAAATTCGAGTGCAACTTGGAGGCGCGACAAAATTATTGTACCAACCGTCACGTTTTCCCAAGTTGATTCTGTAAACGTCATGTACGAAACGAGCAGCTGGACTGTTTAGCCGCAGAGTTGCATTGCGTGAGCGATTGACTTTGGTTGGCAAATTGAGCATTTTCAAAATTTTTTTGACAAAAGCTCGCTTCTCCCGCCGGGAAACAAACTGATGAGGAACGGTTTGATTCTCATCGTTTTCTACGTAAATGCCGCCACGGGCAATCTTTTGGCACGATCCAAGTGGCTGAATTGTTGAGAGTACTAGTAGTAGAAGCTGAATGCCAGATATTCGAGAATAGTTCATCTCAAACGAACTAACAGAATGATATTCGTAGTACAACATTTTTACGAAAACGAATCTATATTTTTGGAAATAAGTCCCACTGGAACAATTGAGAAAGAATGACATAAGTCAGAGTCATACTGCGGCATTAAATATTTATTGACCGTTGTACACAACTGTTCGCTTGAAGCTACTATCCGAGAGAAAGTGGGAAGGATAGAGAGAGAGGGAGAGAGAAAGACAAAACGGAACTAAATGGTCCTGTGTAAATTTGTCGACAAGAGTTAATTGTCCGAGATTGGAAAAGATACCGTTGCGTTTCAATACGAGCACGTTACAATAAACACAGGAACGACAATGGCAAGCGAGATGGGTTTGCATTGTCCGCAGTTTATTGATTCGCATAGTCGACAATTGTGAACACGATGTATCCAAGATTTTTGGGGTAAAGCGCGGCGCTGGCCAGCCGGTGGACGAACCTCGCGTCTCTCTTGGATGTCCGGAAGTTGCCCGTGATCGCGATGTGCAGCGCGCGTACCCCGTTGGCCGCGACGGCGTGCACGAGCACGCTGTTGCCCTCGCGATCGCAAACGCTCGTGTAGACGTCCCAACTGGCCCACGGCCCCAGATCCAGGGCGTTGCGGTTGTACATCAAGAGGACGAGGGGCGTGCAAGGGGTACCTCATCAGCAGACGCAGCGTCCTCGTGTACTCGAAGCACTGGAACTTGGTTCTCGCGATCGGCCTGACCGGTAGGATGATGGAGGCATCATTCCGCAGTTAGTACAGCTGTACGGCCGTGTAGCCGTTCCAGTTGCGTGCGTTCTTCCTCGCGACCCGCAGGTCCTACCGCTCGACCGCCTTGTGCAGCGTCACTAAGCTGGAAGACGCTCGGCCGAGGGTAAGTTGCGAGCCGTGCTAATTTAACTATTGTGCTCTTTCCACTTATAAATAACCGGCACGTCTCAAAGGGGCTCGGCGAGCGCTTTCCACTTACTGTATTATTCTATCTATTGCGTTTACGCTGCTGTCTTCAGGCTCATTTGAGGAACTCCCGTTTCGTGCCGTGCACCTTAGAACAAACGAGATCTTAGATACACAGCTGTTTATCAACAAGGCTGAATTGCCGTAATCAAGAAGATTAAAGCAATACAGGCAGTACTGCGATCCCCGGCGTCTCTTATATTCTCTCTGTTTTCTCGATACTTCAAGGTCAAGATGGGGATCAGCATCTAGACGGCCTAACTTTATACACTCGAAACAAATGCATATCGCCAAAAGATCGCTAGTCCAAAGATATTTTATTCGGAAAATGCTTTCCATTTTACCCCTGGGTATTTCGGTTATTGGGCTATTAAGCCAGCGATACCGTTCGGCACGTTTAACGCGATAATCCTTTTGACTGCAATTTTCGCACCATCGATTTTAAACTAATCTTATAATGATTTATTGTAAAATAAATGTAAAGTTTCTCTTTCGTTTGAGCTCTTAACAATTTAAGTCTTTCGCAAAATTTCTACATCTCCATTATCCAAATAATCAAATATTTGATACATTATCACGGCGAAACTTTAAAATCCTATGTGTTTAAATTTAAACGTTTCAAGCGTGTAATTGTGACGTCACCCATAAGAAATATATTGCCGCTGAATTTAAACGTTTAGAAGTGTTTAAAATTGAGGACAATGTATTTCTTATGGGTGACGTCATATTAAACGTTTGAATTTAAACAAAATTGCAATTGGTTTGTTGCGTTCAACTTTGTCTATCGGTTTGTCGAGCATCTGATGTAACGCGCAAAAACAAATCCTGAACGTCGGCACCGTGATGCAAGCGCAGCTCGAGGATGTCGCTGACTTTCGTTTCCTCGTCTCTTTTTACAACCTATTCATAAATAAGATTGTAATAAATGTCTGGCCGTTGCTGCTTTTGTTCTAGCAAATACTCGACTTTATCTAGGTCATAGTTCTCCGCGACTAACGGTAGCAGCGGTTATCAGACCCCAACGAAAATTGGGATGAAAAAAAGTAGTTATAAAGCAAGCGATTACACACATAATTATAGCCTCAACTTGTGTGTGATTATTCATGGTCTGAAGTATTTTCTTCTTTAATCCGAATAAGTAATGATACTGTTCGTCCAAATTCAACAATTGGCTGCACTACATTTTCCAGTAACTTGCATGCCCCTGCGTACGCTCGTATGTGTAGCCAGCGCCTAAATAATTTTGATTTATTTAATTTAATCAAAAATATGAAACAAAAATTATCGATCAAGATTTCCAGGTCAAGAAACGTCTGCTGTTTAAACATTTATTATAATCATTAGTCGTTTAGTAAGCGTATTATATTTAGGATCACACGGTTATAATATTACCTCTAGTAATACTTGTAATAAATTTTACTTGATGAATTTATCGTAAAAAGTTCTTACTAGGTCCCAATAAGTATAAACTACTATTTCGAAAAGCAGATAACAAGTTGAATTAATACAAGTAAATTAATAAATTTGTTTGGTTGTTTCGCAGTGCCATAGTGAATGTTAAATCAAAATTATTTAATCAGATGGCTTAAGTCTAATTGTAATCAAATATATAAGAATGTTTATATAATGAAAGTATTGTAACATCTTCCCTTTTATAAAAAAGTGATGGATGCCATGTTGAAACATTTTATTCGTAATCTAATTAGATGAGATACGGTCACGTGATGTACTATCATGTAGCGGCAAATGAGCGTATATATGAGGTTTCAAGTTGAGATTTTAGCAATAAAAATTTAATTTATCATAATTGATATAGATCATTTTGAAGATAACAAAAGTAAAAAAAGTAGGCTGCAGCATTATTTTTTAACATTCATTTTGTGAAACTAGAAGCGAATAAATCGTTGCCTAAAAACAAAAGGTTCAAGTCGTTCTAATTATTTTCTATTGCTAATCTATAATCTAATTGTCGTAACTTCGCAATGTTTATTCAAAAAGTAGGATGAATGTTTGATAATAATTTGGCCTATATTGTTGAAAAGAACTGAAAGATTATTTATTGCAGTTTTCGATGTGATAAATCATTTGGAATATGCGGAACGGTTTCACTAATACACATTTTTCTACTGAGATTGAAAAATCCATCTTTAAAAACAGTAATTTATGTTAAATATGTTAATGAATATAACAATGAGAAATAAAAAAGAAAGATAAATGTGCGCTTATAAAATTTAAGCATGTTTGATCCTATATATATTTTTTTTTCCTATATAAAAAAGTGATGGCTTGCCGAGTGAAGTCATTTTATTTATCATCTGATTGACTAAATGTAGTCACATTGTTATGAGTAAATCGGAACTAAATAATAGACTGTGGCGTTTTACATCGATTAATACTCGATCAAATTAAACGAATAAAAAGAAGTATAATAATTTGTAGGCATTCAGAAGACAATAGCGTCCACTTCCATTCTCTCGACAGCCACTCTAATTACATTTATTTACAGGACATATAAATTTATAGAAAATCTTTATTGTAAAGTTTAACTTTGAATAACTATCATCAACAATGAAGAGAATTATAAATCGATATTTCACATGAAATTCTGAAAATGAATTTCGGTGCATTCGATACCGATAATTTATTGAAAAAATTTTTTAGAATTGAATTTACAAAAGTAAACAGTCTCCAAATAGTCCAGGATGAAAAATTGAAAAAACAGTTAAAATAACATAATCTGTTGATATGGAGATATCCTAGAAAAAACTTCAAACCATATACTGATATTTTTGTTTAAAAATAAAGAAAATTACAACAATTATTTATCGATTTCAATGTATGGTAAATGAGTTTAGGTTTACGATTCGATGTGATTCCCATTCATCATATATTAAAATCGATAAATACCTGTTCAATTGAATACTATTACGAAATTATTCTTGAAACAACCATAAGATTTGACAAAATACCGAAACATTAGATACGATTCGATGTCGTTCCTTTCTCTTATATATTGAAACTGATAAAAAACTTATAGTATTATAAGCAACTTATGTACACTTTACAGGAAATAAATTATTATTATTGTTATTATAATCTTAACTATTGTTCTTCCATCTTTTCTTCCGTTTCTTCTTCTGTATTGCTTTTAGCAAGATCTTTGTAACCATGTTTCTTTGTGTAAACTCCAATAGGAGTTAGTTTGAATGTAGCCAGTGGTATTCCCAAGAGTTTCTAAAACATAATAAGTATTTTAAAAAACATTTCTATTTAATAAGTATTCTGTAAGTTTTTGAATTTCATTCAAGTTACCAATATCCTAGCTGATTCTGGTGTCAAAGCCTGTCCCTGTTTGCAAACTGTGTATTCTTTCAAAAGTGTTACAATACCTTTGTCCAGAGTAGTAGGCATACCCAATACCCTCAAATGTGGCTCTATGGCATGAGAAAAATCTGGCAAAGGACCAGCAGATAATCGAACTGTTTTAGTTGCAACAAACCCTGCCCGAGCATAGTCATTTTCTTCAAATTCCTTCATCCATTTAAGGACCTGAATGAAGATAAAAATATAAATATGACATTTTTGTTAACAATCGTCAATAAAAGAAAATTATTAAAAATATTACCTTATTTTTGTTTTCATTTGTAAAAAATAATCCACATTGTCCTTCGAGCCTTACTGACAGTTTAGAAAGACCTTCTGAAATTTCAGTTTCTAGTGTTTTTCCCAAGGCCAGGGCTACAATTTTGTTTTTGCCAAAGAAAAATCTACTACCTTTCCATTCTTCCCTTATTTCTTTTAGTTTGTTATTGCGCATGTTATCCACAGAAAACAATATAATGGTTTTAAACTGTTCCACACACGATCGAACATCATTAACAATTTGTTGCTTTAATTCTAAACCTTTTTTTTTAGTTTTGGTGAGTGAAACTGTAATAAATTATGATATTAATAGTCTTAAATATAATTAACCTAAATTTTGGAACATTCTAGTTGACAGTATTAGAGATTTGGGTTTGATAAACTTACTTTTCTTATCCCTTTTTAACTTTGGCATTTTGAGATTTGAAATGAAAATTAAACAATTATAAAATAATGAATTGTTTACTTAAATCAAAAGCATGCTAAATATTTGACAAATATTCTAGCACGTGGTAAACACGTTATGCTAACCTGAAGGTGCGATTTCATGAAAGCAACAGGGAACGGGCAACAGGTTATATAGGAACGAAAAAGTGGCGGTGTGGGGAATGTTACCGTGCGATTCAATACTATTACATCTGCAGCAACTCGTTACTGTGAGTTACTTAGTTTAAATTAATTGAAAATTTCAATGTATTATATAATAATTGTTTTTTCATCCGTTATAAAAAAAAATCAGGGACTGCAGTTATTTTTCTTTTTTTATTAATATACAACTGAGTGAATAATAAATTATAGACTGTGTTCAAAGTTTCGAACTGATTATTATTTTACTATATTTAATTTGTAACATTTTGGTATCACCGATGATACGCTGGAGCGTAATGCAACTACATTTTACAATTACATATGATACTAACTATATTAGATAGCTTATATTCAATCACGATTAAAATTACAACCCTACTAATACTTTGAGTTGTCAACAGATTTGAATTGACGCAGTAGCAGTAGTCCTCACGACTTTGTTACCTGTTACCGCAGTACCGCCTTGAAATCGCACCTTTACTATATCTTTATGACATATTACTAATAAATTTGTTACTAAAAATTAAAAATAATGTTCATTTATGTTTGAAATATAAAATCAAATTATTATTTAAAGGAGTTCGCAAATATATATAAAGTACATAAAGCGAATAAAATTATTGTTATATTGTACTATTTAATTTATTTAACTACTCATTGTGTACTATTCATTTTTTAAGGACTACCACTTATCTATGAAAATAAGTTTTTTTCATAATAAGAAAATGTTAAACATGTTAAGTAACGTAATAGCACCATGTCTAAAATCATTACGCATCTAAATAAATCGATCACTCTCTGAGCGCTTGGAGCGGTATTTTATAAATACTTTATAAATATTTATCTTTGTTAACGATGTAATTAATATGACTAGACTATTTTTAATTATAATCAAATATTACATCAAGATATCTATTAGTCTCTACTCTTTACTTCAATGAGACTCCTGGCACAAATGTAATTTATTTACATAAAAACGTGACACGTAATTAGCGTTGATTTAATTTGTATTATATGAAAATAATAATTTTATAGTTTGTATCATTCGAAAAATCGAAAAAAAAGATAAAATAACATAATCTGTTGATATGGAGATATCCTAGAAAAAACTTCAAACCATATACTAATATTTATGTTAAAAAATAAAGAAAATTACAACAATTATTTATCGATTTCAATGTATGGTAAATGAGTTTAGGTTTACGATTCGATGTGATATTGTCATTCATCGTATATTAAAATCGATAAATACCTGTTTAATTGAATACTATTATGAAATTATTCTTGAAACAACCAATTTGATAAAATACCGAAACATTAAATACGATTCGATGTCGTTCCTTTTTGTTATATATAGAAACTGATAAAAAACTTATAGTATTATAAGCAACTTATGTACACTTTACAGGAAATAAATTATTATTATTGTTATTATAATCTTAACTATTGTTCTTCCATCTTTTCTTCCGTTTCTTCCTCTGTATTGCTTATAGCAAGATCTTTGTAACCATGTTTCTTTGTATAAACTCCAATAGGAGTTAGTTTGAATGTAGCCAGTGGTTTTCCCAAGAGTTTCTAAGACATAATAAGTATTTTAAAAAACATTTCTATTTAATAAATATTCTGTAAGTTTTTAAATTCCATTCAAGTTACCAATATCCTAGCTGATTCTGGTGTTAAGGCCTGTCCCTGTTTGCAAACTGTGTATTCTTTCAAAAGTGTTACAATACCATTGTCCAGAGTAGTAGGCATACCTAATAGCCTCAAATGTGGCTCTATGGCATGAGAAAAATCTGGCAAAGGACCAGCAGATAATCGAACCGTATTAGGTGCAACAAACCCTGACCGAGCACAGTCATTTGCTTCAAATTCCCTCATCCATTTAAGGACCTGAATAAGGATAAAAATATAAATATGACATTTTTGTTAACGATCGTCAATACAAGAAAATTATTAAAAATATTACCTTATTTTTGTTTTGATTTGTAAAAAATAATCCACATTGTCCTTTGAGTCTTACTGACAGTTTAGAAAGACCTTCTGAAATTTCAGTTTCTAGTGTTTTTCCCAAGGCCAGGGCTACAATTTTGTTTTTGCCAAAGCAAAATCTACTACCTTTCCATTCTTCCCTTATTTCTTTTAGTTTGTTATTGGGCATGTTATCCATAGAAAACAATATAATGGTTTTAAACTGTTCCACACACGATCGAACATCATTAACAATTTGTTGCTTTAATTCTAAACCTTTTTTTTTAGTTTTGGTGAGTGAAACTGCAATAAATTATGATATTAATAGTCTTAAATATAATTAACCTAAATTTTGGAACATTCTAGTTGACAGTATTAGAGATTTAGGTTTGATAAACTTACTTTTCTTATCCCTTTTTGATTTTGCCATTTTGAGATTTGAAATGAAAATTAAACAATAGTAAAATAATGAATTGTTTACTTAAATCAAAAGCATGCTAAATAATATTTGACAAATATTCTAGCACGTGGTAAACACGTTACGCTAACCGGAAGGTGCGATTTCAAGAAAGCAACAGGGAACGGGCAACAGGTTATATAGGAACGAAAAAGTGGCGGTGGGGGAATGTTACCGTGAGATTCAATACTGTGACAAACGGACACGTCACGTTGCGTCTATAACATATGTATATGACAGGTATGAAATAAGGCGCAAGCGCAAACAGCATATGTACACCCGCGAGATTTATGAACGTCGATAATATAAGCGAAAACGTGTAAATGGTCACTTGAAAATGCAACGCTCAGTAAGAATATTCAAAGGGAAAAACAAACGAATAAAGAAAGATTTATTGCACTACAATCTCGACTACGGCATCTACTCGAGCGCGCCGACGTCTGCGCTACACATGTTGCTCACCTGGGCAAATTGCGAGCGCAAGATTGGCATCGGAGCAAACAGCAGAAAAAATGCTCTAATCCGGCAATAAAGGATGAAGCACGTAGGTCCGAACGTGCCGCGAAAACTTTCCCTTTTTACTACACCCTTTCTTCGAGGCCTTTCTCGAAGAAAGGATGACGTCCACTTCATCAAATGATTGGATGCCGAAACAACTCTCACTCTTCCCTCTCTTTGGAGGTGTTGATGCTAAACCTACCCCTTTGAGAGTGACAGAGGGGAGCGCCGTGGAGGACGCTCCAGGACAACGACAAGGCAGTCAGAGCAGAGCCCTCACGAGAGAAACTTGTTAAATTTTTCTTATATTTTACGTCATTAAAAAGCAATTGGCAGTTTGAAGCATAACTGATCTCTGTTTTCATTTGAATTTTCCACGCTACCCAAATTATAAAGTCGGTCAATGAACGCTCTCATTCCTTATTTATCGAGTCACGTTCAAACTCATCACGCGCTTACAACTAAATACAAATTATTCATTGTTCGCGCCAACGGTAAGAGTGGGGATATTACAATACTATTACATCTGCAGCAACTCGTTACTGTGAGTTACTTAGTTTAAATTAATTGAAAATTTCAATGTATTGTATAATAATTGTTTTTTCATCCGTTATAAAAAAAAATCAGGGACTGCAGTTATTTTTCTTTTTTTATTAATATACAACTGAGTGAATAATAAATTATAGACTGTGTTCAAAGTTTCGAACTGATTATTATTTTACTATATTTAATTTGTAACATTTTGGTATCACCGATGATACGCTGGAGCGTAATGCAACTACATTTTACAATTACATATGATACTAACTATATTAGATAGCTTATATTCAATCACGATTAAAATTACAACCCTACTAATACTTTGAGTTGTCAACAGATTTGAATTGACGCAGTAGCAGTAGTCCTCACGACTTTGTTACCTGTTACCGCAGTACCGCCTTGAAATCGCACCTTTACTATATCTTTATGACATATTACTAATAAATTTGTTACTAAAAATTAAAAATAATGTTCATTTATGTTTAAAATATAAAATCAAATTATTATTTATAAGATCTCGCAAATATATATAAAGTACATAAAGCGAATAAAATTATTGTTATATTGTACTATTCAATTTATTTAACTACTCATTGTGTACTATTCATTTTTTAAGGACTACTACTTATCTATGAAAATAAGTTTTTTCATAATAAGAAAATGTTAAACATGTTAATTAACGTAATAGCACCATGTCTAAAATCATTACGCATCTAAATAAATCGATCACTCTCTGAGCGCTCGGAGCGGTATTTTATAAATACTTTATCAATATTTATCTTTGTTAACGATGTAATTAATATGACTATAGACTATTTTTAATTATAATCAAATATTACACCAAGATATCTATTAGTCTCTACTCTTTACTTCAATGAGACTCCTGGCACAAAAGTAATTGATTTTCATAAAAACGTGACACGTAATTAGCGTTGATTTAATTTGTATCATATGAAAATAATAATTTTATAGTTTGTATCCTTCGAAAAATCGAAAAAAAAGGTAAAATAACGAGATTTCGGAAAATCTATACTTCAGGCACAAAAATGTTGGATTTTCAAAAAGAAAAAAATAATGCTAATAGATTCCTTTTAATATGTACCAACTAAATTTCAAAAATTATAATTTGTGTAATATGTACCAGCTAAAAATACAAAAATTATAATTTGTATACTCTAAAAAAAGATAAATAAAGTTTTTTAGAGTATCATTCATTGTAATTAGTTAGTCTTTAGATGGCGGTAGCATTTAGAGCGAATATGCCAATACGCAAGCATGATTTTTATTATTACATGTGTAATAAAAGAGAAAGGGCCTTCTCGACAAGCATTCAGACCTATTAAATATATAGTTATTTGATCGCTTCTACAGAAAGTGTCAGAAACCCCGCAGTACCCAGCTCAGGATACCAACCTGAATACAGGACCTACAGCTTTTAAAGCATAATTCGAACTACCAGAATCACGGCATTAATTTTATTGGTATATGCACTTTTTGAAAATAAGACATTGTTGGTACCCCCCCCCCCCCCTCTATCAATAATTGAACCTCTAAATAACAGTAGCAATGTATAATAGTATATTTCGATACTCTAGTGCGAGAAAATGTTTTGACCCTCGTGTGGATGTTTACGCCCGAGCGAAGCGAGGCAAAAAAGACCGCATGATGGTAAAATCAACTTCTCGCACAAGTATCGAATAATATTTTTCGATGTAACGTGTGCGACGCATGATTTTAAAACAGACATGTTCAATTTACGTTGAATTCTAATGTAACTAAGAAAATCCATGAGAATGTCAATTCTGTATTCTACAGAATCAAATTATCGTATTAATATTAAGGGTTGAAGCATTAATGTGTAACGCGTTTTATAGGAACTGAAGTTTTTATTCATAAAAAAGAATATTGGTACTTGTAAAAAAGAAAAAGGAATAACATAGCTAAAGTAATAACAAATATTCTTGCTTACATGTGAAAGACAAAAACGATCAACGCTTTGCGAAAAGAAATTTCTAATGTACATTGTTTGCATATTATATATCTATCTATCCTACGTAAATAACTTTTTCGATACGCTGTGCGCGAAGCTGGATTTTACGTACGCTCGGAAAAGACAGCGTGTTTAAAATCTCGTGTCACACACATTGTATCGAAAAATATTGTTCGATACTTGGGCGAAAAGATGATTTCACCCTCGTGCGGTCTTTTCTCCCTCGCTTCGCTCGGGCGCATACGCCGACACGAGGGTCAAATCATTTTCTCGTACTAGTATCGAAATATACTAAACTAAAGTCGTCACGAGTTCTAGGAACGAATAATTTGTTGTACACTTACAAAACCTTAGAGGCCTGCTCATTTTTCGTCCGCCACGTATTACGACTAGTTAATTTTTTAAACGTTGTGACTACATAATCTAACAAAGGTTTATTATGTAAGCCTATAATTAGGGCAAAAAAAATTCCATAAAGCGGCCTTTTAGATTCACTCTCATTATAGTGCAATGGTTACATCATTCAGTATATTAAATAAGTTATATACCAACGGCATTTCTCTTTGGTCAACGTTACAATGTTATCTCCATTTGGATTTCGCCTGAAAGTTCTTCATGCTATTATAAATTCGTGTTCTAAGGTCAATTAAATTGATGGAGTCTTATATATCTATAGTCTTACGCTACTTTTACACATAAATACAACATAAATACGTTAACATAATTATTATAAAATTGATTCCGTTTTTTTACATTAATCGATAAAATAAATTCATGGCGCATAATTACTTGAAACTTTATTTTGTGGGGAGTGGAATAATGTTTGATAGAAAATAATGTATAATAAATATATAATTTCCACGCAAAATTTGATAAGTACTTACATTAACGTATAAACAAAAACATTATGCACCAAGTAATTATCACAAAAAGTTATCAACGCGTACTTTGAAAAAATTTAATTATGAATTTTTTCCTAAGTACTAAATGGAAAAGCTATCTACGATTACCAAAATAAAAGAATTAATTTACATTTTCAAATATTTCGACTACAGGACTCCCTTAACATACACACAATTGGTAACGCTTTGACAATCGAAGAACATTATTACACATACATCGTCTGTTTGAAAAGGAATATTAAAAATATAATATATATATATATATGTCTCGTCGATAATGAATTATTTCATACGGAAAGAAAAGTGTGCTCACACACGCCTTGGAATGCAACCACGCAAAACAAGAGAGATAGAGAGGCAGCCCATAAATTCGAGCCCTATTATAAAATCAAGTCAAGCTCAATTCAATTTTCAAATATGATGCGCAACTTGTCAATCGTTGATTGAGACTAGAATCTTTCGATCATCACATGTACATAAATTTAAAAAACCATAAGTCAATCCTAACTACCATTTAATACTTTGTTTCATTTTGTATTTAACTCTGTACTGTGAGCATCTCGTTGTTCACCTCGGGAATTGGCTCACGCCAATATGAAAAATTGCTGAATTCATCGGCTGCATCTTCGCGCAACGCTGGGTAAAGATGATCCACTATGAAACTCATGTTTGAATACCTGAAAGCAAACGGAAAAATGTATAGTTATTTACGCTGAAATCCAATTCGAGATTGCTTTTATATCTTGTTCTATTAAAGTTTTGTTTTCGTTAAAGCGAATGAATCGGAAATCTTTTTAGTATATTGAAATAACTTCGCGGTCGACAGATTCAACAGTGTTGTTTAAACATGTTAATGCGCATGATAAAGTGTATTCTATAACGAAGTACATTAGTGTTGAATTAGAAATATTTTTTGTTAGTGGTGGGATAAAATTTATTGCCATTGCGTGGAGAAATAACTGTCTGAACGAAAGAAAGAGTTCACGACGAAAATAATTTTCAGCAAATAAGATTAAGCGAGATGTGTAGTCTCAGACGAAATTCACAACTCGCATAGAAGAAGCAATTCAAAACATTCAAAACAACAACGTGGATGAGAATGGAGAGGTAGATTAAAGTTAATTATTATGAACGATTAAAGAGAAGTACTTAAACTTTCTTCAATTCTCAACAATCATATTTCGATATAAGTGCACGGCATATGAAACAATATCAACATAAAATTCTAACGATACAAACGGATTAAGGAAAGAGATGATGGTCAGCGGTTTTACTTTTTTATTTGGGAACTCTAACGTACTCTCACGAAATTTGAAGAGATTGTTGTAGATTCGGCAGCAATGGAAACAAGTCATCCACACATTTACTCTGAGAAAAGTAGCTGTAACCATATAAAAATATGTTCGTTCAACGACGTGTTGATTTTTTCTTATAAAACGAGCCACCGGTACCAAAAAAAATAGTATAAAAAGATACTCTTTATACATGTCTGTACAAATATATACAAAAATTATTCTTCAAACAATGTAACACAACGGCTCTTTTATAAAATAAAAATAATTTTTTGTCGTCTTCCGTCGTTGAACTAAGAAATAGGTATACTTACGAAGATTGGAAAGTTTGAGTCAGTTCGTGCTTCAATTCACCACGATGATTAATTGTGAAAATTCGTGTAGTGGGAATTCCCACAGCTCTGTATGCCCATACATCCTGCAAATAAAAATGAAAATAAATCTGATGAAATTTCTCTTAACCAGAAAACGATCAATTATTTTATTATAAAGGCTTACATTGATACGATTCCCATAACCAGCATAAAAAGGCTGCGAGCCTTCAGGAAACAAAGCCTTGATATCGCTGAGGCAAGAAATCTTAAATTCTTCAGGCTTCTTTTCGATAACCTCTCTATGGAAAGCGGAAATCAAACTTGTAGGATTCAAAAGTAATGGTCCGTCAGGTAATGATAAATCGCCTTGTCTGATACTCTTGAGATATTCTCTCGTGACTCTTGCTTGACCTATGGCTCGCGCTGATAGATAAAGTAACTTGTAGCCGTTGTCCTTGATTTTTGTAAACAGTTGAGCTACACCTGATTGAGCCCAATCTTTGCCAACTATTGGCAGAATATGGCCGAGTACATCGGATTTAGTGATTGTCCCGTCAATATCTGAGATCACAATTTTGTCGTCCCAGCGCCACTTGTAAATAAAACATTTGCAACGAGTTGTTCCTTGATACGCTGTTGTCACGCTAAAAACCACCTCGTTCACGCCTTCTTTTAAGTTTAGACTAGCCTGAAAAAGTTTAAGAAAAGTTAATGTACATTTGATAAAGTTCTATCAACTAAGAAACTTTCATTTTAAACTTACAATTTGCTCAGATGACAGCCTTAAAGTTTTTCTACAGTTCTGCGTGCTTTCATGATACGATCTTTTAGGTACGTTAGTGGCCGGCGTTGTAGCAGATAATGTATTTGAAGTGATAATTGGAACACCAACATCGCCGATTCTTGAACGTTCTTCATCGGAATCATAATTATTTCCAGTACTGAACAAGTCAACTCGCTCTACTTCTTTCGGCAACGAATGCATTGCCGATTCTGATTTATCCTCGACAGCATCGCTGAAGCTCACGAGTGACTGGCTAGTACTTTCAACACTGTTGGTAATTTCCTCGGTGACGATGTCCTTGTTGTTCTCGTCACTGACGATTATCGTGGTAGTTCTAGGCTCTAGATTCTCATCTTTGCTGGCTGTAGCTGTTTCGGTACTGCTGATTTCGAGAGACGTAATGTTGGGACTCTCATCGGCTACAAATAAAATCGTTTATTACTATCAAAACTGATAAATATGATTAAATTAATCAAGTTCACAAGTAAATCGAAACATGTGTAAGTTCATTTTAGTCGATACAATTGTTGAATTAGAAAGTGCATCATTACTTTTAATAAAGCTGGAGTTAGGTGACTTCTTAGTAGGCTGACTTGAACGTCTCCAAGTGAACCATGAGCTATAACCTCCCGGAGCAGTGGAAGCTTCAGTAGTATTACCGTTAGGATCATCAGCCTTGCTCAATCTCTTCTTATCGTTGATAGTAGCTCGAGGCAAGTGCCTATTGAATGCGGTATACGTCATGACGAGAGCACAGGCTGATCTCCAGTCGTAAAATTTTCCATTGACTTTGACGACGAGATTTGGATTCTCAAAGATCTTCGGATCGCTGCATGCATCTTCATAACGTAGAGCATGACGTTGGAAGGCTTCGTCAGAGAGCTCAGTACCACAAAGCGAGAAAGTGACGTCGAGCGGTGGTTCAAAGTGTTTTGATGATTCGTCGAAGTCGCTGTCGAGTGATTTTGGTCCGCCGATTGCACCTTCTACACTGTTTGGACTTTGTGGTAGGGATGGTCCATTACCCGATTCTGTATCCTCTTCGTAGCCTAATTTTTCTTTCGGAAAAAAATAAAAATTAAACTATAATAAGCATAGTTTTTTTTAAGGAATCGTGCAAAACTACGTCATGCCAAAATGGTAATTGAAAGCAGTATCAACATTTTTTTTAAAGTTTTCATATGTTTACACAAAATCAAAATCTTACAGAAATAGTTACAATACATGTAAGTTAACAATACATAATACACAAAATAATTTTTTTAATCACAATAATATGTTAGTTTTTATTCATTAGTGATCCATAAATAATAGTGACATTTTCCCTCTAAAAGACAAGCAAAATATCTCTTCAATGTAATTTTATCAATAAAAATAAGTACTTCTTTCAAATAAACTCACAAGGCCAGTTTGCCTTAAGGAAAATCCTTGTCTCCACCACACACAAAAAAACACATAGTCACGTACATAAAGCAATCGGCTAAAAAAAATCACTCGATCGAAAAATAAATAAATAAAAGTAACAAAAAATTCACACGTCAATTACACAGTATTTTGATAAAAACACAAGCAGAAGCGAATGACCTTTTATGACTCCCGAGCGTTCCACAATTGTTTACTTTTTTAGTATTACTAGTTAGGCAGAAGACAAACAGGTTAATACCTTTAACAACGTTACCTCCCGGGCCACGATGCGAAGATGGAAAATAAAGAGCAGCGACCTCCGGATCAAGTTCATCGGCGTTCAAGTCGCTCAGGTAAATGCCCTCGGATTCCGGATTGTGTCTCACTCGCGAGGTTTTCTTCATGAATGAAAACATCCCTCCTAGCATCGATCTACGTGCTTCTGCAGCTGCATATCAACGGCAATTCATAAGTTTACGATTAGCGTCATGATTCCGGAAGTATAAAGGATGTCATTATCGTGTGAGTGATTGTAAGCAGTGAGTTTTTAACGTGTTTTGACAATGAGTTGACAATTAAACTTATGCCAGGTACTTACTTTCGTTAACAGTACTAGCTGTAACCACGGCATTCAATTGACCTTCCAAAGAGATATCATGTGGTGGACTTGGCAACTCTCCCCATCTCCAACTTTGGGTGTGGGTTTTATCATTCTCAGCTTTAGCTTCTTGCGTTATCTTTTGAACTTCGAACTCGGTATCTGATTGCACTGGTGAACTAGGCCTGGATTCTTTGTTTCTACAATAAAGAAATAGAATGTGATTCGTTAGAACGAGTAAATGGCACGTTTATGAAAAGTTTAAAAAAATATCTAAAAAGATTTACTTTGTCGTGATTTCAGTGTCGCTGAAGAAATGGAAATCCATCGACGTGTGACTTACGGAAATTTTACTGAGCTGTTCTTTTTCTGGAATTTCTTTTGCATCATCTTTTACGATAAATTTGCTGTCCTAAAATATTAAATACATGTTATTACCTCGATCTTTCATTAATGAATAAGTATGTATTTCAAAATTTATATTTGCTTACAGATTCCTCTAATTGAGATTTATCAAATTCGATCACAGATATAGTATCTTTACCCTGAGAAGCATCAATGTCGTTTACGCTGATCTTTCTCGATACGCTTTTTCTCTTCATAATACTTCTCTTCTTTCTTCTCCTCTTGGAGCTGCTGCTACCACCTTTAGATTCTTCAGTCGTTGACTCATCTTTCGAGTTTCTTTTAGTTCCCGAAGAAGAGGATGATGATGACAACGTCATGGGATTACTGGAGTCGTCGAACTGAGGCTTCTCAATGGGACGAAAATCATTTTTAACGACGCTGATTTTGCGAATTCTTTCACTTGAAGTGACTGCGATAAAAGATTTGGGATTCGATACTGGATTGGATACTAGTGGTTTTGGTTCCTCATCTTGATTAATGTTATCCATATCAAATATCTCCTCGTCATCGTTGAAACGCAATTTCTCGTCATCTTCCTCTTCTTCCTCGACATCCTCCTCTTCGTCATCAGCAGTCTCATCTCTAATAATGCTCTGAAAAATCAATTGCACACATTTGCACAAATTAATTTCAAAAATCAACGAGGTAGTAATAGTTTCTAGAAGATCATAAACTAACTACTTACTGATTTCTTAGGCGAATAATGCACGTCTTTTTTCTTCCATTCAGTCAGCAATGCTTTTTCAAATTTTTGTCTCTGCTCAGCAGGCAATTCTGGAAAATTCTCTTTAAAGAGCCTCTCTTTGTCTTCGGTCTTGAGAGCGCAGTATTGCTCACTAATCATGCGTTGTTTCTGTGCAGTTGAGATAGTTTTATTATATTCTTGAAATATTTTATCCCTCTCCTCCGATGTAAGTGATGCAATTTGCAACCACTTTTCACGATGCTCAAGAGGAAGGTCTGAGAAATGCTCAATCAAGAAGTTTTCTCTTTGGTCTGGTGGTAAAGCCGACATCTGCTCCCATTTTTCACGTTCAATAGACAGTACTGAATCTCTGAGTATCTTTTCATGCTGTTCTTGAGGTAGATCAGAGAGTACATTGAACCTACACAATTGATGTCAGTACAGTACTAAATTTAAATTAGGAAGATAAATGAATAAAAAAAGCTTTATTGCTTAAATTATAAATTAATCTTGCTAAGTAATGAGTTACATAGATAATATGTTATAATTCAGTAGTATTTTATTATGTTTTATGAAGTATTACAAAGTTTTCTTTTACCTTCTGTTATTTGGGAAAACATCATCGTCATTAGGAATAGGTGAACACGCTAAATGTGGTGGAATTTCAGCTTCGCTAGGTGATCCATCATATCCAGGAACTTCCTCAACAAAGAAAGCTTCCCCTGAATCTCCCAATTTCATATGAATCTGCCTAGGCTCTGAATTTATTTCAATATCAACCTAGAAGTATATAACAATATTCAATCAACTTTCATAAAAAACAATAGATCATAACAAATGTACAAATTAATAATGAGCATTAACCACTTTCTCCCTGGAACGTAATACACCAAGTTTGCCAAAGCGTACATGGAATGGTGAGCAGGTAAATGATCCGTCAGGCTGCTGGACAACAACAACATCGATGGCACCAGTGAGAGTAGCTGCATTGATCTCATTGTAGAAGTCTCGGAAGTTGCTGATGAACTTTCCGATATAATTCATACTGTACATAATGTAGACTTGCCTGTGGCCACCCCTAACTTAGCAAGTCCTTAGCCCTCACTTGCACTTCTTTTGTTGGTTTTGCCTTATTGGTGTGGTTTCTTCCCTCAAGGTCACTTGCAGAGTTGTTTGAGAATCACTTTATTATTCTATATTATTCTATCTTCCTGAAATGCAAAATTATATAAATCAATTGTTTTTTCTGCATGACTGACCAACACAACGACTTATAAGCTAATTACATTACAGTTACAGCTAGATATGTTAATACTCGAACTTTTCTTAATTTTATCCTTTCCAACTTATCAATCACTATTCTAAAATTCTATTGCATCTGCACTAATCATTACAATCAATTCCATCATTGTTGAAAGAAACAAACAAGCTGTAAAACACTACTCGGGAGCTCTATCGATTTTTTTGTCTCGATTTTTAAATGTCTCTCAAAGCGCATACGCACATACACAACAAGAGACATGACTATTCCTGTAATTACGATATAAAGCGGAATGAATCATCACAACGTTATCAAATGTTCGTCGGGGGGCGATGATGACACTCGAAAAATTCGGCGCAAGCGAGCGCGCCCTTTGAACTGTAACCTTTTCGAGGTTAGAAACTCGAAGAGAAAGATATCTCTCTCTCTCTCTCTCTCTCTCGTGTGTATAAGTGTGTGTGTGTGTCTCTCTCTCTCTCTCTCTCTCTCTCTCTCTCTCTCTCTCTCTCTTTCTCTCTTCTCGATCTGGAACGTTCGCGGGACCTTGAAGAATCGTCTCTTTGAATTTCGCGTCTCTCCCCACCACTACGACCACAGCTGAGTGTATGTCAGTAACTAAGCGCGCGATCGATTCTTTGTCTTGACGAAATATGTGAAAAGAAAAGTCTACGAACGCGAGCTATAGTATACCTTTTCCTCGCGCGTTCCGCGACACAACTGAAGGCCTGACGGGTGCGCAGTTCGCGCTCGTGTGCGGCTATACGGTAAACACCTCCTCACCTCCCTCCTGTATCACGAGAATGGACGCGGGAGAGAAAGGCGCCTCGCGATCGAACCACACGTGTACCTACTTCTCTCGCGTACGTGTACGTACGAACGTTCGCCGATTGTAGTAGTGTGTAATGTTTATCGCGCGGCGGACGATATTGCTGCACTTACCTTTGTTTGTGAGGTTTCGACGCGGTAATTTGATTTGGTTTTTTTATGCGGTTTCGCGATGAGACAAAAATCAATTGATCCTGACATTTATGTATTTATTTGGGAATGTCAGTTTTTAAAAAGAACGTTTCAGCAACAATTATTGAAGAAAAAAATAGCGTCATTGCGTAAGCGACTGCTAGTGAGAGGTAATTTTATGAGAGATAACTGAAAATTCGGGCGAGCAGTATGAGTGAAATTCGAGGACGCGGTGAATTTTCTTTGTTAATGTACTAAAACCGTTGTGTAATAGCATGTTCGAGTTCAGAAATGAGCCGAATGCGCGTAGACACGAACGAAAGTAATCGATCGAGGCACGGAGTTTTGGAGTTCCGCGACTTTTTGCAACGCTACGAGTAACATGAGTAACATGAATGATTATTTACGTGGATTTTCCATGCATTCATCTATCGCACGTCACAAAACTTGTGTATGCTAAGTTCTCCTTGCTAATGAATCTCACAACAGAGTTATAGAGCAAATGCCACGAAGCAGAGAAAAATAATCGCACATAAACAGGATAATACATATAAGAAACAATAGAACACTTGCTCAATCGATTGCCGGAAGCTTTGCCCAAGAAATTTTGAAAAACATCCAACTGACATTTTGGCAAAACAACAAATGGATAAAACGTTTTGGTTGCAATCGTCTCGCGCACAAGCAAAAAGTCAACGTCTGTCACACTCGCGTGGCTAGGATTGTCAAGTTCAAGTGCAAAATCAAGGCGGTACAAGTGTGCGAAAAACATGGAATCTATCGCTTGAGAAAGCTGGCGAGCAACTGAAGCTCCTCGGTGGTCGGCGATCGACTATATAAGCCGTTGGCGTGCGTACACATGTACTATCGACGACGACATGCGACGACGACGACGACGGCGATGACGACGACGACGACGTTTGTTTAACAGCTGCAACGTGCAACTCGCTCAAGCTGACGTCACGCAACGGATGCCTTCGCATTGGCTGTTAATTGTTCGCGAGGCACAATTAGTTGATCGCGTTATAGATCGCGAGTATACAGGCGGAATTTGTGTTTTCTAATGCATACGCAAAGCTCCACGCAGCGTGCCTAATTTGAAAATAAGAAATGGGTCAATGCAGAAGAAACGAACGGTAACGTGCGGCTGTTGATACCCGCGAAAGAAACCGAAAGAAATTGGCTTACCCACGAGCCACAGCTTTTAGTGATAAATGAATGAATCGGGATTTTCTTCGAGTACACTATCACGTGGCAGATATAAGAAGGCGCGCTCTTATGCTACATTAGGAAGCGCACTAGGTAAAAATAAACGGAGTCGGCGCACTGCTCATCCAGGCTTGACAATCTGCCACGCGCGGGGGCTGGCTCGTGTACATTATCAGAAAACTAACCACGCGAAGTGTGCACGGACGAGGTGATTCGAGGACATTGCGCCTCACGCAGATAGCGCTCGATCATTTCTTCCGCGGCGCGTGGCTTGGGTTTTTCTAATCTGCCGACTCGTAGCCTGCTGAGTCCAAAGGGCTCGCGACTCTCGAGCCTTTTGGACGAGTGCACGTATCAGAGCTTGTAGCTCGCCTCTCCAAACAATATCGGTTATACAATGACGTTTGCTTATCACCGCGAGCTGCCAATGCGCGAGACACCCGAGCTCTCTTGGCAGCGTCACCAGTGAAAGCACAAACTAACAGCTTCTTATCTGTCGCTATCAGTGCTCGCCCAAGCACATAGCGTGTCTTTTCGTGATTGCTCTTCGATTGGCCATCGATTCAACGTGTTCAATCGACCACCATATTTATACAACACCCATGTATATAGTTCCAAGTTTACACCTCGCAATCATTTGCATTTGCTGTCTGCTGTCCCAACGGGTACTCGTCGTTGTGTACGAGGTCTATTTTTACATTCGCTCTCTCTCTCTCTCTCTCTCACGTTAAATACCGGAAAAACAGTAGTGAGAGGTATGCGCGCGCCGAAAGAATCATGCGAAAGACAAATTTAAGCGTAATTGAAAAGGACAGATGGCCTCGACTGGACAAGAGAAGAAAAAGTCTCGTCAGGGGAGAACAGGACAAGACAATCGACAGCGTGTAACGGTTGCATCGATCACATTGCCTCGATGAATTTAACTTTTGCCCATAAGTAAACGAGAAACATTAATGGTAATTTTGTTGACTTTCGATTAGTGAGGCGATCTGTGCACGCAAGCAAATGAGAAAATATCTATTACAAGCGAGTATTAGTCAGAATGACGCTGTACAACATTTGCCTATTGCCGCTTAACAGATCTAAAGAATCTGGTTGTTTGCTGAGTAGTTGTCCAACGGCTATCTCCAGCAGACATATGCAGACTTTGGACTGCGATAAGTATCGTGCAGCTCGGTATTGGTTCACCTGTTAAATAAGAGCAGCGGGCAACGCAACGTAACATCTCACACTGCACACTCGTGCGAATCTGGAATAATTGAATTCGCTTTTGGACTTTCGCCGTTTCCCCGAGTTTTCGGCTTCTTGGGAAGCAAAACGATGCCTTTTTCCTTCACGTCGATACCTATCTGCCGAGCACTTTCTACTATAATTCTACAGCTTCCGACACTGTGCAATTTTTCATAGTACACTAGCTGCTTTTTCAATTTATTTCACGTATTCACTACTACACTGCAAGCTTCTGCTTGTTTCAGAGCGCGAAGCTCAGTTTTCATAACACTTAAAACCACGGCAATGAGAATTTCCCGAAATTATGCAGCGTTACGAAACTGCATTCGATTGGCACTCAATGCAAAGTCTTTGCCAAAAAGGAAACGCTAGAAAATAGAAATTACGCGATTACAGAATGACAAATCGCAGCTTCGAATCTACGAGAATGACGTTTGCGCGAAGAGAAAAAATAATGTTTGTAGCAACGTCAAACTACCAGCTATGACTGTATAGACGAGTTGGTTGGAGTAGTAAAAAGATGGAGTAGCGTTGTGTATACTTACAAGCAAAATTCGTTGCCCCATTCGTTCGCGATCGCGCGATTACCGATAAAAATGGGAAACAAGATCGCGCGATCGAACCACGCGTGGGGGCGAGGTACATTTGTGTTCAACACATTTTTTTCTAGTGTGTGTGTGTGTGTGTGTGTGTATGTGTGTATGTGCATGTAGTCGAAAATGCGATATTTCCTCTTCGATGACGACCAACGTTGCGGGATGTTGATGGACTTTTTATTTGGAAAAGTGACAGATGAAAGATTTGTTATTGTGACTTTATTTTTTTTCGTTTGTACTGGGAAAATAAATCAAATCTTAGTATTTGTCAAGTTCTCTCTTTTCGGCAGAGGCTCTGCGCATCTGGCTCTCGGCTTAAAAACCTGTTTCGAACTTGATCGACTTTGTATGCTGAAAACTTATTAAGGTTTTTTCAACGAGTTTTTCAATGAAAAGTCTTAACTTCCGTAGGCAGACACACATTTTGTAAAGTTATTTTATTTGATATAAATATATATAAAAGAGAAAATGATATAAAAGATAAATTAGTTAACTTAAAATAGTTAAGTCGGTAGAGCAAGACTCGGGCAATCAGATTGAACCAAATAACAAGAAATGAAGTTTATTAGAATTTAAATCAGAACTTATAAAACTATTTATTTAGTTAAAATCAATAAATGAAACATGCTTACACTCTCCCGGTGAGACCTGAGATGTATAGATTAAAATCAAAACATTTCCATATTTAACATTCAAACTACGGTTCGTCAACTCGGATACATAATAAAAGATTAGCTCACACTAAGATGCTCATGGTTCTTCGCTCGCAATGCTCGGTTCTTCTATGCCACACATCTCGTCACAATTCCCAATATAGGAGGTAATCACTAAACTGCACTAGTATATCTTGCAACACAAGCAGTGAAATTATCTTGATCCCAGAGCGGATTCTGTCGCAGAAGATAGCCGTTGGAATGTCGTCAAATAGTTGTAAGTCAGAAGGTCCCGCCTTCTGTGATGTTTCTCGCTGAGTGGCAACCGAGCAAAGGAGAGCGAGCAGCGTTAGAGAGGGGCTTATATAATAGAGCGCGTACATGGAACGACTCCCCACTTACTTACTTACACAAAATTTGAGTAATTCAAATTGATGCGTTACATATGCTCCGTAGATTTAGAACGAATCGCAGGAACAAAATGCTCCGTATTTCAGTGGATGCATTAGAGCTAAATCTTATAATTACTTTAATACACCTCAAATTTCACACCACATAGTTAACCCTTATTTATACTATTCTAAGTCGACTTAAAAAATAACTCCGGAGTAATTAGCGCAAGTTAATTTTACATAATATAATAAATATTCTCGTAATTACATAGGTGTACACGTGATATCGCTTAAAGCAATACATATTTAATCATATCATTCTTCTTTTGTCCCTTTATAGGTTTTCGAATATAATTCTCCTTTTCACAAATTCATCATATCTCGATCATGATAATACATTTCAATCTATCTGTTTTTAAGACATTCATCATCATACATGCACTTAACATCATACACATTCATAGCATACTACATTTCAGTCATTCATTTCACAAGATAAACTCACTCATACTCATACGCACAAAACAAATCAAACATTTCACTTAAAATATAATTCGTTAGTCCAGCAAGGTATAGCAAAGACTTTGCGAGGAAATCGGAAAGGCAACGCATAAAGAACTCTGATTCACAGCATTTTTGTACTTGCGAAGATTGAGGCGATTAAAGGCACCCTTCTCGATTGATGGATCATTTGGATCAACCAAAAGGAAAGCATTCTCGCCAATAACTCTCGAGATTCTATACGGCCCCTCATATAGGTGAAAAAATTTTTGTGTGACTTTGTCAAGCGCATTTGATAAGTGCCTGACTCTCAACATCACCAAATCGTTTACGTTCAAGACTACTTTAGATATTTTATTTCTTTGATTTTTCTTTCTTCTTTGAAAGTTTCTCAGAATATTATCTCTTGCTAATGTAATCATTAACGCCTTATCAATTGGTTGAGGAGATGGAAACTTTACAATCTTAGATATCTCATCCTTAACATGCTGTCCGAAATGTAATTCTATGGGAGCAAAGTTTGTACTATAATGGGTGGTAATATTTAGTAAATTTTCTATTGTTTTAACCGAGTCTATCCATGTTGTATGCTTTTTCACACAAAAAGTTCTAAAAAGGCGACCAATTTCCCGCATGACGCGCTCTGTAGGGTTAGACTGAGGATGGCGAATACTACTAAATAGTACTTTCACGCCTATTTCCTCCAATGGGTTTATCCATCGGTTTGAGGTAAACTGCGTGCCATTATCACTTAAAATCTTTTTGGGCTTGCCACATTCCGGTATATATTCTTTAATGATTTTATTGACTGAAGCTAAAGTTGTTGCTCTTTTCATAGGGTAGAGCCTCACAAGCTTTGAGAAAGCATCAAGTACGACGAACAAGTACTCCATTCCCCCCCGGGCGCGAGGGAGGGGTCCATAAAAATCCACGGTAACCAAGTCTGAAGGAAATTCAGAAGTCACAAGGTTATATGGACCCTCCATCGCGACCGACAGGTACTTAACTCGCTGACAGAGATCGCATGACAAGACGAAACTTTTTATATCTCGATGCATAAACCTCCAGTAATAAAATCGCTTCATATACGTAAGCGTCTTAAATACTCCCGGGTGACCAAGCTTCCTATGTGTATGCTCAATTAAACCTTGTTTCAAAACCAGTGGTATGACTATGCGAAAATTGCTGATTTTATTTTCACTGTGAAAAAGTATGTTTTCATATACATGGAAATTCTCACTCAATTTCTGATTTGTTTGTTTGTTCAAGCTATCTATTATATCTCTACAAACCCTATCAATACTTTGCTCATTTTGCAAGTTTTTAAAAACTGATTTTAATGAGATATCACGATTGTTAATTGACAATATTAACAATGGAGAGATCTCATTTTCTAAATATGGCAGTGTAAATTGATTAAGCAGATTAATAAACAACCTATCACTGATTTGTGTACGAAATTTTCCATTTGGATTTCCACTGATAAAATCTGCCGCGACATTATCAACACCTTTGCAATACTTAATGTCAAACATATATTGTTGCAACAAAAGAGTCCACCTGATTAAGCGAGAGTTATGATAAACAGTGGATAACATAAAAATTAAGCCTTTATGATCCGTAACTATATCAAATCTAGTCCCAATCAGGTAACATCTAAATTTTGTCACCGAATACACAATTGCGAGCAACTCGATCTCAGTCGTCGTATATCGCGATTCCTCAGATGTGAGACAACGACTGGCTATGGACACAATACAGTGACTTTCATTCTCATCTAACTGATACAAAATACCGCCTATTCCCATCAAACTTCCGTCGCATTGTACCTTCAACTTAGCATTAGGATTTATGTGATTCAAACACACTGCATTCAAAAAGTTCTTTTTTAACTTCTCAAAATTTTCCGTATGCTTATCAGTCCAAATCCATAATGAGTCTTTTTTTAATAAATCGCGAAAAGGTGTAATATATGAATTATGTGCTATTATAAATCTTCTATAGTAGTTACACATACCAAAGAAAGATTGTAATTGATTTTGGTTTTCGGGCGGCTCAAAGTCAACTATCTCCCTTACTCTTTCAAGACTCGGCTCTATGCCTTTTGTATACAAACGAAACCCCAAAAACAATATTTCAGTTTGAAACAATTCAGTTTTATCAATTCTAACCGTAAAATTACTTTGAAGCAATTTTTGGAAAATAATTTGAAGGATTTGTACGTGTCTATTGAAACTCCTTGTTGCGACAACAGTATCATCAATATAAGTCTGCGAGTTTGTATAAATATCAAAAGGATCATCACAACAATTTTCATTTGAATCAACTAAAAATTTAAAATCTTGTGAAAGAGGAGTTAACATGGCTATGTTAAAAGCTCTTATAAGAGCGCTTCCAGCGGTTTTAACACCAAATGGCACTCTTATCCATTGATACATTTTTCCCTCAAATCTAAAAGCTGTCAACGGTCTCGAGTCCTTATGTAACATTACCTGCCAATAACTATTAGTTAAATCTATTTTTGAGAAAAATTTACATTCAAAAAATTGTTGCAACATTTCAGCTATAATTGGAGGAGATTCATGATCATCCTCTATACAATCATTTAACTGTCGTGCGTCTAGGCATATTCTAAGAGTTTTATCCGATTTCATAACTATCCTAATTGGATTACAATATTGACTAATAGCAGGCTCTATAATACTTTGATCCAACATCTCCTTAATAACAAGTGCAAGAGGTTTTCTAAATTCCAAAGGCACTGAATAATGTCTATTAATTTTCGGATTTGGTTTAGCTAATTTTAATTTATGTTCATAACCTATTGCACAACCTGTTTTGTTTGAGAAAAGTTTCTCATATTTATTCAATAATTGTCGGAAAACACTCTTTTCATTTTCGTTCAAATTCTTATTCAATGTTTTTTAATTTTTTATTAAGAGTCATACTATCTTTTTTACATAATATTTTATCTTTATCATTTTGATGGCAATCACTATTTATACATAATAAACTTTCTTCTGCTTGATTCATAAACATATTAATATTATACGTATTTATTTTTTCACTCGTTATAATTTCATTTATTTCATTATTTTTATTTTTATTTCGCGCTTCATTCTTATCTTCAAGCTGATAATTTGATTCATTTACATTATTAATTTGAAATTTTTCTTTATCTATTCGAACAATATGAATACACGTCACTTCATCTTTATTTGATAGTATGATTCTTTCTAAATCACATTTTTCAAATTTTATGATTTCAGATGGTATAATTTCATGTTTAATTCTAAGCTGTGTCTTCCAATAATCAATCACCAAACCAGCCCTTAAATTAAAATCATTTCCCAGAATAATATCAGTAGACAAAAAAGGCACAACTAGAAAATAATGTGCAATTTGAAAATTATGGATTTTTATGTGCAACAAAATTTGTTTTTTTATATTAGTTGATTTTTTTCCTATTGCTGTTGAGACAACTACATTTGAAACTGGAAGTTCTAATAATTCAAAGTCAATTTTTAATTTATTATAATAGTTTTCTGAAATAGCAGTAATTTGGCTCCCACTATCCACTAAACTCCAAACAGAGCTATTCAAAATATTAATCATAATGCGTGGTGAAGCAGGTATTCTTTTGTTTATGTTCTCAATTTGACCCTTATCATTAACTACTCCATATGATAAATCGTTTTCTAATTCGTGATATAGACGCATTGGCGGGTCAGAGTTCAATACGTCTATACTGAGTTTAAATTATTGTTTGAAACCTGATTATTATTATTATTATTCCCATTTTGATAGTTTGGCGGGGGATGTGATAGATCAGGCAAATTCATTGTAGCTTGATTCGAATTCAAACTCTGGCCGTGCAACCGACCATTAGAGTTTTGTAAACAATTACATTTATGATGATCCTCATACGGACCCTGAAAATGATTACGATCTCTATTTACGCGACCACGACCTCTACCATAACGACCACGATTTCTACTTTGATTAGCGTACATACTTTGTACTTTAAAATTTTGCCAATCTTGTTGTTGATTATTTTGATTGTTTTTATAGTTATTAAATTGATTTTTCCTTTCCATGAAAAGAGTGTCAAGAGTCGACAACGTGGCAACAATTGAATTCGAATCATCACAAGCAACTGAAGCTAAAGATTGTCGAGCCTGATAGGGCATTTGTAATACTATATTATGATTCATCTCAAAATCTGACATAGGTGGCATTAAAAACTTTGCTTGTTTTCTTTGTGCAAAAAAGTAAGACTGCAAATTTCCATCTCTCTCTTTGCTAAATTTTCTCGATAACCATTTACTTTTAATTTTTACTTGAATAGGAATAGTATAAAATTTTTTAATAAAAGCAACCTTGAACGACGGGTAATCCGAAAAGTCAGGTTGTAGTTCATACCAATCGCGCGCTTTACCGTGAAGAATAACACCTACAATATTTATTTTTCTATTTTCAAAAATTTGTTTGAAACGAAAATATCGTTCGAGTCCGTCCAAAAACTCAAGGGGATTTTGAGTATCCTCGTCAGAAAACTCAGGGATTTTAACATCAATATGATTTGTACCTGAATTTCCCAAAATCGCCAAAACGTCCGCAAGCACATCACCCCGTTCGTTGTTCGATCGTTGCGCATCTTGAGGTATAGACTGTGGCGGAGCGACAATGTTTTCAGATTGATTTTCATGCAGAACACGAGCAGCGTCCAGCTCTCGCTGTAGCTGATCTACCTGCTCGACCAGGCCGTTGGCTCTCTCGAACTCAACATTTACAAGCCGCTCTAAACGTGCCACTTCATCGCGATGCCCTTGCGCTTCCTCGCGCTGCCTCTGCTCCAAGCGTGGGTCATCGGGTACAACATTCATTGTTGACTTGTTCTTTCTCGTTCGTTTGGAAAACAAAATAGAATTAGGAAATATTTTCGTTGTCTTTCTTCCAGACCTTGTCACATAGTTCAAATCGTCAGCCATTCATTTTATTAAAATTACGTGAGTTACATAACCGTTGGGTGCCAATGTAAAGTTATTTTATTTGATATAATACAATTTATAGAGTACTACGTTCGAATATTCGTGTCGGAAGAATTCAATCTTTGCAGGGAAATTCGTATAAAAGTGAAGTCATCGTTATTGATTCACCAGTGGACAAGTCTTTGAGTTACATCAACAAAATTATGCTCGTGGGACTTAATCGCGTCCCGATAATAATATAAATAATTGTCCGAACAAGCAAGGCTAAATTTCACACAAATTAACGACGAATGTTTGCAAAAAGAATCTCATGCACATGCTACTTCAGCATGGTCTGGCTCCAGCGAACCAACGAGAGAAAGAAAACGCAAACGCGAAGGTCAGTCGCTGGAAAAACTGGCTCATCTATAATCACTGCGCAGATAATCCGGCAAAAACAAATCTACTCGAGTATTTACGTAGAAAAAAAAAGCGTCGTATAAACGTAGCTAACTGCACGCGTCTGTCACACGAACGTAAGATTATAATTATTAGTTTTGACGTTCATGGCCAGCGCGATAAGCTTGGAGGCTCGCCTCTCGCGGCGTGCCTTCTCCACCATTACACGATGCTGAGGCATTCCGGAATTGGCACTCGCGCGGCGCAGTTTTGCTAGACGAGGAGGCGGCTTCGGCGTTCGACAAGCCTTAGCAATAAATTTCGGATGCTTTGTCGATATACAGCTACAAGTAGTTACGAAGATCAACGAATTCAATGAATAATTCATCTTCGGTCTCGCGCGCGGATCGGAACGTTGTTTCTCGGGAACGAGGTGCACACTTGAAGCGAGCTACGCGGATGGAAAATCGATTGCCACCCTTTTCTCTCCTCTTCTTTGAAACAGCTTGCGTGGCTGTGAAAAATGAGGTTCGAAAGCGCATGCGACGCAGTCGGCCGCTCAAGTATGCAGCCTTTGTAGTAGTACCGCATGCAGCTGGACGACCAGCACCTGGCTAATCGCGTGATTATTCACCTCATCCTAAAATTCACGTGGAGTGCAGCTCTATGATGTAACATAATCCCTATAATCCTCCTAAATATTGACAGCTTCGGCTTTTTTTGCATTTGGATTCATTGTTAAATGGTTTGATTGGCTTTTCTTCTGATCTCTTGGACGTTTCAGCATCTAAAGTCCATCCGAGATCAGGTGGCAGCATATAATTCGTAAGATACCTTGACCTTCAGTGTAAGATTAACGACCAGATAAGTAGCTGCGGAAAGTTTGCGCATATACGCTTAGCCTGATTAAGATATAAATAACGTAACAGTGACTGGTTGCGCTACGCTTGCTGTTTAATGGCACGAGAAATCAAAGTTTAAACTGCGATTAGAGGTACACTAAATACATCGATAGCAGAATGTTTCAAGGATGTAAAACAAGAGATGCTAAATTCAAATTTAAATGAGAACATTTAAACACAGCAAAACACTCTATTACTCTCTCAATCAACTTCAATTAATTATAAACACTCGGCATTATTTGTTTCCACAATAAAAGGAGAGAATAAATATATGCATCATTCGATCAATCGGGATATTTAATCCCAGATTAGAATCCGATAAGAAAGCAAGGCAACGAATTTCCAAAGATATAAACACTTGTCTGATTGTTGCTTTTAAATAAAGTCAATCAAGGTAATACGCGGTTCAGTCTCGGTTTATGGTCTCGGCAATTAAGCATGCAGTCCCTCGTACAGACGATGCGCATTCTAATGCTAACACAAGCTATCCTATTCATCCTTCTTGGACTTAGTCGAGCGGAAGGTATTGCCACGAACAATGGGTGAGTAAATAAAATCGATTTCGGAGTTTTCTGCCTTTATGGCTGTTTTTTCTCCTTCTCTTCTGCGCTTTAAAAAAACACAAAATCTAATTTTAACAAATTCAGTTCGTATTGAAAAAGCCAAAAAATAAAAAAATATACTACCCTTGAGTTAGGAGTATATCTTTTGGCGATAAAAGCCAATGAAAAATAAGCATTTTTATCAGTGATGAATAAAACGATAAAACGCGGAATTTCGGATATTATCGGCTTAAAAATTTTTTGGAAAATGGCAGATCATTTGTTGTATGACAATCAGGAGCGCGCTGAGAAAAATCGTCTACGAGATGGACATCGACAATCTCATTGATGAGAATATAGAAAGGATTCGAGAAGTAGTATCGGAATTGGACCCCATCAAGTTGGACAACGTGAAATTCCCTGTGACGTCATCCGTAAATAATCGATTGTTCATTATCTTTTGGAGACGTGTCTCCTTATTTAATAACCGACATTTTGGCGATTTCAGATTTACATGCTTCTTTATGACGGCTGGGCACAAAACTTAGCAGAGTTACAGCGCGCTGGCAAGTGCAAGATAAGGTACTCGAACAAAAAGCTCGACATCGATTTGAACTTAGGATGGGACAACCTTGTCGTAAGTAGCAATAAATTACCAATTGCTTAAAAGCCTTCTTTACATTTTTACATTTTGGTCAACAGTTCGATTACCAATACCTAATCAAAATGTTGTTGCTCAAGAGAGAAGGTGATTTGCACGGTCAGATGACCAAGTTGAACATGCATATCAATATGAGAGTCGACTTCAATAACTATCAGATTACACTGAACGAACTCGACCTCGTGGAGAATGGGTAAAGTACATTTTCGATGATAACGATCCCAAGTGTCGATCGCTAATCAATCTGCGTTGCACGCTCTTACCAATCAACGAGTGGTAAGGTTATTTTCAAGAATCGATATTTCACAGCAACATCAGTTTGACTCTAGTAGGCCACCGCCTCGACTACATCTACAATTTGGCGATCAAAGCGGCTATTCGCGCGTTCCGCGACAGTTTCTTGAATACTATCAGGAAAGAAATAGAATGGATGATCCTGTACCGAATAAGCAAGCTCAACATCAAGCTCAATTCGATCATACACAGATCTCAATTCACGTTCGTCGACTCCAGCAAAAATCTACCATGACTAGCAGATCACGAGCAATACCGTCGATGATGATCATCATGTTGATTTTCGATTGTTGCAATAAAAATATCCTTGATACATCTCTTGTCTGTCAAATCATATGTAATAATCAATCGAGAGCTGACGCGACTCCTGATAACACAAGTGACGCTGTGCTGTTATCACACAATCGCGCGTGCAACGTTCTTCGTTCGATCGGCTCAAGAGCGTGACTTCGGACTCGCGTAGCCCACATACCTGCAACCCACAGGGACAAAACGAGAGAAAAAGAAAGGGAGAGCAATCAGCGAAGGAAAGGCCGAAGAAAGCGCGTGTCGGCGCATGTGTGTGACTTACTTGATTATTACTCAACCGCTTGCGAGCAGATGTTTGTTTCGCGGACACTCAACCATACACCTTCTTTTTGTTCTTATTGAAATTCCGAGTTGTTTGCACGTTTCAACATCGACCCAAGGTCTATTCATCGCTGAGTCATTCTGTGCGTACATGCCAGAATTTTTTCCAGGCTAATTTTCGATGCGAACGAAACAAACTTTATTATTATGTGACGGCTAGCCATAACTTAGTTTTTTTTATATTTAATTATTAAATATGACGAACGGAGTGGGAACCTTCCTGATTTCCCACGATGAAAACGCATTCGAAATATAAACTTTGATAGTGGCCCGAGCCTGCGTACTCAAGCTTACAATCAACGCTCTATCCTGCTTTGTCCCACACGTATGTGTTGACAGGGGCCTACGATCATCGCGTATACATCGTGAAGTGTTATCACGCCGATAATGGAAGGGGACCATAAAAATGCAATCTATCTTTTTTTTTCCCACCGATTTTTAAGAAAATATCCGTAATATTAAATAGATTTTCATCAATTTTGTAAGCCATTATAATGCGCACCTTTTTGTCACCGAATAACCAATAAATAGAACAATAATGTATTTTATAATAAATCGTAAAAGGTTTGAATTTTTCTGAATGTTCATAATAGTCACTATGTATCGTCATAATTAATTAAGTTTAGTACAATTATGTATAAGTAATTATAAGCTATAGCGTTACTCTTGCTCTTAAAAGTGGCACTCCGAGAGCCATCTCTGGAGAAAAGGGCCCAAGTTAAAAAGGGACCGCCCTTTCTCTCTCTGAAAATTCACGCCCACAGACCAATAAAGAAATTCTGGATATGATTAGAAAATTTCCGACCAATACAAAATTTAGCCGTTATCGCTTCATGGGCCTGAGGAAAGGGATTTCCACCCAACCACCCACGGCTTATAAAAAGCTCTGTACAAGGCTGGAGAGGAAGTTAAGTGAAGTTAAGCTCAGTTCAGTCAGTTAAGTTAGAGGAAGTCAAGTTCAGATAGAGTAAGTGCGGAGTGAGCACCAGGAAGTCCGTAATAAGAAGTTTTTACTAGTGAGCGAGTCCCGGAGCAAGCATCAAATCACCCAACTATATTCAGAACATATAGAGAGAGAAAGAGGCCAAAGAGCAGAGAGAGAACGCAACATTAATAATAACTAAATTGATAAAATAAAAGTAAGTAAAATCTTAAACCTGGCTATCCTTTTCTTTCTTTAAGTAATCCGCCTTTCTTTTGGAAATTCATTAAGCGTGAGTCTGGTGAATTTCCATTAAAATCCCTTAAGAACACATTAAGCGTGAGTCTGGTGTGTTCGTAATAACATTTGGTTATTACATTCCCCGTTAGCATACAGTTTTCTCAACGCAACAATATTGCTCGTCCCGGCTTGTGTGTTACACGATAGCCAAATCAGAGCAACCCTGAGTTTACGCTTGCTCCAAGCGTACCTGAGAGTGACCCCGACGTCACAATTATTATTATTATTATTATTATTATTATTATTATTATTATTATTAGTATTATTAGTATTATTATATTTATTCGTTCTGTCGATAGAAATAAAAATAGTCGCCGAATTTCTCTAGCCGGCGCATGACGTGGACCAAGGGTCCTATTCGAAATAAATACATTTGTTAGTTCGCACAGAGAGAGAGAGAGAGAGAGAGAGAGAGAGAGGAGAGAGAGAGAGAGAGAGAGAGGAGAGAGAGAGAGAGAGAGAGAGAGAGAGAGAGAGAGAGAGAGAGAGAACGAGAGAGAGAGAGAGAGAGAGAGGGCCACAAGAAATCCGCAGCATTTCCGTGCCCATTGAATCTTGCGTCATACACAGAGATGCATACGTTATCCGAATTGCTACCACGTATACTATTGTAGAGCCTGCTGCCTCAATTTCAATGCGACGACCAGACGAGAAAATTTCTCGTTCAGGCTCAATTGCAGAATATTGATTTTATATTTTTTGTAAATTGTTCGTTCCGACTCCAAAGTGCGCAAGTGTTTTAAATTCTTGGCAATGAAACAACGCCAATTGTTATTTTTGCCTACTGATGATTCTTCTGTTTTTACAACCGCTTGGACTTGGAAGTCTCCAAAATACAAGTATACGTAAGGTACGAGAAAGCTGATGCTTGGCGCTCTAATCATTTGAATAACTGCGCAAAAGTATAAGACTGATGGCGTAGGGTTATAGCACATCTGTCATGCATGCCTAAGGCAATGACCGATTATTTTTAGTCGTAAATAAATTACTACTAAGCGTGAGCTTATCTTCAATTTGTTACTCTTTTTGAAGAAAAGACGAAAACACGCGAACGAGAAGCGTCGAAAAAACTTTGGGCCATGAGAAAAATTCAATAGACTACATTTAACCTTGAATGCACAGCACAACAATTCGCCAATAACAAGAGTCCCTCGTAACATTGTACCAAAGCGACAAAGCAAAACAATAAAAAGACCCGCTTAATAACGAAACTGTGCACCAATTATTGTGTGTATCCTGTCGATAGAACGCGGTAAATAATCACCTGCAACGATGCAGCGCAGGTAAGCGACACGTGCGACACAGCGCCGGTAGCTGCGAGTGCGATGCCTTGTGTCCTTGTGTGTAGTTGTGTGTTGTGTCACTGTCTAGTCAGTGAGCGCGTAATAGCATCAGCAGCCTGCAGCCTGACGCAACCTACGGCAGCCATCGACTAATAATCGCTGCCTGCTGCAGTTTGACATCGTCGAAACTGCCAAGTTTAAATCGATCGGAAAAATGCATCGAGAGCCAGATAAGTCTACGTCGCGAAATTTTTGCTATTGGATGCGAAGCAATTGAAAGAGCGAAAGCTTGTGTGACTGGTACCGCGTAGCATGTCTGTACAATTGCTAGAGAGGAGGATACGTAACGATAAGTCGGACACTGATTGCAGTTGAGTCTTGCCGTATACTCACGTAGTTATTTTGATTCGCCAGAGATGTCGAATAATCATAAGCTCGCTCGTCGAGAGAGGAAAGCTCCGGGCAAAGTTAAGACAGTCGCGCTCCGCTCCGATGCTGCTGCGAGCGCACGCGGGCGACCTAACCTCATCACTGAGCCCGCCAGTTTTCGAAAGCACGATGGGCAACGACACCGACAGAGTGCCGAGTCTGATGCCGAGCTGGCCGAGGCGCGACGAGATGCCTCAAACGCTGCTGGAGCTAAAGTTTGAGCTGAAGCTCGATTGAGTTGGCCGTAATGTGTACAGTACGATGTACCGTCGATACCCGTGTACCCTGTCTTTGGAAGCTCGGCTGCAAAGACTATCGCGGCAGATCGCAGTTGCCACGTGAAGAAGCGCGCTTACGACATTTGATGGGCAAGAAGAAGGAAAGTGAGCCGTGGGCCGATAGAAACAGCCTGAGGAGAAAGATCGACGCGGTAAGGACGGCTTTCAGAAAGGAGTAAACAACAGTCAGGCAATCGCTGACGATGCTTTGACCGAACGGTTGGATGGAGTGATAGAGTGGCAACGAGATCGTACGAACAATGCGTACCAGTAACTCGATGGGCATGCAAGAGAACCACAGGCTTCCGCAGTATTTTGAAAGTTCGGCAATTGTTTTGGTTTTTTATTTGGAGCCTAATCCTTAAGTGACATTCGGCAGCGAACTTTTCGATTTGATATTTTTATGTCAAATCGCTTGGAAACACTCGTCGCGCTAATATTGCCGACCACAGCCGCAATTTCTTTTCCCTCTCGCAAGAAGTAAACGGCGAATTTACAACAAAACAGTTTTTGTTCTCTCAAGAATTGGCATCCGGCTCGCCGCCATCGCGAGCTTGTGGCTGAAAACTACGACACATACCAGGAAATATCCGCTTAACGATAATAACGCGAGAATGTAATTTAAGCCCAAAAACGATAAATCCGTTAACTATGTGATGCACACGCAATAAATTTTATTGATAAAAAGCTTGGCTAGGGTGAACGAACAAATCGCCTGTGCCTGCTCGCTTCCCTGGCAAACACGAGAAAAAAGTACAGAAACGAACGGACCATGGTATACGGCCTACTTTTCTCGCTCACTTCTCTTGCTAACAAGCCTCACTTGAAACTTCAATATCGTATGAGCAAATACGTATAACGGGCTGTGAGTGTTCTGCTTTTAATGAAAAAAATTCATTTAGTTGAAAATAACATTTTTCTTAATCATTCAATTTTTCAACGTATTCAAGTATGACTTTCTTTCGATAGACTAGATTCCCCTCGGTTTTACTAAAATCACTGAAAATATTATTTCATTATTATACGTTTCGAGCACTAGTATATAGAGGCAGTCTGCTGAATCACTTGAACTGCTAGTGTGTATTACGAAAGTATCAAATCCTTATCTGCCGTTCCCTTCGTCGTTAGGGTCACTCATAATTTAGCAAATTATTTTCTTTTTAACCGAATGAAAGCTAACAAGATAATAATTTGATTTTGATATACATACTTTGCGACTTCTCGTCTCGTGTCCTTCTCGATGTGCCTTTTGTCTACCTCAGATGCAAAATTTTTCCATTCACGCGACCTCTACCTATTTATATCAATGAATTAAACCAAATCTATCAAATCTATAGTCCATTTACAGAAGCGTAACCAGTCTCGTTGTATAAATAATAAAAGGACGCATTCGATTGGCAGGTTGTCGATAATTAACGTTCTTTCGCGTTTGCTCGTCAAAAGGGGTAAAAACGCCGTACGGGCGTACCACGCCTTAATCCCTCTAATGCGTTTCTCATTAAACACCGTGTTATAAAAATTGACCTTTTTCGTTTGCAGAGCATCCCCGAACCATCGATTTTTAAGTCGAGCCACTCGCGCCTTCGTCCTCGTCATCCCGTGGCTATTCACGGCGCAACTCACGATGACCAGTATGTGTGGAAATCATGTCGATTTGCCCGAAAAAATGCGCTACATCCAACGCTGTTAAACTAAACTGTGCGCATCACGAAGCGTTTCCCATGCACGGATCTCGATCGATTCGGTGTATACGTGGCGGCAAAGCTCAAAAGATTGTCGAGCGAGCAGAGCATCATTGCGGAGAAGGTCATCGCCGAGGTACTCCTGAGAGCCAATCTTGGCACGCTCGAGGGAACTACCACTTTGACCGAGGCCACGACGACTATTAGTTAGGTGGTGCGGAAAAGCAAAGAGCTCTTTTGTCGATAGCTTTTTAGTAGTATTTATTTTTTCAAGTTTTTCATCTCGACGCTACGCTTGTTCAATCATCAATTGAACGTTATGGATTACTTTTTATAATTTTTACAAACTGTCACATCCCCGTTCATATTATTAATTTTTAAAGATTTCGATAGGTATCAAGACGATGTCTTTTTTCATCCAATCTATATTGATAAGCATTACATCAAGCAATCATTCCACTATTGGTTAGTATTAAATTGAAATTTGACAAGTGACGCTAGGCAGTAACGTTCCCAATCGTCCGATCAAATCAGTAATGAACAAATAAATATATTTTTTAATTAAAAAATATTTGCTTAATCGATTGATTGTTGTCGATGAATGCCTGCGATAAAAATGAGGAAATTGTTCGAAGGAGACGCCCAGGCAAAGAATCCAAATAAAAAGGATTGATAAAATATAAATCAAGCGTGTTACAGCGATAAGCTTCCAATCACTAAAGCCGTTTTCATTTCCTATTCCTTTGAGCTTTCACGATTACTCCTCCCTTCTGAAAATTTCCCCCTTCGAAAAGACGCCCCATCCTCTATTTTTTTCTTTCTTCTGGCCTTTCTTCTTTCTTTTCTCTAATGTTTGCATATTTACAATTCACGACGGCGACTCGTCGAAGTGATAAATGAACGTGTCAACGTCTATTATATGTGTTTCTTTTTTGTTTTTGTTCTTTTCGAACGGTGGCTTCTGTGATATTGTGATAGGGTGTTGGATAAGTTTGTCACGGAATTTCATTAATAGCCCAAGTTAGGAGGGGACGAGCGATGTTTCATGATGTGCCAGCGTCGCCGCCCCTTGAAACTTTGTTAAACCGCTCCTGCGGGCTTTTATTATTACACACGTGGTCATTTTTATCGCCGTGAGGCTTTGACCAACAGCTAGCTCTGCTCCGTGTTATAAACAATTGCATTGTTTATAGGGGCTACGACGCTACTCACGTCGTTATGTCACTCTTGGCTGTTTGCCGACGAGTAGCCGTGAAAACGTCGGTTTATAAGATGTGTTGATGCTTAGGCGTAATACATAATCGATGTGCCAACTGACATGACGTCGATGTTGTTGATTGGGCCAGCGGATGGCTCGCGGGGAGGTCTGGCAGTTGATTTCGTTCGGCCACGCGGCCGTACAATTGGGAGAAGAAAAAGAGGCTGTCCTCGCGGGCGCCCTCATCAATATATTCATGGAAAGTGTCGCGCGCCTCGTCGCGAGCCTCCGATAGCTCGGGGGAAAGTCAAAAAGTGGGCACGAAGCGACGACAACGCGCGACCGAGGAGAGCCAGCTGGAGCCAGTGCGCAAGTGCACGCGGGGGAATAGCAGTGCGTATAATCGCGCCACCCCGCGCTGTAATAGTATTGATGGCGTGCTACTTGCCGCGAAAGAGGGGAGAACGCGGAGCAGTGCACAACCCCCACCGACGACGGCGCCGACGGCGACGACGGCGACGACGCTGACGACGCTCGATCCTTGCAGTCGCGATTCCGCCGCCAGACTGGCAGTGCTTCGCGCGCGCACACGCGTCGCGACGTCGCTGCTACAGTGCTGTTGTTTGAGTGAGGAGCTGTGCGTCGGCGACGATAGGTGCCGAAGGACGAGCGAGTGCCGTCCGGGTGGAGAGGGTGAGTGCTCGCGCGATTCGGGGATGCGACGCGCGTGGGCTGCGCTTTTTTCGAGCTCAACTGGGCGCCCGTGCCAGCCACATCCTTTCCATCGGAGCAGCCGAGTCTCTCGTCGCGGTGCGCACGCCGAGTCACGCCGAGTCTCCGCGCGACATTTCCGGCCTCCGTCGGCGCTCCGAGCTTACGTCCTCTCCCGGAGAGTAGCTCGCACACGGGGAGAGAGCGTCATTTCGATGACGAACTTTTACAAGGCGTTCGATCGATTCTCCGGACTGTGCACGCGCTCGCTATGTCGACTATTCGCCCGACTGTGCGATTGCAGTAGCAATAGTTGGCTAGCATTGGGAATCGAAATAAACGAAGGCGTCAACATTTGCATGCTAATGCGATTTCCAACGTTGCGCAGCCGAGCAACGAAATGCCACGCGCCCCACGCGCCCCACGCGCCCCACGCGCACACACCGTACTCAACTACCGGATAGTACGTCGCTTGCAGTTACGGCATAAAAGGAGGTTACGTACGGCAGAAGCTTTGTATCAATTTGCGAATCCCCGTAAGGACAAAGAAAAGAACACTTTGTTATGCAGCGATATGTCGAGCGGATCGCTCGGATTTTACTTCTTCTTTATCGATAATATTGTATTTGCTTTTGGTGAGCAAATAGTACGAGATTACACGGATGTTATAGGCCGAGCTGATTACACCTAAGCCGCGCTATGATCGTCGATTGATTAGCAATCATGGTCTAATATAACGCACCGGCTTATGGATAGCTGTCCGCGTGTTTGTTTGACCAATTGACCTACAAATATTGGATATTTACCCTGATCGTCATACTACTGCACCTATCGATAAGTATATCGAGGCAAAAGCTCATAAGCTGAGAACCTCTGACCGCAAGCTTTGGCTGGCGCATTAAAAGTTGCCGCGCAAGTTCGCTGCGTTCTAGCGTCAATGTCAATAAAGCTTGTTGCCCAAATCGCAGCAGGTACCCATAGATACCTATCCGGCTAATAAAGCGGTTCGCAAAAAGAAAGCCGGCGCAAAGGAAAAAATGCAAACTACAGCTCGGAAAATGCGGAAGCTCTCGACTGCATCTCTCCGCCGCGCCGGGCCGTCTGCACGTATATATACGTCGGTGATTAAAAGGCGAGCGTGCAGAGAGAGAGAGAGAGAGACGGTGTTTGCTCGCGGTGGGTGCAATAGCAGCGCCAGCCAGCGTAGCTTTTTGGAATGTCGAGCAGAGGAGAATGAACAAGCAGCGACGGCAGCTCGTTGGAGCGCGGCTTAATTATCGAGGAAAGCTCCGCGGAGGCCCGATAATATTTATCACGACAAGAGAGAGAGAGTCTCGTCCGAGTCCCAACCCGCGCGCGCGCACCGTTCATTTTCTTTCGTTTTGCTGGGCTTGCGCGAACGGCAAAATGGAGACGCACGTTTGTGGGAGGAGATAACGATCGGTCTATTGATCACTAGCGGGCGGCAGCGATCGTTCATTGGAGGGCCGATCCGATTTTAACGAATTTCAATTAAGCCACTTATTCCAAATGTCGTTCCACACGTGCGGCATGTCGCGCGTCAACTTGAATCACGCTCAACTTGATTCGCATTAATGTTAACGTTGTTCGCTTGCATTTTCCATGGCCATTGAAGGGATCGCTTTGTGCCGTTGAATAAATTTTGCTACCTGCATATTTGCATTGATCCGACGAAATAATGCAGACTGAAAAGACTGGTGGCTTTGTCTCGGAAGTTATTGAAAAAATAGCATTCCTGATTGTTGTAAACGGAACTTAATTATCCAAAAGCTTTCCGCGTCGCTAGCAAGCAATCTCGACGGGTTTTGACACGTTGCCAGAAAGTTGCATCGATCTGTCGGTAATTTCTGCGTACGCACACTCGTGAATTGTCTGCACTCGCTGCTGAGGAGTGAGTTGCTCTCGTGTGGCATTGCTGCCAAAAAAAGCTGAAACAGTATGGCTGTTGCCAGCACAGCAGTTGGAGCTCTTATTGTTAAGTGTGCGAAATTTGCGCTCATTCGATTTGCACCTGTAATCAGCTTCGCTTCGTGATTGATCATCAAGTTTTTCCACTCACACTTTGTTCATCCTTACAGTTCAGCTACTATAGCAATTCCAAGATTTGTATTCGTAATCAATGCCGAGCTATCGGCCCAGGCATACATTATTCCAGCAGTCTCGTGTTCTTATTCATCGTCGATTGTCACGTTGCGGCTGAGAAATTATATTTTCGCCAGGCCCCAACCGCCCGGAGAACAATTTCAAGCTGATTCGCGGAGTAGAGAGCGCCGCGTTGGCCAAAAAGTTCGAATCGCCGAATCACCAGAGCCAGCAGAAGCACGAATGAATATCGAGTCGCGTCTTGGTTGTTTGGCTATCGTTACTATCGACTCTTCGTTGTCCAGTTTATTCCGTATGTCCGACGAGTCGACGTCCAAGCTCGCGCCTAAGATTGGCCAAAGCGACGAGAGACGAGGAGGCGAAGACGGGGAGTTGAACGTTGAGCTCGGTGCATGTGTTTGCAGGTTCAACGCCGATAGGACGGGCCGCGGTATGTGGGGCGGTGACTGGACTGGGCTCCTGCCAGCCAGGCCGAGACTGGCCTCCAACGACGTGCTGTCGACAGCAGCACCGCCTCCAGCTAGCACTCATCTGCGTGAGTATGTGCACCGCCGTGCTCCTTCTGTCAGTAAGCCCGGTTTGGAGAATTAGCTTCTCGCGTGATGCAGAACCATTTTTTTCGCGATGAGCGCTCCGCTCTTCGTTCGGCGAGGACGTTTGTCCATCGGGATGGATAAAACACAGGACGCGCATCGTGACAAATAATAATAAGATGCAAATTTTACGAACAGAGCTGCCGATGAAGCGCGTGGTGGGCGATGTAGACGCCTTCAAATATTTTCAGTAGTGAGTCTGTTGCTTAGGTCAGACGCGCTCATAGGCTTTAAGCTTGGCCTGACGAGCAAAGGTTAAATCGATGAAATGTTTGCTGATTGACAACGCGGACAGACGGCTCGGCACGGCCGGATTACAGGCGGCGCGACGGGTAATTCGCGTGATCCGCACGATTCGCATAGATGACGCGTTCGGGAAAGGAATTGTCTTGGTGCGCCTCTTGTCGGCGAACCGCTGGCCAGGTAAAAACAATATAATCAAATAAAAAGGGATGCCGTCGACGACTGCAGATGCCTAAAGGACGCTGGACGACGGCAAGAGAAAGGAAAAGCGATGTTCGGGGCGAAAATACGAAGTTGGCTGGATGCGCAATTGGCGCGCACCAGGAAGAAGCGCAAGGCCGCGGCGCCGCTGCAGGAACACCCGACCGCCCGAGCTTTCTTCTTCGAGCGTGATTTCAGCGAGGTGAGTGCCGCTACTTCTCCCTTTGTCTTTGAGATGGGCGCGTTCGCGATGCTCAGTGCCAACTAACTGCCGCGCGACGAGAATTCTCAAGCTCGTTATTTCGCGTAGACCCTGCAGCCTCTCTCCTTCACCCAGCAATCCGTCTTAGCTTGGACATGGCTGAACTCGTAACTCTGGAACGCTTGCTTTTTTTTTTTTGAACGACTTAACGCTTGGCTTGGAACAGTACACGGCAAGTTCTAATTATTCCCAATCGAGTGACCGGCCTTGTCGCTGGCTGCGCCCGCTCAGTGCATTTTCAAGTCCTTTTTAATGGGCAAAGTCGAACAACTGGTTATCGATGCGCTGTCACGTTCTGTGGCGTTGCAATTGTGTCGTGCGATCGCTACCGTTGCGAGTCCGAAGCAAGGCAAAACGCTGAAATTCATTGGCGTTTGATGAGCAAGCGCAGTCGCCTCTCGGATCAAGCTCGCGGCATCTCGGACGAGCAGTAAAAGACTCGGCTCCAAGGCACTTTCGAAAGGCCGAATTGGAAGCAGTCCAATCGATGCTTGCCCGCTGGAGCCACCGTAAAAACTTAGGCGCGCGCTCGCCTACAATGTCTTGTTGTTCGGCGCCTATTGGCACGAGACCTGGCCGACTCTGCATTGCTCGTTAACGCCGCAGCTGCAGCAAAGAGGCAACGGACGCGCGTAATGTCCGATCGGTTTAAAAAGTAGTCCAGTCCGGCAGACTTTCCCTGCTGGGATTTTCAGTGTTTAATCAGCGACGGCGAAAAGCCGGTTGGATGAACTCTCGCCTGCGGCTGCAGTATTTCTTGCTCGTTATATTGCCTCGTAAATGCCTTGGCGATTCTGTCGTGCTTTCGCGTGCTTCCGTGCTTTCGTGCTTCCGTGCTTCCGTGCTTTTGTGCTTCCGTGCTTCGTATAGTAACTATTGATACTTTTATTGCTGCCTGTGCGTCGCCTCTGCACAGCACGATCCTCCCTCTCCCTCGCGTCCGTTAAAAGAACTCTCGAATATGGTGCATCTCGTCAAACATCGATATCAATGTTCAACCTCGAAAAAGCTCCTTTCAATTCGTACTTTACAAGAATTGTAGCCGAGAGACTGAAAACGTTTTGCTAACAAATAAATTGTACTGACTTTTGGAAAACGTTTTGACTTGACTGTGTATTCTATAATCAAGTCAGAACTTGAAATAATACGATCAAGTAATCTTAATGCAATTACATTTATTTATAGGACATTTAAATTTATTAAACATCTTGAATAAGCATTACCAGCAATAAAGAAAATTTACTGTAAAAAATCTTTTAAATTAAATTTCTATATGAAAATAACTCTCGAAATGATAAGAGATGAAAAGCCAGTTAAAATAAGACATCTATTGATATGGAGATATCTTAGGTAAAGCTTGAAATCATATAGCAGTATATTAAATAATTAAAAAATTAAATAATTGTCAGGCGCATCTGATGGTCTTATTTATTTGAAAAAGAAGAATTAAGAAAAATTATGTTGGTGCGCGTCCAACAGCGAAAAATCCGTTGCGTTATTAGATTTGAAATAACTGCAAAATCGGTGAGCTAAACTACTAAATATTTTAGATTCTTTTGCCGAATACAAACAAGAGATAGCAGTATATACCAAAATACCCGTGCAATGTATGTTTGAAAAATTGTTCGGAACAAGCGCACTTACTCAGATGCGTAATGTTAACATCAGCTGGCCAACGAATAAGCATTGAAACTTAATTCATTCCGCAACAAACGAAAGCTCATGACGAACATCGTTGCGTATGTTGATGTGCGTATCTATTCAAGTCTTGCAGCACGCTTCACCAGATAAAATATTCAATGCAACCGCTCGAATAATAAACAAATCGTCGACGGAAAAAGAGGTTGCTTTCGTGAAAGAAAAAAAAAAAAAAAAAAGGCCGAAATTCCGTGACAAAGGGGCTTGCACACGCGATGACATGATTTTTAGCTCATACGCCGCTGATCTAGCTCGCGGCAGGGCGAGCGGCGAGATTCAGACCCCCGGGAGAGATGTTTGTCGTGTGCCTCGCATAGGGGAGTGGATTTTATGCCTCCTCAGCGCTCTACGACTTTATTTGCGACTCTCTCGCTCGATACGATCTCGATATTTTTCAATCGATCCTCGCTTTTCAATGCGTACCCGAAGCTACCCGGCTGTTCTATTGGGATCCGAAAAGTTAGCTTCAGCGCCTCAGACAAGGCTCGTAGAAAGCTTCTGCTTGTGTTAATATATATTTTTTTATAGAAGAGAGTACTTGAATTCATTCTGAAATCCATAAACATGCCTTACAAACTAGAACGCAAACAGTTACCAAGAAAAAGTAGAGTTGTTTGTTGTGTCAAAAATTGCAACTCGCGAGCCTACGTCAACATCCACTTGATATCTTCTTCACTTTACAACATTATTGCTGAATTATACGTAATGTTTAGCACCTTATTGAAAATAGGTATAAGATATTTCGCATACCCTGAAAGAATTTATTATAACGATCGCAGTGATTTAACCTAAGTAAAATTACTTATTGTTATTAAAACCGTTGACTATTATCAATTGATTATATGTACTTATCAGAATGTATTTACACAGCAGAGCGCTGTTATTTACATGAAAACTTCACTCAGAGCTTTGTCTCATGGCTTGCGATTTCTGCCGGTAAGGGCGCTGAAGCTAACTTTTCGGATCCCAATAAACGTCTTCTGAGGATCGATTGGCGAAGGAGCTTGCTCTTGTTTTTCCCTATAGCGCTAATATTCCAAGTGCGCGTATAGAATTTCAAATGCAGGTGTAATTTTCAACTTTACGTGGGAAACTTTCGAGTTGGGCAGCACTCAGGAGGGAAAAAATTGCCCGAGGTGCCAAATTGTTTCGGCGCACGTAACCCTATGGCAATTCGTGCCCATACGCTCGCACGCTAGGCGTATATATTTACGATGATTTGAATTTCGTCGAGAATAAAGCCTCGGAATATTTGCCTGCGGGCGCAGTTTCTATAGTGAGAAATGCGGATATGCTATTCGCGATTTCGTGGCTTACGCGTCGCCAATAAGAAAATCGAACAGATTGCGACAAAGTCGTTGACGAATCGTGTGCCTGACAGACGGCAAATGCCAAATAATACGTTTTTCATTGCCGAAGAAAAAGACACAATCTTGCAAATATCGAAATATTGGCTAGCTCCTAACAATTTTCGATGTTAGTGTATTAAATATACCAATTACAACTTACAAATGGCAAATGAGCAATAAGCCGCTGCTGAAGCCATTTTATTATTTAGCTCAATCAATTTATTTATGAATGCTAAAAAATCATTTATTTAAAATCAGATCATTAAAATACCCCTATTGTTTTATTTAAATTGTCATGGATGCTTTTGCAGAAGGATTCGTTTATTGATAAATAATTCCATCGATCACGTGAAGCGGTTATCGTGTAAAAGAGTCGATTTAGAGTATTCATACTTATACGAATGAGGTTGTCGTGCACTAGTAATTTGCTTCATTAGATGATCATATGTCTCGTTGAATTCAAATGTGACAATGCGAACGCTAAAAATAGAAAGCGATAACTGAACATTAAGAATGCCATTACTTGCATTGCTCGCAGATTTTTCCAGCGCTAGCGATATCGTCGTCGAGCTTCCGCCCGTACCAAACTAACTGCGGCCATCATGATCACTGCCCGAGGACGAGGATGAGGACGAGGACGACGATGACGACGACGACGACGACAAGCACGCAGCAGCAGCAGCCAAGCGGCAATAACAGCAAGAACAACGCCGGCAATCTGAAAGTCAAGGGAAACAGCGCGGTGAACCTCTCGTCCCCGGAAAGCGCCTACAGCACCGGCTACTCGACCGATGGGACCTCGCCGTGCGCGACCTACGCCCCGGAGTACTACATCAACGTCAGGTCTCAGAAGGTCGCGGATGCAAGCCGAAGCTGCCCGAAAGCGCCTCGAGGGGATATCGAACATGGCAGGACAGACGCTGGCAGACTCGACGAGGCGATCGACGAGCCGAACACCGAGGCGGTAAGAGATGCTCATTGACTCTCGGGCTCGAGCAGCGCCGCGATCAGACGCCCTCGCGAATCCGTTACGCCGGGCCCAGTGCAGTCGGAAGCTTGCATACCGACTTAACGACGCGGACTTTGCCATAGCTGTTGTTTCGCCAAGTTCCGGCTCGCCGGAGTAGGCCAGTTAGCTTTCACGTGAAAAAGAAGTTGCAGATACGAGCAGCCAACCTTGTGCACTGCTGATTCGCGAGTCCCATTGTGCGCTGTCTGCGGCTCGATAATGTTGCCGGCTCCGCTCGCGCATTGTCCCTTTTCGCCGACAGCAGACAGCAGCTAACTCGACTAAAGTGACTTTCAAGTTAATTGAAGCAAAGCTATTCTTTCACTTCTCTTTCTCTCTCTCTCTCTCTCGCTCTCTGCCTTTATTCTTCTCCTTTTCTAGTTAGCGAGTTTACAAGTCAAGAAACGGCCAAAATATCGATCTGCGAGAGCTGCCTATTGCAAATGAAATGCTATTAATAATTCATTCTTGGCTCGCTCCAAAGACCAAGCTGGCCGGGGTGACAATGGTCGAGCGTAGCTCGTTAGTGGAGGCTTTTTTCATCCAACTCTTTTCGCAATTCAGTGCCATTGTAAAACAGGCGTCGTTGTGTGGTTATCTTGGAGCGAGCACCAGTTGAGATGCGAATGCAACCTTTCGTGCTCCCACAGATGAGGGCACGCAACAGGGCCACGTACTCGCTGGCGCGTCGCCGTTATCCCGAGTACGAGCAGCAGTGGCGCAAGCCAGCGCCACCCCCGATGGCATGCAGCTCGCCGAAGATCCAGGGCGAGCACTTCGTCGCCCAAGACACTTGCCACAGTTCCGGCTACCCGATGCAGCTGTTCTCGCCGAGACGCATGCCTCTCGTCGCCACCACGTCGACTCAGGTAAGAGGGCTCTACGGAGCTTAGTTACGAAAGTACTGTCGAGCCTCAACGAGCTTAAAGGGCGACAGCGCCATTGCCGTCGCGCGCGCAACTACTCGAGAAGGTCATTGCCACTCCGATTCTGGTCTCGAATGCCTCGCAATTACCGCGCCAGTCGCGTCTTCTCTTGGCTTTTAACGAGCGGCAACTATGCTCGAACGACCGTCACAGGTGGTGCCAATGAGGACGTCGCAACGGCAGCGGCCAGCGGGCCGCGCAGGGGGACCGCGAGCGACGGATCCATGGCGCGCCAGCACCACTTGCGAGAACAGCGCCAGCAGCGCCGCAGGACCTTGGAGCAGGCAGCAGAGCAACGTCGGCCTCGAGTACGCTTGTCGACAGGAGAGCCTCAGCGTGGGACGCAGCCCGTACGTCAACTCCTTGCTTACCCGTCGCTTGGTCGGGTATCCAGTCGCGGCTAAACTTTGTCACTGCCGGTTTCAAGCCGACTTTTGGTATTTTCCAAAAGTCCCGTGCGCCGCGTCAGTTGCCAGCTGAATTTGAGCTGCGCCCGCGAAACGAACAGCATTGCCAGCTTCTGTCTCGACCGTAATGACCGTTGTTAGCCGTTATTAGCGATGAGCCAGACTCTGGAGTTTCTCGCGAGCTTGCAATTGAACTGGTGTATCTCTCGGTGCAACAGAAACCAAAGAAAACCACAAGCGCGCTTCATTGAGTCCCAATCCGATTAATACACGGCCGAGAGCGAATGGGAAGCCCCGTTAGAGCTGCACGCGTGCATGAATAGAGACAAGAGACGACCGAGCGAATGAACTTGACCGGCAGGGTTAACTGGTGTCCTCGTCAGCAACAGCAGCGAAACCATCAGCAACGTAGCAGCAGCACGAGCAGCTGCAGCAGTCGCAGTCGAAGCTGTAGCCTGAGCAGTAGCAGCAGCAGCAACAGCAGCAGCAACAGGCCAGCCAGTAGTCCTAGTAGCAGCGACGACATCACTCTGAACGAGGTACGAGCAAGCGCGCTCCTGCCGATTGCTAATAGCCTCCGTGAAAAAGTGAAAGAAGCGAGTCAAGCTTCACAAAGAAGCTTGCGGAAAGGCTTGGCCAGATTTTCATAGAGCTCTGCCGCGAGCACACGCCGAAAATCCTCTTTAAGCTCTTGAATCCGAGAGCGGCCCGAGAGTACGGTCGAGCAGCTGTCGGCATCGATTTCCACGCCGATTGCCGCGAAATAACCAGCGGATGCACTACTCGAACGCTCGTCCAGTCCAACTTTCTTTTCGTTCGTTTGCGACGCAGGTCATGGGCAAATACGACGACAACTATTTGTACGAGAAGGAGACCGACCTGATGTCGGAGCCTCGCGAGACGACCAACGGCGCGAGCTCGTCGGCGAACTTCTCCTCGGCGAGCGCCAGTGCTAGCAGCTTGGACCTGCAGCTCGAGTTCGCGGCTTACGGCGAGCCGCGGCGAAGGAGTCGCAGCAGCAGCAGGTCCAGCTCGCGCAACCGGCTCGGCTACACGACCACGACGACGACGACCACGACGACGAGTCGGCCGCGTCGCAGTCGACGACACAGCCAGCGCAGACGCTTGGACGGTCGTGAGAGTGCCAACGACGATAGCGTGGCCGATCAATTGGACGAGAAGGAGCACCGGGAGGAGCTCGAGTTACTGCAAGAGGCGCTTAGTCGCAGGTGAGTCGCCCTTCCATTGCTCCCTCCCCGCGATTTCCTCCCGCGAATGTCGGCAATGATACGCCTCTTCGCCAATCTAAAAACACTGCAAAAAGCGCAAAATTATCAACCGGTGACGCCGGCAAGCAGATTGAAGAAGAACAGCAGCGAGTCTTCGGCGCAAACGTCGCGGGCGTTGCTGGAAAGGCTGCTGATGAAGAACTCGAGCGCCGCTGGCGAAGCGGTCGCAGGCGGCGGTAGGCGCGCCTGGTCCTCGGCGATGCGACCTGCAGCAGCGAGTCGCAGCGTTGGCGGGACGCCCATCTGCTCGAGGAGACGGACGAGCCCGAGACCAGCGCTATTGTCGCCGTTGACGTTCAGCCGACAGCTGTGTCCTGCGGTAAGTTTGCCTCTTTTCCCATTGATTTTTCTACTTCCGGCCGAATTCTTCAAATTCCGCTGTCTGACGCTCGATTGGCAGTCTCAGCGCGACTCAAACCATTGCAGTGAAATATGCCTTCGAAATATGCTTTGCTACTTTTAAAAGCTATCGCATTGAATTGTCATTTTTGGAGCTAAGACAAGGCTGCAAATTAAGTTGTCAAAATCAATTGTTTCAAATCTGATTCTATTGCTGCGCATTAATTTTCAATTATCTAAGAGCAATTTCTATCAACTCTTCGAGATGGAATCTATTTTTGCATTTCTATCCAATACTCTGGTTCAGTTGGACCACGCAGCTCTTTTGCTGCTTGTCGATTCTCAATTCGTCAAAATAAATTCCTCGCTATGGATATTTTATCCAAATCTAAGCTTAGTATAGATTTTATTATCTCTGAAAAAGTCGCCTTGTATCACCATATTGAACATGCCAAATACAATTCGTCTTCTATTTTCTAAAGAAAACGGATAAACTAGAAAATGACTTTAATATTTCAAAAATTATCGTTTTTGCAACGCAAATTTTGAAGAAAAATTCGTGAACAATTTACGAAACATACGAAGATTCTCTGGATTAACCATCATATTTCAGTCCGCGGCGTATTGCTGATTAAAATATTTAGGGCGTAACGGAGTTTAAAATTTGTTGGCAATTAAGAAAGACTCCAAAAAATGTGATCCATGAGAGGATCGAACACGCGATCACCGCGTTATTGACTGAGTTTCTAATTTTTTTTAATTGTTCGTTTATTCGTGAAAATATGTGTATATCGGCATTTTGTAAATGGTATGCTGAATAATGCACTACAGTGGTATACTTATATTCTATAGATCGCATGGTCACTTATTCTTAGAACGCTCGCAATCATGCTATTGTAATAGAATTATGATTATTAAATAGACTTATTTTATTGAATATCGTAAAGATAGCGTCTTTATCTTGTCTCGTGCTTTTAGTAGTTCGGTAATTTGGTAGTTCGGGCGTAAACTTTACGCGAGACAAAAATCTACTTTTTCGCGCTAGTTGGTAATATACTACTTTCGCGTTCTATTTTGTCATCAGTTTTCATTGAAAATTCTCTGGTCCGTGTTTATACATACATTGAACACATCTATATTCAAGCTGACAATTATTCGCTGTGTTGCCAGAACGTTGCCAGTTGGTGCAGATTGTATAATGAATTTTCTCTAGCTTATTAAATCTTATCACACTATTTAATAATAACTTTAAGCTTGTTAATTCGTTGCTTGGGCTTACATCAGCATCAATTTCAACTAAAAAAGAGTAACCGTTTGTTACTTTTAATGGAAATTGGTGTCGTAAAATCCTCAACGTGATGACGTAACAGGTCCTTTACTGTTAAAGAGCGGGCGTTTTTGCAATTACCAGCGTTCGGTTAGCTTGAGATCTTAAGAAACGAGTGTATTTGTAATAATAACCGCATGTATATTTTCCATAGATTGAATTTATTTTATTGATACCGTTACTACCCTGCCTTATCAAATCTCACATTGTTTTGCAATTTTCTTTCGACCAAAACCATTCTTCAGACTACAAATAGACAGATTTCTCAAACGTTCCGCCAGAGAAAAAAAATTACGTGCGTTTCCTGGTACACGCAATATTTTCCAAGATATTGGGCAAATAACTTCATAAACGCTGCGAAATGGGCGCTTTTCAAGCCACTAAAACTACTACGACTTGCTATTGCAATTCGTAATTTCACGCAAACACACGTATACAACGTACAAAACTCAATTTTTGCAGGATACTCTCACGCAAACATATAAAATTGTTAATTGCACAACTCGCCATAATTAAAATCCGACAATTTCAATGTATCACCTATGCGCCCGGACACTCACCGCTTGACAAGCATACGTATACTCGGTTCGGCTTTCTTGCGTACAGTCGCGTACAATCATACGCAGCGAAACTTTTGACAAACGACTCGCAAACATTTCATCCGTTTTGTTGCGGAATGATCAGCATGTCTGCGACGTTCACGAAAGCAATTGACTTCCGTTCGCTTGCTTATTTGACAACTATGTATGCGAGGTTGCCTTACGCTATCATTCTTCTTCTTAGCTCCTTAACATATTTCAGTTGGCATTGTTCGTAATTAATCACTGATTTATTAGCGTGAATAAGCAGATCTCCTTCATCGTGTTGGTTGAAGATCGATTCATTCTAACTTTGCGCAACAGCGCCGGTTCCATTCTCTGCGAGGTCAACATCGCTAAGATCCTGCTGAAATACTTGTCTTTATCCAGCGCGAGCGTCTCGTTGCACGTTCTATACGAGCTGTACGCGCGGCCGTTGTCACGGGACTCGGCACGGCGCTCTAACCAACCGAGCTAATGGGCCGATGCTATTGTCGATGTCCGAATTCGCTACAACAAATAAAATTAAAAAAAAGTTAGCACTTGCGTTATAATGAGGCTCGTCGTGATTCGAGCAAATTATTAAGAAAGATTTTGCACAAAAGAAAGGTGGCTCTCGGTGTGGGTAAAGCAGGAATCTGCGAGCTCGTTAGTTGGAGCGCCATCGCGGGCAAATTCAAAACCTTTTCCCAATCGCACGCCATTGTACCCAGGAATCGACAAGTTCGATGAAACATATGTCGGCCTCGGAAATGGCGCTAATCGAGGCCGACAAGGAAGCCGATCTGAAATACGAGCAGCTGATCATGGAAGCCGAACGAATGTTGATCAACGTTCAACAGCAACTACAACGCGACGAATCGTCGGCGAGCACTAGCCGTCGCGATTCGACAGTTTCGGTAACCGTGGACCATTCGCCTTCGCGCTTGCCACGAGTGCTCTATCACCAGCAGCAGAACTGCATAATTGCGCCTAACAAACGCGTGGAGCTGATCAAGAATGCCGAACTGAATATCGAATTGGCACTATCGAAGAGCCGAAATTCGCAGCCAGAGTTGTCGTGCGGCAGCATCAAGGATCTACTGGGTCATTCCAGTCCCAAGAGATTGTTACAGCAGGTGATCGTGCTTACGAAAGCAAACCGAAAGCAGCCGATTGTCGATTGGTCGTTGACCTTTGTTTCCGCGATGTTTCAGCAACAGAAGAAAATGATCGAGCCAATGGTGCAATCGGTGGTGATGTCGACGCTTGGCCAAACCACAGACAACGATCGCACGGGCTGGCCGTAAGTAACTCTGACAGAAGCCTCAACCACCTTGGCGCTCGAGCCGAAAGTAACGATGAGTCGCGGCTTTGGGATTCGACAGATCAATGGAGTGCAGTGCAGTCGCCGAGCCAGCAAGGCCGTCGTCGACAGCTCCAGGCGACGAGGCGGAGCACCGCTCGTGCCCGCAAAGCGAGCCACTGAGACGCAAAGTATACGATGCCCGCGACGACAGCAGCCGGCTGCTGCTGCAGCGTCAAGCTGCCAGCAACACTTGGCTGCGCAATTCCGATAGCGATTGCGCCCACGACCAGTCGCAGGTACGCGCCTGCACACAGAGATGCAGCTTCAAAGAGAAGGGTGGCCGAGAACAACAATGACGACTCTGCTTTACAGATGCAATCGTACTCGGCAGCCTCTTCCTGCTCGCAGCTTCGCAAGCAGATGCTGTTGGAAACGCTACAGAGCCTGAAGCAAAGCTTAGAGGATCAGTCGGCGGCGCTGAAGCTAAATTGCTTGCGGCCGCTCTAAAGCGAGACACCAACAGCAGAGCATCGTCTTCCGCGAGCGAACGACCAGCCGCAAACCTCAAAATGCCAAGAGCGACACTGCTGTCGTAAAATTCTCGCTCACTTCTCTTCCTACATAGGCTGCCTTGGAGCTATTTTATATAATAAACTTGTGTGCATGATGATGATCTCTGTGCGAGTGCTCGACGACGTATGCATACTCTGTACGACAATTTTACGCTTAGGATCAACTATTATCGAGCTCAATCGGACCCTTGTACGATTCGCGAATACCTAGTAGTGTTGAGTAGGGTTTAGGGTCCACATCTGTGGGTTTGCCATTGAAAAGTCCTCGAGTTGTTGTGATACCAATTGGAATATCCATTACGGTGCTGAGATGTAACAATATGCTTTTTTCCTTTAACGTAGATCTCAAAAAAGCAACTTTACACAGTTATTCCGTTTCCGTCCCTGCATCAGCCACCAGTCATGCTAACAATAGTCGGATAGAGATTTTCATTGAATCGCTGTTGGAAAAAATTTTCCTGTAAAACTGTTGCACACAGTTATTTGCAGTTTAAAATAATTTATAAACTTCAGATTTTAGACACGCATAACAGTTATTAACAGTTTTTTTCTGTTAGTAACAGTTGTATACAGTTATTAATAACTATAAACAATTTTGCAAATGCACCTTTTTTATTATAAAGAAATTTGCCATTAAACAGTTATAAACAGTTTTCAAATCAATTTCAAAAATATAAATAATTGTGTACAACTCTAATAAACAGTTAGTTCTGATATGATAATTAAGATAATTAAGAATTATTTTAAACACTTATATATTGTTATTATCATTTAATTTTTTTGCTTATAAGTACTTATTTCGTGTCCAGTATTGGCAAATTAATAATTATAATTAACTGTAAATAATAGTTACTAATTTTTTGTTCAATAGGTAATTGGTGATAACTGTTATTTGGAGTTATTTATAGATATTTGCATCTATTATTTCTTGAAATTAATTTGTTTTGGTGAATAAAAATGCAAATAACCGTTAGTAACTTAAAAAAACTGCAATAATATAACAATGACAGTTTTTTAACAGAAAAAAACTTCTTATAATTGTTATATATGTGCAAAATATGACGTTAATAAATGGTTATAAATTGTAAATAATTGTTAGCAAATATTACTAACTGATGATTTATATTTATTATAATTTTATGTGTAAATTGTTTCCGACAGGGTTATCTATGGTACTTGACACTATTATATTGACTGAGTGGATTTGCGACGGGCTCCGGACTACTTGAATTAGATCCGACCAACATTAGATTAGACGTGTTCACTAGTATTACTCTTAATTACTCTTAAATACACGGTGAAATAAAGGTTCGATCAATCATGCGCAAGCTTCCTTTTCTAATCTAGTTTTTTAATGACTCGTCGTTAGATTGCGATGCAAGACGCATTTCTGTCGTCTCTAAAAATTGACGTTTTGTAACGAGCTTGCAAATTGAAAGTTGTAAGTTTTCGGCCATATCAGCAGAGAAAAGCCAATTTTCAGTTTTCAATAAATCCCAAACTATTAAACTGTACGACTAAATATAAAATATTTTATCGGTAGGTTAGTTCGTTATATACAAAATATACATATCCACCAAACGAAAACTATTACATAGCGTTGTAGGAATCTTAACTAATAACCATGAAGAAAAACTTACTATAGAGAAAGCGCAAGTTAGAAATTGTAGAATCGTTCGATTTTCTAAATCATAGGGAAAGAAAAACATAATTCCATTAATCATTGAAACAAGTTTTTAGATAGCGTTCGAAGACTTTTCTCCGCTGGTATTTTTTAAGATTTAAAAAACTCATTTTAACAGTAACATTCTCGTACAGAGTCTCTCAGACGCGTCTTCATCAAAGTCTGAATAATTGGTGGACCGAGACTGCATAAGTCTTTTATGGCAAAACTTTCGTACTCACTGATAAGTACACAGTGGCGCGGCGGCGACAGCGTCATAAAATAAAACGCGACGCAATTTTATAACGTGCAATAAGGTTACTTATAGATTGTTCTACAATACAATAATAAACGTTTTCTTATTATACCCATTAAAATAATTCTTTGGCTTCCTTTCACACACGTACATATGCAAGCACGCACGCACGCACACACACACGCACGCACACAAAATCACAAATAGACATTTTTTTTGATTAAAATATAAAAATTCATATATTCTGTATAATACAGTATAAGTATACATACAATAGTCTAATATCTATTTAACCCTTAAAAAGTTATGCTGTATTTCATAAACACCGACAGGTTGGTTAGTTTTATCACAGTAATCGGCCCACTCTCCTTCGCTTAGGTCCACATCATTGAAGGTTTGCCCATTGTCAGCAGCTTTAATAACCCAGCCCTCTCTGGCTGAAAATTCCTTAGGCTCCAAGCCTCTGCAATCCAGTACCACAACAGTTTTGAATTCAGTGCAAGAATCAGCATTGATGCCAGCAATTGTTTCAGGTATGATACTCAAAGAGTTCTCTCGAGCACAAAGTTTGCACTTGTTGACAAAATGATTGACTGCGCTACCTCTCACTGCTGGAGTCTCTTCTGAGAGAGATACGTAGTTCCATTTTGAAGACACTTCTCCACAATTGTTGCAGCCAAATTTCATGTACCAACGGAAATCTGGGCTAGCTGATGAAGTTAGGCTTTCTACATTCTCCAGGTTAGCTTTCAGTTGAAGAGCTATTTTCACCATATTGCTAATCTAAATAATCAAGATTTTATTAATTTATTAACTAAAGATTCTAGAGCTTGTTTCAAGATGATTTTATTATAAGCATTTATTTTGATTATTTTGCAATTGAATCATCAAAGTATTGATTGGCACTAAGTTGATATTAAATGGTTTGTTTCCAGTACTTATTGACACAACATTAATTGTTTTTTTTAGAAATAAATGAACAGAACCCCGGTTAGGACGGAAATCCGCAAGATCTAGAAAGTATTACAAGCTCATGTAAATAAAAGCTCCGATTCATATTCGACGCATAAAACTTACGAGCTATTCTATTGATTGCAGAAAAACTTACGAGATCTATTCAGTCTTTCGTAAAAATGCGTTTTCAGTTACCTAGATGCTTCAATTTTATTTATTACAGGTAAACAAAAAACATCTCAGCTGACTAGTGTTTAGGCGCCATTGATTTGCAAAGAGGAACGTTGAAAGTGAAACATACTGCCACATATATATATATATGTGTTATCGATCGTGGGAACTTGCGGAATGGACAAGGAATGCGCTGGAATCGTAGATTTAAATTTGCTCTATACAAGACAGTTTATTTGATCAAATATTCGTTATTTAATGAATGATATTTATTTTGCAAATATGATTCTTTGTTCTTAAAAATTATAAGAAAATATAAATAGGAAAAATAAAAAATTACGTAGAATATTAATAATTGTAAAATTGAACTGTAAATTTGTAAAAATACTTGAGTATAAAGAAAAGGCAGTCGAAGCTACAAATGGTCAGCCATTAAAATTATCGTCACAGATCGATGGTGTACCATGTAAGAGATGTAAAAGCTGTAAAATCGGAACGTACAGGCAAGTCGCTTTTGTCGGTCAATTTTTCAAAGAGAATGCTGAGACTCGGTTGACGCAATAAAAGAACGCCCGAGGGCTTCATTAGAAAAGATTGTCTGGGCGTTAAGACGAGCAACAAGTAACAATAAAGGCGCCGTTGACGAGGTGCGAAGACTGGACTTGAGCGCCTCGAGTACTGTCAATTATAAAGGCCGGCTGTTCAAGTACGCGCTCGTCATTAGTGCCTTCTCTCTGTCTCTGCCGATAATAGGCACGACTGAAACGAAGACGGACATGTGGCGGCTCGTCCGTGAAAGCAAAACAGCAGGAGAAAACAACCCGCACAAAGAAATGGCAAGAAAGGGGCATGTCCTGCAGCGGGCCAGCTCGTGCGAGAGTCGCGTATATGGAAGGGAGGCGCGCGCGCACAGCATCCTCAATATTGATCTGCGCTCGGCGACCCAGAGGATCTTGCTGTCGCGGCCACGCCGGCCGAGTTTGGCTGTGTGCATGCGCGCGCCTTCCTCGACCGCGCTGGCTTCCCGCGAGGTATTTTACGTCGAACGCGCCACGACGCTCAACGACCGAACGGATTTTCCGGATTACCGATTGCCTCGCTCGGTCGACCATTCGGTTCACTGTTCCTAGCGCAGGCGTGAAATGGCTTTGATCGCCCACTCAGCTGGGTGCATCCTAGCCGGCTACCAGTCGCTCCTCGAACCCTCTTCGGTCGATCCTCGCTTGCAGCTGCCACTGCTGGGCTTCTCAATTGGCACTTGGCACCGAAGCTGTCCGAGGAGAATTGCGCGAGGCCGCATTGGCGGCGCCAATGCCAAGGAAGAAGCGAAAGAAACTCGTCCGCGCCAGCCGGCGCCTGGCAAATTCAAACTCCGAGAGCGCAAGCTCCAGCAAGCCGCGGACGTAATCTACCCGCGCGCGGCTCGGCGTCGGAGCGTCGGGGGTAGACTACGCGCGGATCTTTCATCCGAGGGCTCCCAGCTGGGGGAGCAGCGTCGTCGTGAGCCTGCCCGTTCTTAGTCGACGAGTGTGCGTGTCCGCGCGGACATGTCGCGGCGCGTCGTCGCAGTCCCGACAGCGCCGTGAGCCAGTCGAACGAGTCGCGTAACCTCGAAAAGATAGGCCAGTGACGAGCGACGAGCGACGAGCGACGAGCGACGAGCGACGAGCAGGCCGAGGGGTTGCCCGCTCGAGCAAGTAAGTCACACCCAAGTGTTCATCCGTGGGAGCTCGTTCCGAGAAACAGGGTGTGGGTTGGCTCGCGGGCGCGCCTCGCCGTTGCCAGCCGTCGCGAACACCAGTCGGACTGCAGTTTGCATTCGCCAGGCCCCCGCTTGCGCTGCCTCTCTCGCGTGAGTCAGGGCTCTTTTTGCGCGCGTATCGATCTGATAAGGACTGTCGTGTTTCTGCTGCTCGGCTGAACTGACTCGACAATCCTGCGAGCCGCTCGTATGCTTCCGTGGAGGTTAAAGTCGAACGCGTACGCGCGCCCGATCGCCAAATCAATCGAATATCGCCTTGCACGAGCGCCAGGCGAGCGAGCGCAGGCTGAGCGCGACATCCAGCTCCGCGAATACGAGCTACGCCTGTTTTCGTCTCGGCTCGCTCGTCTGTTGCGCTTGACAACTGCGGAGCCAAGAGAGGGCGAACCGTGGCACGGACGTGTGACGTTCTCGCGGACTTGCAACGCCAGTTTTGCGCCGAGTGGGCGCCTAAAACAACGAAGCGAAAATCGCACCTTCGCTGTCGAACGACCAAGGCGATTAGAACGTTGCCCGCGTGAATGAAGACTCGTAAAAGCCGCCGCCGAGTGACACGAGAGGCGAAGGGAGTGGAAACAACAATCCGCAGGATGCTTGGAACTGGATTAACGGTAGAAAAGTTATATGATTGGATAGGGCTGCTGGCGCGCATCTTGACGAGGCCAGCTGGTATCCCAGGTGCCATTTGCCCAGCATTGTCGCGCGCACCGTGAAAATTTGCAGACGGATCGCGTACTTTATTCTTTCGCGTGGTTGGCCGAGGAGGCGCTGACGAGGTCGAAGCACGCACCCGTCTGAATCTCCGAACGGCAATCTCGATAACGCTCGTGCGATCTCACCCTTCGGCCGCGTTAACGGCAAGCCTTGGTAGAATCAAGGCGGATTATTGCCGTCCGCGAAATCCAATTTCCTCGCATTAGAATACAAACTGCCAGCCGAGTTAGAACACCTTGACTCGATAATGTTGCCAATGCAGCTGACAATGTCAACGCACACACGCTGATCTCCTGATTCGGTTTGGCGCTTTGCTTCCAGCCGAAACTGCTTACTGACTGTTTGGTGAGAGAAAATAAAGAGAAACAAGTCTTGGCTCACGAGTCGGACATCGAGCCGAGCGTCGCGCTATTCGCGCCTTGTTTCGCATGAACGCGCATTTCCAAGACAGCGCAAGACAATCATACTTTGCCTGTGCGTTTCTTTGACAAATCCGCTGGATCCTCGCAAGCGAATATGGTCTAATTTGTGCAATGAAATGATAAATGTGCTTGGTCGCAGGACAAGAAGAGGAATGGAATCGAGCAGGCCGAGAGCCCCGGAACAGCCGCCGCGCGTTCGCGCCTGGCCGACGTCGTGGCGGATAATCGACTGGTCGCCGGGGTTCCAGCTGCAATCCTCGCACTAGGCGCTGGCGAACAATGTAGAAGGTCAACGTCGGGCCCTCACGTGGGCTGGCCGGCCGCCCGTGAACACGTGCGCTTTCCGTCGACAACAGTGGTGCGACAGTGCTTAAACGGACAGAAAAAGGATGAGGCGACGCAGACGATGACCGCGCGGACGGAAGTCCAGCAGTGACGACTCGGTCTTGCTCTCTTCGACTCGACTTGTAGCGCGCTTGTCAAGATGCGACGACAAGCCAGCGATCCGGCGATGGACCTCAGCGGCTACATTATCGTTCTCATGAACGTCAGTGGCAAGATGAAGCTTTACGGTGAGTCGATTTCATTGAACAGTCGAGGTGCTTGGCCCGGCGCGGCAAGTGCAAATGGACTGCGCCGCGATGCTTTTCGCGGAGAACAAGTAAGTTCGCTCGACGGCGAAAGTAGAATGTACGCCGCCTATGCTATGGCATGGCTGTGAAAGCAGCCTGACTTTCGCGGAGACTTATCAGACTCTTCTGTCGTCGACCGCGAAAAGGAGCGTAAAGGAGCGCGCGTCTATTGTTGGGAAGACGTCCTCGGCGGTGCGCGTTCGACGCCCCGGCCCGCGGTAATCAAAACTTGGCCTCTACGCCAGCCACCTCCACGATTTGATTGGCGTCTGATTTTTCCTCGCTATGACGCGCTCGGCCCACACCACCCCCAATTATTCATATCTACCCTCGCTAAGTTTCCATTCGAATTGTCAGCGCTAGATCGCATGCTCGCAGCTGCGTCAAATCGTAATTGCGATTTTCAATCATCATCCGTGTTCATCATTTCTGCTCGAAACAAAGTTGCTGCATCCGGTTCTCGGCCAACTTGTTCTTTCGACAAAATTAGCTTTACCGTTGTACGCTGCATCGTTGCGCCCTAGTCCCTGGGCTGCCTCAATTTGCCACAAGTTCCTTTTGTACAAGCTCGGAAAAGCCTTCTCCTCTGTTTTCGCACTCGATGCTCGGTGTCGCCACACCGAGAAGCCTGCACGTGGCCGCCTTGCAACGTTTATTTGATTTACAATAACGCTTAAAGTTTGGAAAGTCTCGCGCTCGCGCTATTTCATTAATTTGACGCGTTTGGCCCGTTTCCACCGCTTCCACCGTTTCCAACTTGGCGACAATCGAAACGTGACGCCTCGATCGAGATTCAAACTCGATTGTGTTTCTTTTTTAATTTGGAGCAACAGCACCCGATAAGATGTCCAGCCAAGCGTGTAAATAGGTTAACGCAATCACAATGTAATTGTTTAGCCATAGTCGAGCCGGCGGGCAGGGAATCGACCTCGTGCTCATTAACGTATTGACGGAAGACTGGCTTGACTAATAGCTTGCAAGTCGACGATATTAGATCGCTCGACGAAAATGCATAGCCTCGTTATTGACCGTCCGATCGACTTGGCAGCTCAAGGCAAATCTTATTGCTGGATTACTCGAGGAGCTAGGCCAGCTGGCGCCGCGATCGAGGCCCCTTTTCGGCGACCATGTGCACGCCGGACGACCCGCCGCGAGCACGCGCTGCACGGAAAGCTCTAAAGATACAATGCGTCGCGCTGATAATCGAAGGTCTGGCGCTCTCTATTTTTACATTCAATGAATATCGCGCGAGTCTTTCGTCGTCATCGTCGTCGTCATCGTCATCCGAAAGAAGGCGCAAACTTTCCGAGAGCCAGAGAGAAAGAGAGCGAGAGGAATCCTCCGGCCATCGCGCGAGCTGCCAGCTACACACCCTTTAAGGATTAGTGCCGAGTCGGCGAGGCGTATCGAGAGCTCGCGCCCTTCCTCGCACCCTTCCTCCCTTTTCGCTGCTGCATGGCCTCCTTTACTTTCCCGCTCGCCACCGTCGCGCAGCGCGCTGTGCACAGAAATCAAACCGAGAGCCCCTTTCCTTCGGCGCTCATCGGCTCATCGCGCTGCCACCTTCTCGCCGGCTGCAGCTCTTTCGAGGCGTTGCTCTGCGCCGAGTGCCTCGAGTGGACAGGCCCACTCGACAATTTCGCGCTCGTTCGAGAGCATCGACGAGCTGTTGTTTTGCTCGAGGCACCCTTGGCAAACGGATGCTCGTGTCTCTTCTTTGCTGGCATCGAGCATATTTCAAAAATACACGCATCAGCCGAGTGATGGTTAATATAGCGCGGCTCGCGGAGGCAAAT